CCCAGCACTCAGGAGGCAGAGGCAGGCGGATCTCTGTGAGTTCGAGACCAGCCTGGTCTACAGAGCTAGTTCCAGGACAGGCTCCAAAACTACAGAGAAACCCTGTCTGGAAAAACCAAAAAAGAAAAAAAAAAAAAAAAAAGAAAAAGAATCCAAGTTTGAAAAGAAGTACAATTATGTTAAAAAAAATAATATGATCTTATTTCTAGAGAAGTCCCAATAAGAACCAGTTAAGCTGCCAGAACTATTAACTAGTTCATCAGAGATGCAAGACAGAAGATTAATCACAAGATCAGTTGCATGTTTATACATCTGCAATGAGCAACCCAAAATGTGTCAGCTTTCCACTGTTGCACTAATTATCCCAAAGCAAAACCCAGAGGGAATGTCTTTTAAAAGTCAGCAACTCTTAATGCCACTGAACTGCACATTAAAGATGGTTAAAGTGGTAAATACCACCATATACATATGTGTGTATAGATATGTCTGTATACACATACATATATACCACAATAAAACAATTTGCATATGTGAGTGTGCATGCACCCCTTCTGGTGCATGTTTGCAGGTCAGAGGACAACCCTGGGTGTTGATCCTCACCTTCCACCCTGTTTGAGACAGGATACCTCTTGTTCACCACTTGTTCACTAAGCTGGCTGGCCTGGGGGCTTCTGGTGATTCTCCAGTGTCCACTTCCTCTGTCCCAGTAGGGGTTCAGTGTGGTGACAGATGCTTGAGCTACTTTGTCCAGCCATAGTGGATTTGGGGGATCAAACTTGTCAGGCTTTTCTGGTCATGACTTTACTCACTGAGCCATCTCCCTAGTTCATAATAAAATATTGTGAGGGGAATTCATAAGATCCATTAAGCAGGCCATTAAACATGAGAGACTCTTGGAGAATTTCCAAAATGATGAGAAAGGAAAGGCCGCGGTGACAGCAGACAGTATCTGTAAAGAATATGAGAATGAGCAGTCCAGAAAGGCGGGAAAGAGCTAAATAAACTCAAACTGACATATTAGGAGGATATAATGTTTCTATTAGAATTGTATATGAAAATATCTAATTCTCAGTAAAGATATTCAATATGTAGTCGATAATCTACCACAATTAGGATAATTATCCTATAATTAAGTCTAATAACTCCATGTCTATCTTAGTTTATGGAAGTACTGTGTATGATCCTTCTATGAGATCACCTGATAAGACACTGAAGATCAGATATCCATCATAAAGCAATATGTGATATATGTATGTTCTCTCTATGTATAATAACCATATATGTATATTCTACAAACAGAGGCAATTTTTCAAGCCATTTGTCTTAATTAAGATTTCTATTGCTATGAAAAACATTGTGACTAGCTGGATGTGGTGGTGCATGCTTTTAATTCCAGCACTCTGGAGGCAGAGGCAGGGAGATCTCTGTACATTCAAGGCCAGCCTGGTCTACAGAGTGAGCTCCAAGATAGCCAGAGTTGTTACACAGAGAAACTCTGTATCAAAAAAAAAAAATTAAGCAAAACAAAACAACAAAACATCATGATTGTGGTGGTATGAAAATGGCCCCCAAATGGAGTGGCACTATTAGGAGGTGTGGCTTTATTGGAACAGGTGTGACCTTGTTGAAGGAAGTGTGTCACTATGGAGGTGGACTTTGAGGGTTTATATATGCTCAGGCCACACCCGGAAGAGACAGTCTACTTCCTGTTGCCTGCGTACCAACAAGTTACAGTTCCTTCTCCTGCACCACGTCTGCCCGTTCCCCATCACGCTCCCCACTGAAAAGTTTTTGTGTCCCAATAAACCTCTCCACCAACGCAATAATCCAAATCAGACCAAATCAAACCAAATTAGAAAAAGCCCATGTTTAATGGATACCAATGCTCCCGGATGGCTTTCCAGCGCCCCAGAGAGGCGATGGGGAAGGAAGACCAGAAGACCATGTGTTTGTTCTCTGGGTTGCTGTTTAAATACCCTGTGAGAGTGGTCTTGAGCATCTCTGAGGAGAGCTTTCTTGGGGGTGGAGTCTGGACTGAGGTGACTCCCAGGGGAGGGGGCTTGGATGGAACTTTCCACCCACACATTCCAGACTCTTTGGGTATACCACCTCAGTTAAATGTTTTTCTTCATAAGGGTTGCCGTGGTCATGGTGTCTCTTCACAGCAATAGAAAACTGACTGAGATAGTGACCAAAAGCAACTTGGGAAGGAAGGGCCTGTTTCAGCTTACACTTCCAGAGAAGAGTCCATCACTCAGGGACGCCGGGCAGGAACTGAAGCAGAGGCCAGGAAGGAGTACTGCTCTCGGGCCTGCTCAGTTTGTTTTACTTTTTTTTCTTTCTTGTTTTTACATCCTAACTAAAGCTTCCCCTCCCTCCCCTCTTCCATGGGGGATCCCCTCCCCCTCCCTTTCCCCTCCCCCACCTTACCCTATCCACTGTTTCCTTTCAGATCCAGGCCAGCCTATCAACCAGCCATGGTGTATCAAGCTACAGTGAGACCAGGCACCTCCTCCTTCACCAAGATGAGGCAATCCTGCAGGAGGAATTGGGTCCCCAAAGCTGGCAACACAGTCAGTGACATCCCCCACTCTCGCTGCTAGGAGTCCCACACAAAGACCAAGCTACACAACTGTAACACACATGCAGAGGGCCTAGGTCAGTCCTATACAGGCTCCCTGGTTGTCTGTTCAGTCTCTGTGAGCCCCTGTGAGCCCAGGTTAGTTGGTTATGTGAATTTTCTTGTGGTGTCCTTGACACCACTGGGTCCTACCATACTTCCTCCCCCTCAGTTTTCTTTCCTATACCATCCAAGACCACCAGCCCAGGGGTGGCACCACCCACAATGGTCTGGGCCCCCTTATGTCAACCACTAATCAAGAAAGTATCCACAGACTTGCTGCCTATAGGCCAAACATATGGAGGCATTTTATCAATTAAAATTCCCCCTGTTTAGATATGTGTAGGTTTGTATCCAGTTGACAAAAAATAACCATCACACTAACACATGAAGCAATTGTGGATTAATTTCGGAAAAAAGGCAGAAATGAGCGTCTGGGTATAAAAGCAGAAGGAGAAAACCAACTCCCCAAAAGTTGCCTTCTGACCTCTTAATTTTAAGAGCAGGCGCGATGACTCAGTAGTTTAGAGAGAAGACCCAGGTTTCAATCCCATTGGACACACACATCAGGGAGCTCACAGCCCCTCTAACTAGTTCCAGGGGATCAGACACCCTCTTCCAGCCTCCTTGGGTTCCTGCATGCATGTAGTGCATATAGTCTCAGGCACACACCACATAAAATGTTGTTTTTAGAAGAAAATCGAGCCTGTGTTGACACAGCAAGATTATCTGTGAGAAACAGAAATGAATTCCTTAGAGATGAGTGGTTGAGCAGTGTGTAAAGTGTGATTCAGTTTTGTCTGTAGATCTGTCCACTCAGGCACAGTCCAAAGTCAGGAGGGTTCGTCACTGTGTGATTGACAGCACGTACCTCCACAAATAGGAGTGGAGATGGGAGCGGAGGGGAAGCTTTGGCTTTCTATTCAATGTTTTCTGCATGCTGAAATGCTTGCATACAGTCTGTACAACTGATACTATTGTATATTGTGGGTGGATTTTTTCTTTACCTTCCTTTCTCTTCTCTTCTCTTCTCTTCTCTTCTCTTCTCTTCTCTTCTCTTCTCTTCTCTTTTTCTTTTGATGTGCTGGCCTGGATCCCTGGGAATGTGGGGAGGAGCTTGCCGAGGAGCAAGACCCTGGCCACAGTCCTGATTTGTTCTGTACACTCAGGCCAGCTGCCTCCCCTCTCTGGGTCAGGACCAGACATGTGCTAGTGTGTGTGTTGGAAAAGGTGGTGAGTTGAGGCCATGCGGAGCTCTGGAGAGGGTGGGAGCGGTAGTTTTTAAGGCACCGGGCTTGACCATGGGATTGTCGACGATTTTAACAAAGGGTCAACAATAAAGAGCTGTGGAAGTAGCTCGGGGAGGGTGCTTGCCTGACATGTGCAGGGTGCTGGGTTCCATCCCTAGCACCACAGAAGTTCTGGGCATAACGGTAAGGGCCTGCAGTCCCAGCACTTGGGAGGTGGAGCAGGGGAATCACAAGTTCAAAGTTGGTCCCAGTTATACAGGGAGTTCCAGGCTAGCCTGGGACACATGGAACACCGTTTTAAGCACAAGGAATCTCAAACTCTAAGGTGCCTACTGTAGAGAGGTCACAAGGAAGATCTTGTCCCTTCTGTCCAGTGTCTTGACCGTGTCCCGTGCCTGAGTAAGAACACTTGGCCTGGCACCTTCAGGTCACTCATAATAAAGCCTCCGTTCATGTGACCTAGGACCACTGAGCCCTGGTACCTAACCCTCAGATTTCCCAATTCAGAGCAGGCTTCAAGTCTCCACCTGACTGTCATTCTTCTTAAAGAGGCAGGGTAGGTGAATCAGGATGTTAGGCACTAGCTCAATACAAGAGAGATCGGAGGGGGCGGTGGGGGGGGATGTCCAGCGATGCAGCAGGACACAGCAGGAATGAGCTGCCCATCTCTGGAAGTCATCAAGGCAGGGCTGGATGCAGAGGCAGGCACCCTCATCAAGGAAATGGTGGGAGAGAGGTGGGTGAAATAGGCCTTTTTACCGTCCATTCTCCAAGTTCTGGGAGAAGGGGAAAGCGCTTTAGATGAGGGCGAGTGGGAGGGCTGAGTGGAGAAGCCTAACTTGGAGCTGGACCACGAAGGGGCTGATTTGAGAACGAAAGGGTGGCAGTGTCAGAAGGGACGGGAAAGCCTTCACCGAGGCTCAGGAATTTCTCACGAGGCTCTGGGAGCCCAAGGTCACACAGCATAAGTTGGCAGTAGGTTTTTAACAGTTCAGAGGGTCCCCCAGGGCACAGCTGTCCAGAAGCCAGCAGTGCAGCAACCATGGTGATTCAGTCCAGCAGTTAATTAGTAACCGGACAGTCCTGAAGCCGACTCCCATCTGGCTGGCCTGGGAGGTTGAACTTGCGCTGGTTTGAGAGACGGGCGGGCGAGCTGGTGACAGGTCACTCCTGCTTCGCAAGGTTGCTGGATGAGTCAGGATTGGGGAGACGGAGAAAGCACAGTTCTTCAGGACCTGCGCTGGGACCCAGGGTTTCGAGGTGAGGGGCTCCCCTGTGCTCAGAGTATCTGCCTTGCTCACAGCTTTCTGTATTCCAGCTGACTGCCCAGGCTAGATTGCTTCCTAACTACCTTTCTCTCTTTTCCATGCCCTTCTTCCCCTTCCCTTCCCCAACTTTATCCCCCTCCCTCCTTTTCCTCTTGAATTTTCTTAACTCTAATTCCTTTCCCCTGTCTCCTACCTTCCCATCCAAGCGACTCCTTAATTTCTCCTCCTCGGCCAACTTCTTCTTTTTTAATGAACCAGCTCATCCCCACTTTCATTCTTTCCATTTCTGTCTAATCTCTTCTGGAGGCTCCAGGCTGTGGGTTTTGGGGTCAGCTTGCCTGGGTTTAAATCCTGTTTATATCATCTATTGACATGGCATCTCACTCAAGTCGTTTCTCTTCACCGTGCCTCAGTCTCCTCCTCATTTAAGAAGGGATAACAGGGGGATTAGCTTAGGGGTGGAGCACTTGGCTGGCAGTCCTGACTCCAATCTTCACCAATACACACGTTCTCTCTCTCTCTCTCTCTCTCTCTCTCTCTCTCTCTCTCTCACACACACACACACACACACACACACACACACACACGTGTGGATGTTGGCAAATTTATCCTATGGGGTTTATATGAACAAGGTAAAACCAAGCTAGCCCTTGAGCTAAGAAGGCAGGTAAGTGACGCAGTCCAATGGAGTGAATCCGGGCACAATGACAGAAGCAGATACAAGAAGAGGACACTGGGCAAAGTTTTTAAGGGAAAGCAGATGGTGACTCCTGAAAGGGTGAGGCAAGCTGGCCATGTTGGTGGCGGTGCCCTCGCGGAAGAGAGCTGTGTATTATTCCTTGTGCCATGCAGGCCTAGGGAGATGGAAGAGAGCACACCAGAGAGGGCCAGACAAGGGCAAGTCTGGGCAGCAGCAAGGAATGGGATGATGTTAGTGGCTCGTGGATGAGAGAAGGGGTGGTGGGATTGCCCACTGGATAATGACACTTGCCATCAAGTCTGATGACCTGAGTTTGATCATGGGGACCCTCATGCAGGAGAAGAGAACTGACTCCTTCAAGTTTTACACACACACACGAGAGAGAGAGAGAGAGAGAGAGAGAGAGAGAGAGAGAATATGAATCAATAAATGTAATAGTAAAAATAAAATAACCAAGAGAAGACACTGGCGCCAAGTTGGACCAGGCTGTATCTATCACAAGGCAGTAATACAAGGGAAAAGGAACTCTTAGGAACTGCAGGGGTGGGATGGGGTTCTTAGGCAAGGTGATAGGAGACTGAGCAGTGAACACGTTGAAGAGCGGCTGAGGCTTGGTACTTTAGCAATAAAACAGTGGCACTGTAAGAAATTTTATATCATAGTTCAAAAAGAAAAACAAATGACCTAGTAACTAGTGGTCATGGCCTCTTCAATTTTGTTGTTGCTATTCATGCAAATGTCCATTGTCCTTTTCCCCCACTTTAGTAAAATGAGTACCCCAGTGCACCCACCATTCTGAAACTTGCTTTCTCCCTGATCATAGCATCAGAAGTATGCCCCCATTTTGATCCAAATAGGCTTACATAGACAGATGTTTGGGTTATATAATTTTTCATTTAGTATGTATACTACACCTATTCACTCAACCCCGTGACTTCGTTAATTAAATGTGTCATGAACACTTCCGCTATTTCAGGCTGGTTATAGATATAAAGGATCCAATAGTGAGCAAAAAGAGTCTGCTTTTGTGAGCTGATGTTCTAGTTTGAGATGGAAAATTAGAGCACTCGACTAGTGACATAAGAGAGAAAGCCCTAAGCCCCAGATAGATCAAGAGAACCCATCACCTACTTACTATCAGTCAGCACAAGCCTCTCCTGGAGGTGCCACTGAAGCCGGGTCCTCCACTGTGTTACTGAAAGTTAGCCACGTGTTGTGTGGGGTAAGAGCTTTCTAGACAGAGAAAGCAAAAGGAGCTAAGCCATTGAACTGGTTCGTGGACATGGGAAATGAGGGGAGACAGAGACCCAAGGACTGAGCCAGGGTTGAAGGGGAAGAGAGTCCAATAAGGAACCCCAGGACCTCTCAAGGTGCCAGGGAGGATGCCAGAGCCTTGGCTGGGCTGACTAAGGTGAGAACCTGGAAGTCATCACTGACCCTGACATATGAGGCCACTGTCCACTGATTCCTCAGGATGCTGGGATGAAATCTAAGGTGAGTTCAGGAGTGGAACAGAAAAGGAGTGGAGATGAGAACGAACAGGTCCTTAGAGAAGTTTCGTGAAAAAAGAAAGTGAGAGAAATGGGTTGTCTAGCCAGGGTGCAGGATGAGGATCTGAGCCAGCATGGCGGAAGTGTTCCTAAGTGCCAGCCAGAGGCTCTTAGCCTGTTGTTAGTCCCTTTATCTTGTTCTTCTAAAGTCCTGCTGCTGCTCCCCCGAAGACCCCATGGGTTTTTGTTCTTGGTAAGGACGTGTGTTTTGTCAACGTGTCACCCTGCAGACTTGTGTATGGGTTCAACATTTCTATTTTGTGGGAAAATGAAACTTTGATGTTGTTTACTGCAGTGTTCTTAGGTCAACACCTCCAGGTCCCTTGAATTTTAGTTTATAAGAATGCCTGACCCACTCTGGTCTACAAGAACTAGTTAGAACTAGTTCCAGGACAGGCTGCAAAGCTACAGAGAAACCTTGTCTCAAAAAAAAAAAAAAAAGAAAGAAAAAGAAAAAGAAAAAAAAAAGCACGCCTGACCCACCCCCTCTGTGCTCGAGTAATTGCATAGCTGCACAGAAAGCTCCAGGGAGACAAGGGCTCTGTTGCTCCCATGAATTCCTTCCTTGCTCAGAGCACCTGCCAACCCCTTCTGATCCTCTGATAGAGGAACGAACCCTGTGAGAACCTAACAGCACACCTCACAGCCAGACAGGCCTTTGTGGGCCTGGAGCTCCTGAGGCATGCGTTCTCACACAGCAGAAGAGCTGTGGTCCAGCCAGGCCTGCTTCAGGGACAGTGAGTCAGAAGAGTGAGCTCTTGAAGAGCCCATAGGGAAAACCCAGGTAGCCAAGTGCTCCGTAGTCCACGACCAAGGCCAGCTGGACGGAGAACCAGCTCCTGTTCCTCTGGAGCACCTACATGGTTTTGGGTTGTTCTCTGTGGCCATAGCTCAGGTCCCAGGCGCCTCTCCTCCAGACTAGGTGGTCTATATAGAGTCTGCATAGAACCCTGGATTCTAACTGATGAGCCTTCTATATGTGTATACACATGTTCACACACACAGGTTATCTAGCACTTACCAATATGGACACAGACACACAGTTGGGACCTATGCATGCATATGTCACATGCACATATTACTAGACACAGTCTCATCTGAAGACAGACACATAAACACACGCAGACTCACACCAAACATTATATACATACATACATATATACATGTATATATACAATACATGCCGACATACACTATACAGTGGTACACTGACGTCTGGGACTTTACATCCACCGATCATACAGCAAAACAATGATAAACTCGGCACAGATGCAGACTCACATACATACAATGCTGTCACACCAACACATGTGCTCTTTCTTTCTTCCTTGTTTTTGTCTTTTTGGTTTTTGGAGACAGAGTGTCTCTGAGTAGCCCTGGTTGTCCTGGAACTCACTCTGTAGACCAGGCTGGCCTTAAAACTCACAGAGATCCACCTGCCTCTACCTCACGAGTGTGCACCACCACTGCCCGGCACATGTACACATTCTTACACACACACACACACTGACACAAATATCTGAAATCTGCAGCCACACTGGCACACCAGAGACATGCCAAAGCACAACTCTACATGAAATACTTGCAGAGAGCACATACCCTAACCCGTACAGTTACGCACGTTCTTACAGTTCCCAGTGGTCTCCAGGGTCTTCTGGGACTGCTGAATAATCCCTCATTTCCTAGGGAAAACAGCATCCCCTAAGGGACAGAGGTCTCCCATGCCACTGCACGTTCTGTGTGACATCACCAGCCCCCTTGCTGCTGCCACTGCTGGAAGTTCTGAGCTCTGTGCTGGGGGCACCAGGCACTGACACTTGGCTCTTGTTGGGAGAACAGAGAGTCTCTCTTGTCCACGGCCTGTGCTCGGCTCCAACTGCTGCATCTCCCGGAAGCCTCTGTCCAGCCTGCATAGGTATGTGGGACCCGGGCAGCCAGAACCAGGCACAGGACCCATGGGAGGGATGGTGGTGTCTCAGGCTGACTGTAGGAACATAGCCTGGCATGCATTGGAGAGGCCAGGATACACCTCCCTCCGCTAGAATTCTATAGCCTGCTCTGCTATATTCTATAGAGTTTGGCAGTGGGAGGCCTTTAGATCAGTCTAGCTGGGAACTCCCATTAATACTACTTTTTCAGCTGGGTGGCCTCTGACCTGGTAGAAGTTCCTGGCCACAGGTGAGTGGGTGTCAGTATCCCACCCAGCCACAGGGTGGTGCCTCCTGAAAAAAAGATGATCTAAGAGATGTCACGCTATTTAGCCCAGGTCCTACAGCAACCAAAACTAGGGTCTTTAAATGAATAATTTGCACCACGCCCTGTGAGAGGTACAGAGCCGATGAGGCTCCAAGCCCCTGAACCAAATCCTAGACAGTTGGCTTCTCCTATTGTGCTGAGCTGGCTGCATAGACCAGCTACCCGCCCCTTCTATCATTTGAACTCACAGACACCGGCTCCTTGGGGGATTTCATGGTTCTGATCCAAAGTCCCAGTGTAGTCACTGTCACTGAACCCTGAGGAGAGTATCCAGGCAAGATTGCAATCAACATAGAGCTTATCCTGGGACTTTCCACAAGAATTCACAGTTGCCAACATGGCAATTTGTGAGTCTGGAGAGCCTAGGCTACCCACAAACAGTAAGAGTCAAGAAAGTCCTGTTCTAAATCGTGTGTGGGAACACACTTCAGTGTTCTCACTGTTTGGGAGGTTAAGGCAGTTCCAGGCCAACCTAGGATATGCAGCAAGCTCAAGACCAGCATGGGCCACAGAGCAAGGCCCTGTTTGAAAAATTAGAGTAACAAAAATACATAAAGCGTTTTTCAAGGTCTCCGCGCCTCCCTGAGAAGTAAAAGGAAATATTTAGCTTTAAGCCTATGAGGCTCCTGCCTCCTCCTTGGGATTCTGGAGTTTCCATCATTCACAAGAATCTTCCCTTCCTGGGTGTCTCGGGCCTTTGCAAAGACACTGCCACGCAGGGACCACTCTAGCTGTCCTTCTCCATCCCTCCTCAACTGTTTGGTGAGAAAGACTGGGTCTGGCCTTTTGTCTGTCATTTGTCTCATCCACACATGGACTTCTGGTCTTTAGGGTGAGAGCTGCTAAGGCTGTCTCCGAAGTTGAAGGTGGGAAAGAGGGCAGCCCGGCCTGGGGGCCAAGATCTGTCGCTCTTGGTCTTCCCAGTACCTCCAGAGCCTGCCTCATCACAGCTACAGAATGGCCTCCAGCCCAGCTGGAGTTCCTAGCCCACAGGTGAGTGGTTCACAGTCTTCCAACACCCAGCCCCCTGCACCAGAGACTCACTTCCTCCTAAGGCTGAGGAAATCTGTAGGGATCCCAACCAGCCCTGTGGGCCTTCAACCAGAATTTGTATCTGCCAGGTTACTGTGAACTCACAGAGTTGGCCATTTGCAAAGAACATTGAAGAGAGATCTGGCGGGGAGTTATCAGAAGTAGATTTGGTTAGGAGAAACAAAACAACACGACACTGGTTGTGAAAATATATAGGTTCAAATCCCACGTTGGCCACATGTAAGGCCCTGGACAGCTCCTCTCTGGTGTCAGTTTTCTTTTCTTAATTGCCATGATGGTCTTTAGAAGCTAGTGTGACATGAGTGTTTAGATGGAGGAGGGGTGGCTACGGAGGAGTGGGTGGGTACAGAGAGGAAAACCAATAAAGGAAAGGAGGGAGATGGGAAGGTGAGCTAGTTAGTGATGTTGGCAGAATCAGAGCCTAGGCCAAAGGAAGAGGAGGAAGCTTGCTGATCTTTATTGCCTCTTTCTTGAAATGTCTTCAGCCCTCTAGGGCCAATGGGAACATCAACCTGGGACCATCCGCTAACCCCAAGTGAGTTCTGTTTTCTAAGACAAAATTCCTACCCAGCTGTCCCATGGCTGGTTCTCTTTGCTCTAGAAATAAAATCCAGGGTCCATGGTGTACACAAAGCCTTTGCCCGCTGGATCAGAATCCTTCTAAGCCTGTGCCTGCTCAGCTTCGTCTCTCATTAACTTCCCAGCTTTGGCCCAGGCCAAGCCCTCTCTACCTGGAATGACCCCAAACATCTTCTCTGTCAGCAGCTCTCCGCCTTCTCCTGGCGGAGAAGGAGAAGTGGGGGTGGGCAGGGATGAAGGAGACTGCCTTCTGTACCATGTACCTGATTGTTCCTCCTGGTAATAACTGGTCTGTGAGCCGGGAGTGGGTGTAGGAGGAGGTGTGTGAGGTTCCGTCTTCTGAGCTCCTTTGGGCTGTAAGACATAATATTCTTCAGGAGGGGGGCCAGGAGGCTCCTGCAAGGCCACCTGCACTTTTCAGCTCTGAAATGAACCAGAGACAGAGCTTCCTGAGCTTCCAAATGCTGATCCTTGTTCTTCTCCGGTCCACAGTGCCCGACCCACAGATTTCGACTTCCTCAAAGTCATTGGCAAAGGGAACTATGGGAAGGTAAGCAAGGAGAGCTTTCTGGAGTCCTCTGCCTGTGGTCTCCATTAGCATATGCAAAAAGAAGTCTGGTGTGTAACATACATGCAGAATGGATTGGAGCTTCTAGGGGAAGCTCCCTGATATCTTATATCTGTACTTTTCTTCAGGTCCTACTGGCCAAACGCAAGTCTGACGGAGCCTTCTACGCAGTGAAGGTGCTACAGAAGAAGTCCATATTGAAGAGCAAAGAGGTACCAGAACTCGGGAAGGCTCACTTCCCCTCCTGCTTCTTCATCTCCAGCCTAGCATGGCTTCCCAAGAGGTCCAGTGGGGGCAGCTCAGAAAGTCCAACTGGCACACAAGATCCTAACCTTTTTAGAGGAAGGCAGGCCAAGCCATCTCCCTAGGAGCTTTCTGGAGGATGGAAGGTCTCTACCTTCCAGTTAACAGGTTCACGGATGGACCAGCTCTCTGCTCCCTCTAGGTGTCAGACTACTGTGTGCACACTATGGGCTCATAGTGCAGCTTCTTAAAAGGCCCTTTCAGCCTGGCTTGGGGGCAATAGAGAGCCAATGTGAGTATTTGAGCTGGGACAGGAAAAAGCCTTGGGAGGACACGTCTATGAGCAAGGTCACCTGACTAACTGGGATGAAAGGCACTGTCCTCGACTGTGACGTGGACCTGTCTGTGTGACTCCATAGCAGAACCACATCATGGCAGAGCGCAATGTGCTACTGAAGAACGTGCGCCACCCCTTCCTCGTGGGCCTGCGCTACTCCTTCCAGACCCCAGAGAAGCTCTACTTCGTGCTTGACTATGTCAACGGAGGAGAGGTGAGTGGACCTCAGGAGGGGAACTGTCCTCCTGTGTGTCCACTGCGTACCCCACTCCAGAGTGATCTCACTGAACCCCTATAACAGAGCTACTTGGTAGACTCAGTAAGGCGCTCCTCAAGACAACCCAGTCTACACCAGGTCCCGTTTACTCCTGATATTGCAGGAGTGTTTCCTATGCAAGGTGGCTCATACTTACTTTCAGAGACCCCAGGAAAGGGCTCTACCAAGAGAAATGTGTGGTCACTGTTCCCAGTGCTTCCATTTCCCACACCCAGGCCACAGGCCCAGGCCCATCACTATCATCTTTTTTATTTCCATGTATATGTATTATTACTCCTATTTTTATGTGAGGGGCAAACGTGTAGGTGCATGTGTGTTTGCACATGGAGGCCAGAGGCTGATGATGTCAAGAGTTGTCTTCAGCTTTCCTTCCGTCTTTTTCATCAAATCAGAGTCTCCCAACCAAACCCAGAGCTTGACAGTGTAGCTAGTCTTGCTAGCCAGCTTGCTCTCATGATCCCGTCTCTACCTTCCGAGGCTGGAATTACAGGTGGGCAACCATGCTCTTCTGGCATTTATATTGGTCTCTGGGGACCTGGACTTGGGTCTTTATACTTGCACTTTAACTACCGAGCTATTTCTCTAGCCTGATGTCACTGTCCTAAGTAGAGACCTGAGTCACCTGCTAACCCCAAAGCAGGGAAGGGACAAACTAGGCACCATCTTGGACTTTGCTTTGTCTTACTGAACAAAGGGGTAAAATTTAATAGGGGCTCTCCTCAGTTGCACCAGATTTGGCCTATAACCAAATGTTTTCAGCATGAGCCCAACAGGGGAGGTTTTTATCCCTCGCATCCCTAAATGAAGACTTTGCAACCAACAAAGCAGACCAAACAGAAAGATCTAGAGCTGAACTCAGTGTGGCATCCTAATGCTTGGGTTAAAGAAAAAGTACATTTTTGTTGGGCGTGGTGCCTCACACCCATAATCCCAACACTTGGGGTACAGAGGTAGGAGGATTAAGTTCAAGGTCAATCTGGGTTCATAGAATATACCCCTTTCTACTCCCTCCCCAGCTCCCTGCCCACAACGTATGTCTTGAACTACCTGGTTTCAAATTCTAAGTCTGCCAACTCTGAGATGTGAGATCTTAGACAAATCATTTAGCTCCTCCTCCTTAGATACAAAACTGGCGTCACAGCTGAGATCTTGAAGATGGTCACGAGGATTAAACAGGACTTGTGTGAGACCCTGACTTGCAGCCTGGAAGACAGTGGCTGCTTAATTATGCTGACCAAAGACAGGGAGAGCACAAGCACCCTGAGGGGTGGGGTCAGATGCAGTCTCTCCTGTCCAGTACACCTCAGCTAAGCCTAGGGTGACTGGCCTGCGCAGAGTCAAGGGTCTTGAAGGCCCCTGTCTTGTGATCTAGAACCTGGAATCCAGAAGCCATCTCACTGTCCCCTCTCCTAGCTCTTCTTCCACCTGCAGCGGGAACGCAGGTTCCTGGAGCCCCGGGCCCGGTTCTACGCTGCAGAGGTGGCCAGCGCCATTGGCTACCTACACTCCCTCAACATCATTTACAGGTGAGGCCTGCTCTTGGCTCGTGCTCAGTCCCAGGACCTTTGGCTCCACCAGGCAGGGATTGCGTGGGCCATGAGGTTCCGGTGAACTGGGTCCTTTGACTGAGGCAGGCTCTTATTTTGGATTGAGGTGTCCTTCCCTTAAGAGTCAAGTACCCAGCTTCCCTGGATTTTTCCTTATTCATCTGTGGGAGCTTCCAGGAGTTTCTCCCACTGGGACCCAAGTCCCCAATTCACTCAGTAAATGGCTGTTTTCTCTTATTTTCTGCAGAGACTTGAAGCCAGAAAACATTCTCTTGGACTGCCAGGTGTGTGTTGTGTGTGTGTGTGTGTGTGTGTGTGTGTGTGCCCGCATGCAGCTCAAATCTGTGCTCTTCAGCCATGGTCTGTGTACATTGGTAATTATGCATTATACATGTATGCATATGGTAACATACATTCTTGTGTGCAAGTGTACATATGTGCTCATGCACATATCTGTGTATATAAACGTGCACAGGAGACACGCACAGGTACAGATGTCAGTGCAGATATAGTTACGTAGGCCTGTGGCGGTGGTGGTGGTGGTGGTGGGGTGCAGCTCTGTAGACCTTCCATGTTTCCTGATTCCCTGGAGACAGACCCCAAGATGGAGAGGGGTACAACTCTAAGGGGGATGAAAACAGGGTCAGGCAGAGGGAAAGGTGTCACTGCACCGTGGTTGCAAGAGAAGCCTCAGGACCTCTCACAGGCCGGACGCCCTCAGGACAGATGGCTCTCACCATGCCTGGTGATGAGTTGACTGAGATTTGGGCCTTCACAGCCCCTCTTGCTCAGTGGCTGGTTGTGGACTGCCCTCTAGAGGGCAGCACAGCTTTGGACAGCGGTACAGGCCCAGCAGTGAGGATTGCCCGCAGCAGTTCCTAAAGTCTGATAGCCCCTCTACCTGTCTATCTTCTCCATCCTCGTGCCCAGTTGACATTGGTGGGCTTGATTTCTCAGTCCTCAGCCCTCTGTCTAGAGCATTGCTACCCAGCAAGAAAACCCTGGAGTTGCCACTGTGGTAAGCACGGGCCCCGAGTCATGATGTCATGGTCCCAGCCTGTGCCCCGAGATCTCCTGGCATCCGGGCCAGGAACCCTGAGTCTTCAGAAAGCATGCAGCCTGTGTCTCCTCGCCGTACTGCACAGCCATTTCTCTAAGGTGTGGCATTTGACCTTTGACCCCTAACCCCTTCCTGTTGTCTCTCACCCACAGGGACACGTGGTCCTGACAGATTTTGGCCTCTGCAAGGAATGTGTGGAGCCCGAGGAGACCACATCCACTTTCTGTGGCACTCCCGAGGTACGTGGAGGACCTATGGAGAAGACAGGCCATAAGTGGCTGACGCCACAGCCCCTAAATAAAGCCACCAGGCTACAGCAGCGAGGCCTCACTCCATCCTCTCAAGCTCTTCCCCGAGTCAGCCCTAAGCTGAGCGCTCATTTCCTCATAAGTGTCAAGGAACCAGCATTTGGAACGGTGGGCACCCAGCTACCTCTAGTGAATTCTACTGCTGCCCAAGTGGGCATGGGCAAGCTACTGCTAAATGTGGGCTTGCACGCCTGTAATCCCAAGCACTTGGGAATGGGGACAGGAAGATCAGGAGTTTGAAGCCAGACTCAATTATACAGTAGGACCCAGGCCAGCTGGGACTTCATGAGACCAAAAACAAATAGATGGAGGTTGAACTCAGAGCCTCAGGCGTTCTAGGCAACTACATTAAAAAGTAAAAAGATGGGCTGGAGAGAGAGATATCAGTGCTTGAGAGCACAGGCTGCTCTTCCTGAGAACCTGGGTTTGGTTCCCAATTTACACACCTCAGCTCACAACTATCTAGAACTCCAGTTCCAACGGATTCAATGCCCTCTTCCGGCCTCCATGGATACTGAATGCAAGAGGTGCAAGCAAAACACCATGCACATAAAATTGAAATAAATCGTGTGTGTGTGTGTGTGTGTGTGTGTGTGTGTGTGTAGACAGGGATAGAGACCTGTCTCAGCAATTAAGAGCATTTGTTGCTCTTGCATAAGATCAGGAATCAGGTCTTGGCAACCACATGGCAACTCACAGCCAATCCACAGTAACTCCAGTTCCAGAGGATCTGGCACACTCTTCTGGTCTCTGTGGGCACATGCATATGACACATGCGTAGGCAAAACACCCATAAAATAAAATTAAATAAATCTTTAAGAAAAGTAAGGACAGGACTGTAGGCTGTAGATAAATGATAGAGCATTCGTCAAGGCCCTGGGTTTGGTTCCCAGTAACACATGCACACATGCACACAAAGTAAAAAGAAACAGTGATGCCAGGCATGGTGGCACATGCCTTAATCCCAGCATTTGGAAGGCAGATGCAAGAATATCTCTGTGAGTTCGAGACTAGCCTGGCATATATAACAAGTTACAGGTTAGCCAAGCCTACATAGTTAGATCCTGTCTTGGGTTGTGCGTGTGGACAGGAAAAACGGGTGAAACTAATTTTAATAATTTTAACAATGCATTTTATTTAACTCAATATATCTCAAGCCTTACATTTCAATACACAGTCAGTATAAAATTGTGAAATAGGACTGTCAAGACTGCTTAGTGGGTAAGGGCACTTGCCACCAGGCCTAAGGGCCTGTGTGTGTTCAATACCCATGTGGTAGAAGGACAGAACTAATTTTTCCAAATAGGTCTTCTGACCTTCATATGCATGCTGTAGCATGTGTACACACATGTGCACACACAACACACACAAATAAAATAAACGTAAAAATGTTGAAATAATGAATGGATGCTGATGACCACAGGAGAACACAGGTTGAAACTGACAGTTTCAACTCCCTCCGAGTGCCTTCTTTACAGACACAGAAACAGTCCAGGCATCCTCAAATAACTGCGCTTCCCTCAACAGTACCTGGCCCCCGAAGTGCTTCGTCAAGAGCCTTACGATCGAGCAGTGGACTGGTGGTGCTTAGGGGCGGTCCTCTATGAGATGCTTCATGGCCTGGTGAGTGGGCAGAGATGTCTCTACAGGACACATGTGGCTTGGGACAACTGAGGGGAGGGTGGCCCCCATTTTATGTGGCTTGGGAAAGCTGAAGGTGGCCCCCCTTTTATGTGGCTTACTCTCATTTTGCACAGGGAATTAAAGAGCTAGCCATCTACCCTGGGAAGGAATGATGAGGCCAAAGTGGATATGAGAAATTAATATCTCTTTTAAATAGTGTCATTTTCACGGTTTACCTTTATAGCACTCCCTCTTTTGCAGAGCGTAGTTACTTTTGTTGTACTAAGAGGGAAACTGAGGCTGAAGGGTCCTATTGGTAGATTGGGAGCCGTCCTGGACTGTATGCTTCAGTGGAAGCCTGTGTGGACCTGCTGAGGTTGACTTTCCTCTGGGCTGGATTCTCCAGCATGGCATGCTGTCAAAGGAGTAAGCTCTGAGGGTTCGGAAGGACCAGTGGGTAGAGGAGCTGGAGGAATAGCAAGGAAGGATAGACCGTGGATGTAATTTAGAGTCCAGCTCTTTTCTTAGCTGTGTGGTTCAGTGGTCCCTAGCCTTGTCTTCTCTTGTCTGCCTCTGGCAGAAGATGGCTGTGAGGCCAGGAAGAAATGCTGAAGGGGAGAGGGGAGAGAAAGGGCATCTAGGAGCTTCCTGTGGGTGTGCACAGCCTGTGGCTCTCTCAGCAATCCTCTATCCCATGCTGGAAGCCTGGAGGTCCTTTCTCTCCCCATCTGCCCTGCAAGCGGTGGCACTGGACGCAGCCTGACCACATACTCCCGGCTATCTAGCTTGCTCTAACCCTCCCTGATGAGACCCCTTTCCTGAGCCCCCAGCTTCTCTCCCTGTCTCCCTAGCCCCCCTTCTTCAACAAAGATGTGGCCCAGATGTATGAGAATATTTTGCACCAGCCACTACAGATCCCTGGAGGCCGGACAGTGGCTGCCTGTGACCTCCTGCAAGGCCTTCTCCACAAGGACAAGAAGCAGCGGTTGGGCTCCAAGGAAGACTTTGTAAGTGACCAAGCAGAAGAGCACAGGTCCCTTCCTGCAGGGACAGCTCAGAAAGCACCTGCCTTCTGCTTTAGAAGCCAGGAGCTGCTGGTGCATTTCCCTAGAAATGACCTTTCTGCCAGTTGAACTCTGTGTGTCTATTTCTGTCTCTCTCTGTCTGTCTGTCTCTGTATATGTGTATGTGTCTTTTTTTTTGTATGTGATATATGTCTATATGTGTGTGTGTGTGTGTGTAGGTCAGAAGTTGATGTCAAATGTCTTCAGTTGTCCACTTTACTTCTTGGGACAGGGTCTCTCACGGAACCTGGCGCTGATTGGCTAGCCTGTCTTTGCCTCCTTGGCTCTGAGTTTATAGAATATGCCATCATTCTCAGCTTTTACATAAGTGCCAGGAATTCAGGCTCGGGTCCTCTTGCTTGTCTGCCAGGCACTTTACCAATTGAACCATCTTTCCCACCCCTGACTCCTTTTTTTTTTTTAAATACAGTTTTTAGGCAACCAATATTTGCAGGATTCTTATTTTGGCCCAGCACTGAGGTAGGTGCTGGGGGTTGAATAGCCTGGGTCTCTGACGTGATTAAGCTTGAAGGTGGAAGGAGACTGACAAAAACCAGAGATTCTGTACACGGATCACAAAGTGTGACAAGCTTCAGGAAGGAAATAAATGATGAGCAGAGACAGACAGTGAAGGTGTATGGGGACAGTTTCACACTGGCATGGCCAGGCAGGTCCCCTCTAAAGACGTAACAAGCTGAACTTTGAATATGGGGAGCCATGCAAAGAATTGGATGGAGGCGTTCCAGCTGTAGGCACAGCATATGTACCAGTCCTGCACAAGGAGGAGAATGGCAAGAAGCAGAATGGCTTTGCTGAGCAGAGGAAGGTTTCAGAAGCTTCTTACCACTTCTGTGCAGAAAAACTACATAAGTGTCTTGCTTTCCACAAATATCTGAGCAATTCACTTTGACAGACTCCTGGCTGGACACATGAGAATGGGAATAAGTAAGTCATAGACTTCATAGTCTGTCTGTTCTTTTCATTCCTGTTCTGACACATACATGTTTAAAGAAAAAGATTAACGCATCAGTTTTAAAAATAAACTTAAACCTGGCGTGGTGGCACACACCTTTAATCCCAAAGTTTGGGAGGCAGAAGCAGAGGCAGGTATAGCTCTGTGAATTCAAGGCCAGCCTGTTCTACAAAACGAGCTTCCAGGACAGTGAGAGTTATTACAGAGAGAAATCCTCTCTCAAAAAACAAAGCAAACAAGCAAACAAAAATCTTATCTATTACTCAGTGTGGGATCATTTCAGGGACAGCAAGATAGTTTGGGTGTAAGGTGACTGCTGTCAAGTCTGACAACCTGAGTTTGATCCCCAGGATCCACATGGTGAAAGGAGAGAACTGACTCCCAAAAGTTGTTCTCTGACCTCCACATGGGGCAGAGGCAGGCAGCTCTCTGTAAGTTTTATTTTTATTTATTTATTTATTTATTTTTGGTTTTTCGAGACTGGGTTTCTCTGTGGCTTTGGAGCATGTGTCCTGGAACTAGCTCTGTAGACCAGGCTGGTCTCGAACTCACAGAGATCCGCCTGCCTCTGCCTCCCGAGTGCTGGGATTAAAGGCGTGCACCACCATTGCCCGGCTCTCTGAGTTTTAAACCGGCCTGTCTGAAAAGTGAGTTCCAAGCCAGCCAGGGTTACATAGTAAGACCCTGTCTTAAATGAGATGGTGGCTGTAGTCCAGATGGCCTCAGCAGCTAACGGATAGACTCCAGGGTTGCCCACCCCCATTCTGTGGGTAGCACAGCTTTTTGATCCATGTGTGTCATATAACAAGCGTTATATACACTGAAAAGATCGCCATGCCAGGTATTGTGATGTGTGGTAACCACTTTGGCTTATTTGCCTATCTGTTTCCCTACCCGGCTTAAAGATCTGATCCGGGCTTCTGCAAAGACAGATCCCTTCTTTCCAGAGAGGAGTTTGCATCTTAGAGCACGCGTGCCTGTGACTCTTGGGACAAGTTTTGTGTTCACAGAAATCAAACTCTGAGAGGCAATACTGACGCAAGGTGTTGGAGAATTGTTCAACGTGAAACAGACAGAGGGAGGAAAGGCGGTTTAGAAACAGAGCAGAAAACCATGCCCAGGACTCGTTCCTCACTCTGAGTCCCTGGGAACCTACAGCTTTCCTTAGGGCTTTCTTTTCTTTTCTTTCTTTCTTTCTTTCTTTCTTTCTTTCTTTCTTTCTTTCTTTCTTTCTTTCTTTCTCAGCTTTCCGTAGGGCTTTCTTTCTTCCTTTCTTTCTTTCTTTCTTTCTTTTCTTCTTCTTCTTCTTCTTCTTCTTCTTCTTCTTCTTCTTCTTCTTCTTCTTCTTCTTCTTCTTCTTCTTCTTTTTGTTTGTTTTTTGAGACAGGCTTTTTCCTTAGCTTTTTTGGTTCCTGTCCAGGAACTAGCTCTTGTAGACCAGGCTGGTCTTGAACTCACAGAAATCTGCCTGCCTCTGCCTCCCGAGTGCTGGGATTAAAGGCGTGTGCCACAACTGCCCAGCTTAGGGCTTTATTTCTAAATATTTATTTATTTATTATGTATACAATATTCTTTCTGCGTGTATGCCTGAAGGCCAGAAGAGGGCACCAGACCTCATTACAGATGGTTGTGAGCCACCGTGTGGTTGCTGGGAATTGAACTCAGGACCTTTGGAAGAGCAGGCAATGCTCTTAACCACTGAGCCATCTCTCCAGCCCCCAGGGCTTTATTTCTTATGTCGTCTTTGGTGAGCAGGTCTATTCTATCTCTCTGGCTTGTATTGTGAAAGAATCAGGATGGATTAACGTGCGTGGAGGTGGGAGGCTGTCTTCAAGCTCCACCTGCATACCCTCTCCCCCGATAACCAGTTCTGCAGTCTTGTTCACAGACATGATGCCCGAGCCTGGTAGGGTGTGGGTGCTGAGACCCAGCTGTGGAAGGCACCTGTGGCTGTAGGGGAAAATCTGGATTCGGATGATGCTGAAGTGAGCTATCTGTCAACGGAATGCTCTCTGGGCTGAGCAAACCAGCCAGAGCTGCAGAGTTCTGTCTAGTTGGTGGCCAGTTGTGGGCACCAGTTGGGGAGTGGCTGTGGTGAGGACTGCTGACCAGTGTCTTCTCCCGCAGCTCGACATAAAGAACCATGTGTTCTTCAGTCCCATAAATTGGGATGACCTGTACCACAAGAGGCTAACTCCACCCTTCAACCCAAACGTGGTAAGTGAGCACAAGGATCTCTCCTGATTGTGGTTTCTGGATTCCCAGAGCTGGTAAGATCTAGGCCAACTGGGGAACCTGAAGGGGCCAAGAGTCTCATCCAGAGCAGCAAGAATGAGAATTGGCTCTAGCCACCCGGTCCCTGATGGCTGGCTCAGCCTTAGAAGGATGAGCTGTGGGCTGCTCCATCATCCCCAGCACTGTAACCCCACCATAGAACTGATACAGGGTTTATTTTGAGAGGTAGTAGCTCAGGCTAGCCTTCAGCTCAAGATTCTCCTACACAGCCTTTTTCTGGTGATAAAAACAATGTGCATTTCTTGTAGGAAGTGTGTAAAATGGAGTTGGAAGCAGCAATAGGGAAATGGCTGGGAGTCTCACCAGGCAAGGGAAACCACTGTTGGTAGACTTCCTTCCATTCCTGAATACCGCCAGGATTTATCATTCCCTGTTTGTATTTTTCCTTTGTGGAGTTCCTGCCCTTGAATGTGACACTAGATTTCTTTTCCCTTTTTTGTGAGACTCTGTACTGGGCTATCCTAGATACTATCTCACTGTCCCCGTGTCTCTGGCTGGCCTCAAACCATGCTGATCCATCTGCATTTTGAGTACTGGGTTTGCAAGAGTGAACTACCGTGTTTCGTGTGTGTGTGTGTGTGTCTTGTCTTTCTCCCCCATTGCCTCTGCCTTGATTAAAAATTGTTACACACATTATACAAAGTACCACATTATACTTAGTACCACATTCTTTGTTTGTAAAAACTGGAAACTATGGAGTTGTCAAGAGCAACACAACTAACAAAGTTAGGCAAGGGTCATGGGTGAGGTTCACATTCTGGTCCAGTAACTGAGCTCTGGGCCGGACTACTGTACCCTATGGCCCTCCTGAGAAGCTGGTAGCTGTGGCTTGTGTGTTTCCCCAGCCCAAGACCTGCTTGTAAGCATACCTGCAGACCCTCCCAACGCTTGCTCACCTGCTTATGTCTGAGAACCCGGGGCAGCGTCTTTTCTGCTGCAGAAACACTAGCCTAGGTTTACTCTTGCCCTCTAAAGTAGGGGGCTTCAAATAACAATCTTTTAAGAGATTTTATTTATTTTTAATTATGTGTGTGTGTGTGAGTGTGTGTAGGTAGGTGTGTGCAGGTGGGTGTGGTAGAGGTGCAAGCTGAGCAGAGGAGGGCATCAGATCCCCTAGAGCTGGAGTTACAGGTGGTTGTGTAAGCTTCCTGAAGGCTGCTGGGAACCACACTTGGGTCCTCTGCAAAAGCAGCAAGCACTCTTAGCAACCGAGCCATCGCTCCACTGAGCAACAGTCTTCTACCTGGATTCTATGGGTTTTTAGAGTGGATGAGCTCAACTCTTCCCTGCGGAGCCCTCAGGTCCATGGTTAGTAATGAAGGAGCTGCTGCTGGTGGTCTGGAATTACCTCACGTGTTTGGTCCCTGAATCCTCTTTGCCTCCATCAAGCCAGTGTGCGCTTGTCTGTGTGGTGGCCTCAGGGTACCCAGAAAGACAACTCCTCTGAGGTACCCTTTTCAAGCCTTCGCTTAGTTATTTGGCAGTATCTGATTGGCCAGTCACATGACTGGCCCATATTAAAAAGATGGTTGTATATAGTCTGTCTCTGGAGTGGAAGTAGAGAATCTATTATCATTTCTTTTTGTTGTTGTTGTTGTTTTGTTTGTTTTTGTTTGTTTGAGACAGGGTCTGTCTATGTATCCCTGGCTGTCCTGGAACTCTTTACGTAGGTAGACCAGGCTGGCCTCGAACTCATAGAAAACCACCTGTCTCTCCTCCCAAGTGTTGGGATTAAAGGTCTGTGTCACTATGCCTCATTCTCACCCTTGGCTTCTACTTACAGGAAGGACCTGCTGACTTGAAACACTTTGACCCGGAGTTCACCCAGGAAGCTGTGTCCAAGTCTATTGGCTGCACCCCTGACACCATGGCCAGCAGTTCTGGGGCCTCGAGCGCATTCCTGGGATTTTCCTATGCGCAGGATGATACCATCTTGGACTCATAAGCGACAAGCGCTTGCAAATCCGCCAAGACCAGCTGGCACCTGCAGGGGCCACCTTCGGCTGCCAGCAAGACACAATGAGTTCGATGACTCAAGGAAGAGGGAAGTGCTTTCTGTCACATGAAAAAGAGTGCAGGCCACCGAGTATCTGCTCAGGCCGGCAGGATAGGCCACCGAGTCCCTGCTCAGGCCAGCAGGACAGGCCACCGAGTATCTGCTCAGGCCGGCAGGACAGGCCACCGAGTATCTGCTCAGGCCGGCAGGACAGGCCACCGAGTCCCTGCTCAGGCCATCAGGACAGGCCACCGAGTCCCGGCTCAGGCCATCAGGACAGGCCACCGAGTCCCTGCTCAGGCCATCAGGACAGGCCACCGAGTCCTGGCTCAGGCTGGCAGGACAGGTCACCGAGTACCAAGCCGTCTGTCATTCTGATTTGCTCTTCTTGAGAAATGACTCCTGCGTTTGGTGGCTGTTGTTGTTGTTGCTGCTGTGACAAAATATCCAAGAAAGGTAACGGAAAGAGGATCTCCTCGGGCTCACCACTTCACAGGTTTCCGTCCACAGCTGGCTGTGGCCTTTAGGCAAAGCTGAGTCACCTCGGTGAAAGGAGTGGCGTGGAAAAGCTGCTCACTTTCTTCCTACCAGGAAGCAGAAATAGAAGCCTGGGCTGGAAATAAGATTTACCCTCGGAGTTACGTCCCAAGTGGCCGACACCCTCCAAGCGGAGCTCACGTTTTAGTTACCTCTCCACCACCTCTCCGTGCCATACGAATCTATGAATGGACTAAATCACCGATGAAGCCTGGGCCCCCGTGACCCAATCTTAAACTAAAACCCCATCAGCTGGACAGGGGAACCTTTAGATCCAAAGTAAAATAGCTTTGAATATTGGGGTTACATGATCACAACATGGTTGCTGATACCATAGCCACCTTTGTGTTCTAAGCAAGAGAAAAGAGGGATGGGACAGGAGTGGGTTACAAAAGGACACCATTAAAGAGTTTCCCAGAAGCCGTTCAGTGACTTCTTTTAGCATGTCATATATCTCCAGCCCTACTTAATGGAGCCTGGGCACAAGCTACTTCTCATAGCAAGGGCGTTCAAACCTTGAGGAAAGGGTTCCATCACTGGCCTGCTCAAGCCTTGAGGCTGCAGCCGCTTTGTACACAAACCCACAGCCCTCTCGATGAAGACAGAGCGCTCTCCTGAAGAGGAGGGGGCCTGTTTGCGGGCGCAGGCCTTTCTCATTTCCATGATAATCGTTTGCACAAGCACTTCCTTCCCTCTGTCCCAAATGCTTCCCCAAACTCTCCGACCCCTCACAACTCCCTGCGGCAGTTTCTATTTCTAAAACTTGGTAATTTGGCATTTCAGGACACCTGGCCTCCCAAACGTCCCAGGTGCCTCAGGCCGACAGGTGTTTCGGCCTCTCCCAACACCTGCCAAGACGCCCTGCGCCTGCGTCCTGCAGCCTGGCGGGGGGGGGGGCGGGCGTGGGTTGCCCACAGCCCCCGCCCTCAGGGAGCCTGGGGACCTACATCGGTCTTTAACTGCGGCTATAAGGAAATAAGCTGGGGTTTATCAAAACGTGAGTCCTCAAGCCTGGCTGCTCCCTCCACCCGCGGGAACTGTCCAGGCCCGCATCAGCTCCGTCCCCAGCCCAGCAGCCCCAGCAATCCCGGCTCGCTCGCTCTGCCATTCTGTCGCTCTGTCGTCATCACTCCGCGGCGGAAGTCGCTCCGGGCCCAGAGCCACGCCTTCTCGGCGCGCGGCCTTGGATACCTGGCTGCCTCTGGCCTTAGGTGAGGAGAGGGCGGGTCGCACGGGCTGACTGGGCGCTGGGGCCTCGGGGGTGGTGACGGCTTCCTCGTGCTGCTCCGGAGACCCCTAGGCCTGCCTTGTGGGAAACCCGAGGTCGGCGGAGGTAAACTGAGGGCGCGTAAATGGGCTGGGGAAGGGTCCTGGAAGTGATCTGAAATCTCTAGCTCCTCAGACTGCGCGGATTCGTTGTCGTCCTGCACAGTATGAAAAAATCCTGGATGAGGAGCCATCAGGTCTTGGACTCGGCTGTTCTTGCTACCACCTCTGTTTTTTCGTCACTCTGACAAAATATGATTTACCTAATAAGGTTATTGAAGAGAAAATAAGAGAATAAGGTTGTCCCTTACTCTACCCAAACATCAGGACCCCACATCTACTCCTCTCACCCGAGGCTAAACTACAATAAACTGTAAACTCGAAGTGTATTCTTCCTTTAAGAACCATTCAATAGCCAAAGCAGGTTATTTGCTTTTCCCGGAAATCTGCCCTCTAGAGAAAAAAAGGGGAGGGGTAGAAAAATCCCAAAACCAGGAAAATATAATTCCAGTTCTGCGATGCATGGGTTCGTTGTGGCCATTAAAATTGTCCATGGAACACAAAAATCTAGCACTGTTACGTGGCGAAATCAACATGGCAAAATGTTTTTTTATTTCATTGAAGGAGTTAGGATGTAGCTTAGTTAGCACAGAGTGCCTGCATGAGGCCCTGGGTGTCTGATCTCAGCACAGAAAAATAAATGCCATTGGAAAGGTAGTGGCATGGTGGCTGTGTGTGTGTAACCCCAGCACCCAGGAACCTGAGACAGTTCAAGGTCATCCTCCCCTACCTAGTACATTAGAGGCTAACCTGGGCTATGAGATGCTGTCTCAAAAGAAAAAAAAATGTATTGAGGGAATCTCTTATCAGCTCTGAAAACATGGATTGGTATTGGGCAGTCTTCTGGTAATTAGGAAGAAATAATGATGGTCATTTTGAGCATCAAGATAAGTTTCAAATGGACCAAGAGTGTTTTTAACTTTTAATTTACATTTATTTGTTGTATATGCATGGGTGAACATGACACCAAGTACTTGTGGAAGTCAAGAGACAACTTGCAGGAGTTATTCTATGGGTTTTTCAGGCTTGGAGGCCAGTGCCTTTGACTACTGAGTCATCTCTTCAGCCCATAGAGGTCTCAGATTATAGTGTTAAAAAATTATGCCATATTTGTCTGCACAAGACCTATCCCAAATGGGGCCTGTCATTATCTCATGGAGAGGGGAGGGCTCAGGAGGCCTTGTCCCTCCCTGAAGCTCTGTGGGCGGGGAGAGACATTTTCCTCAGTGGTACAGTGTTGCCATCCATGTCTCACAGCTTCAGAAGCAATCCTAACTAAACTCATTTATTGAAAGAGAAAAGAAGACATGACAGTTGAGGGAGGACGGTTTAGGGAAGAGAAGGGAATTAGTGGGGATAGGACAAGATCACAAATTGGGAAGTATGATTAAAAAAAATACATTAAGTGCACGAATGAAATTGTTGAATTAATATATGCTAATAAAATCTTAATAAAAAAGGATAATCATATCTCAAAAAATCTCAAAAAAAAGGATAATCATGAAAGTTCAAGAAGAAAACATCGTTGGATATACCCAGAAATCTTACCACAGCAAAAGATTTTTTAAAAATGCTTCATGCTGTCCAGAAGCCAAAAGGAGAAATGTTAATACTTCTGGATCTATAAAACACGTGACCTGTAAAATTAAGCCAGAAGGTTACCAGAAGCCAAGGCTAAAGGCAAATCAAATTTTTGGTATGTTTTGGAGGAGCATTTATGGTAAGGTCTTATTTCATAAATTAAGTTATACCTAAAATCTCTAGAGCTATACTTGACAGTAGTGAGCGGTGAGGACTTGCTTTGGAAATAGGATCTTGGTGTACAACGGGAGGGTGGTGGCAAGGTCAGGAAAGTAGGCTGGTAGGAGGGCCAGAGACCAGCCTGAAAACGAAAGCCAGGCGCAGGCAGGGTTGGCTTTGGCCACCGGCTTTTCAGCTATGATTATGCGTTTTCCTCTCAGCCTTTGAGAATCATTAGGGTTTACATGTAGGTGCAGCTGTGTGTCCTTCACCAGTGTCACAGGGCACTTTTAAAATGCTGCTTCTCTGGTTTGCTTTATCAGGTAACCATGGAAAAGGAGGTGCGGAGTACCATTGTTTTCAATGCATACAAAAAGGAGGTGTTTACCACCAATACTGGCTACAAATCTTTGCAGAAAAGACTTCGGAGTAATTGGAAGATTCAGAGGTGACCATGATCTTGGGCACTGCTTTCTGAGTGCTAATGGTGGCCTACAGTAGAACTGAATAGTAATTTTTTAACTTTCATTGTTTAAGTGGGAGGGGCTCAATTTAATGATTTCTCGGTTAATATTTTGAAGATCAAAGATTCACAGTTATGCATATATAGTATTTAAAGATGTCAGAAGTTTCCCCATTTTTTATACTTGATCTCAGCCAAAAGGCAGAGAAGGTATTCTCCATATTTTAAGTCGGTTTAAAATCTCAGTTTAGGGAAGGAAAAGTGAGAGTTAAATGAGAATGTCTCTTTGTTTAAATGTGCCTTCTTTAAATGTTCTTTTCCCCCTTGTCATGAAGATTGAACCAAAACCTTGCATAAGCTCGGCAAGTACTAAGTTCCAGTTCCAGTCCTTAAATGTTTTTTTTTCTTTTTTCAATGAGTGAAAACATCGTTGTATAGATTAAGATTAGAGCCGGGCTTGGTGGCATGTGCCTGTAATCTCAGCACTGGGGAAGTAGCGTAGATGGAGTAAGAGTTTGAGGTTAGATTTGGCTACATAGTAAGTTTGGGGCCAGCCTGGGCTCTATGAGACCCTGTCTTAAAATATAGAGAAGCTAATAGAAAAATTGATTAAATTAATATTTGGAAGACTTCTTTATTCTTTAGTGTGAGTTCATTTGAACTCCTTTGCTTATTGGGAGATCTCAACTAAGGCCAGATGCCTCCAGGGCACTCGTGAGAGGGGCTCTCACCTAGGGAGAGAGGATCTCACTTCGGGAGAGAGGCTGTTCTATGCCCCTGTCTCAGCCTTTATGGTGCCATATAATTAAGAGCCTAAAATAATTTATAAATTGGTTTAAATTATGGATCTAACTTGCTCTTAAAATCTTATTTATAGCTTGAAAGATGAAATCACATCTGAGAAGTTAATTGGGGTGAAACTATGGATTACAGCTGGACCGAGGGAAAAATTTACTGCAGCTGAGGTAAGGAATATTTATACAGAATATTCATATAGGAAACAAGAGAGGAGGCCAGGAGCGAGCAAGGACCTGAACTAGTGGGTTGGAGTCTCCCTTCTAGACCTACTGTATTGCCTGAAATAGTCATTTCCCCTTCTGGCGATGAACTGTGGTAACCCATGGAGTCCTTAACCCACAGGGAAGGTAGGCAAGGGCCAGGAGCATGTCTTTGCCTTAAATTTACTTTGAACATAGGAAAACTCCTGTGTGGCCTAGGCTGGCCTCAAATCTGTAATCCTCCTACGTCCACTTTCTGAGTGCTGGAATTACAGGCGTGCACCACCATGCCCAGCTTATCAGTGCATTGAAACCCATAACAAAAACAGTGGCATTTATAATACAGGTGGATGCTACTCCTAAGTGTTGGGTCCTCTTATAGGTGTGCACCACTGTTTTATCCAGGATCTAGTATCTGCTAGGGGACCACTTCTATCACCTAAGCTACGTCCCCTGTCCCTGTTTGAGCATGTTAGAGCTTTGATGTTCAAAGGTAAACCTGGAGATGGGACTTTGTGTGCTTTTGTTTTACATTCTACTGGCATCCAGGAATTCACTGTGTAGACCAGGCAGGCCTCTAACTCACAGAGATCCTCCTGCCTCTGCCTTTGCTGGGATTAAAAACATGCACCACCACCCACAGAGGAGATGATCTTGTACAGTGAGAAAATATATACTAGTCTAAGAACATTTAAATAGTTTATAGATTTGAAATGTTTCTTTTTAGTTAGTTAAGGTTTTATTCATGGTATGGATATTTTAAACAAAAGTCTTTTGGCCATATTCACAGTCTGCTTTTCCCTTCACATAGTTTGAAGTCCTGAAGAAGTACCTTGACGGTGGTGGGGACATCCTTGTGATGCTGGGAGAAGGGGGAGAATCCAGATTTGATACCAATATCAACTTTCTTCTAGAAGAATATGGAATCATGGTTAATAATGGTGATTATTATCTCACTACATTTTATTTACTTGTGTGTGCCACAGTGTACATATGGGAGTCAGAGGACAACGTGGGGGAGTTGGTTCTCTCCTTCCGCCATGTGAATTTCAAGGTTCAAACTCATGCTGTTAGGCTTGGTGGCAAGTGCATTTACTCACTGAACTGTCATTGGCATGGTTGTTAGTATTTTAAACAAAGGTACTGATTGCCTATTTAATGCTTGTATCATAGCCCTCTTGACCTGCTGATCACTGGGGGAAGACTCTCCCAAGGTGACATGGTCACCATCCTGAGCTCACTGGTACACTGAACTAGTACACTAAAGTGGGAGGGATTTGAACAGAGTTCTAGGTTTCTTTTTATTTCAAAATTTGGATGAGTCTCTATGTCAAGGTTGTTTCTAATCTAAAATGTGCCTTCCTCTTTTGCCCCATAAGATGCTGTGGTTAGAAATGTATATTACAAGTATTTCCATCCCAAGGAAGCTCTGGTTTCAGACGGAGTGTTGAACAGGTAAGGGCGCTGAAAGCAGAATGCCCTTCATGTGGCTTCCATTCGTCTTGCACCTTCTCACTGCCACGCCGCCCTCCTTTCTTGGCCTTTATGTTTTATTTATTATTCTCCAAAACTATTCTTTCATCATTGGAAACTTCACATTTACCTTTGGTCAGGATATTCTCTCTCCACTTCAAGAAAAAGAAAACCCCATCCAGGCAGGATTGAGCAGTAAAGAAACTTTATTGCTTTGGGTCACGGGAATGTGCAGCAGTAGAGTAGGCTTTGAGTGTGGAGTGACTGAAGGAGCCACAGCGCTAAGACCGCAGTTCCTCTGCTCTCAGCTTTGCATTCCTGTTTGTTTGTGTAGCTGACTGTGTTTGTGTGTTTGTCAGGTCGTCATCTTCTCCCCCCGCTTTATTTTTTAATTTTTTTTGACCAGTTCTCTATATGTAGCCCAGTCTGGTCTCAAACTTGTGATCATCCTGCCTCACCCTCCCAAGTGCTGGAATGACTTGTGTGCCTCCAGAGCTACCTTCCAACAAGTTTTAAAGTTCCCTAATTCATAACTGTTTGCTACAGTGTCTAGAGGTAGCATGATTTGATTTGGTCTCACCATTCCCACAAGAGTAATAACTGGGCTGGAGAGATGGCTCAGAGGTTAAGAGCACTAGCTGTTCTTCCAGAGGTCCTGAGTTCAATTCCCAGCAATCACATGGTGGCTTAGAACCATCTATAATGAGATCTGGTGCCTTCTTCTGGTGTGCAAGCATACATATAGGCAGAACACTGTATATGTAATAAATAAATCTAAAAAAAAAAACAACAACAACCGAGTAATAGCTCCAAGATATGCTGTTTGAGCCATCTTCAGACCCATGCCCAGCCTGAACTGACCCTGATTTCACCTCATGGAGATTGAGACTGTCAGCTTTCATTGCTCTGGATCCTAAAACAGATGAGGGGCTTTTAGAATTGGAAAATGGGTACATGAGAAGGCAGTATCAGGTGCCTTGTGAGCTTTCTCTCACGTTGGAAATTACTCCTTCTACACTCGAGCTTGCCATCTGCAAGTACTCTGCTGACCCTAGTTATACAGTGTAGAGTGTGGATCTAGGGTATAGGCGCTTTCCTTAGGACTGAAGATGGAGAGACTGAGACAGTGTGGTTGAACACTCCTGTAATCCTCACACCTGGGAGTATAATACAAAAAGATTGGCTCAATTCTGAGGCCAGTCTTGGCTAAAGAGTGAGTGCCAACCAGTGCTCCATGGGCCCTCCTTCACTCCCTCCTTCCCTCACTCCCTTCTTCCTTCCTTATTATATGTTCATTCTTTGAGAAGTTCATACAATGTATTTCAGTCATATTACCCCCATTCCTCCCCTTAATTCCTCAGATTCACACCATCTTCCCACCCCAACTTTGCATCCTCCCTCTTTTTAAGCCTCTCTTCTTAAAACAACACAAAAAGGAACTGAACTAGATATTTGTCTAGTTGATTCCTTTTTTTAAATTTTTTGGAGTCAGTCTCACATAGCCCAGGCTAGCTTTGAACTCCTGATCATGCTGTTCTTCCCTCCTAAGTGTTGAGATTACATGAGTGTACCACCAGACTGTTTATGTGGTCTTAGGAATTGAACTCAGGGCCTGGTGTGTGCTAGGCCAGCACTCTTCCAGCTGAGCCCCAGCCCAAGCCTAAGTTTTTTGTTGTAATAGTCACGGTTTATTGTTGCTTTGTTGTTTGAGACATCCTTTGTAGCCTTAGGTAGCCTAGAACTCACTCTGTAGACCAGGCTGGTCTGGACTCTCAGAGATCTCTCTGCCTCTACCTCCCTAGTGCTTGGGATAAATGCCTACACCACCATGCCTGGACCAAGCCTAATTTTTTAATGGTAATTTTTGCAAGCATCAGAAAAGAATGTGGGTATGTGGGTGTGTGCTTTTATTTCCTTTTTAAAAACTGCTAAAATATAGAATCCTTTTGCCTAGTTGATATTTACTGTTTGATGAAGGCAGTGTGAAATTCCCCAACTTCTTTGCTTATCAGATTTTAATGTTTTGCTTTTAGGGAAATTAGCCGAGCAGCAGGAAAGGCTGTGCCTGGAATCATTGATGAAGAGAGCAATGGAAACAATGCCCAGTGAGTGTGCTTCTGCAGCTCCCTGCCCAGTGAGTGTGCTTCTGCAGCTCCCTGCAGGAAAGGAGCTCTCACTTCCAAGAGTTACCTTTTTCAAAATGAAGAGTTTTCTGGTTATAAAAGTAATTCTCACCAAAAGAACCCCACAACCACCAGTAGCAAAATCTCAGTTGGGAGCTGCAGAGATGGTTCAGTGGTTAAAAGTGCACAGTGCTCTTGCAGTACTTAAGGTTAGCTCTCAGCAGCCATATCAGGCAGCTTCAGTTACACGTAACTCCAACTTCAGGGACTCTGAAGCCCTGTTCTGGTCTATGGACACCTCCACACACATACACACTTAACTAAAAACAAAGAAAATAAACCAAACTCCAAACCATGGTAAAGCTTAAAAGGAAGCAGAGTAGAAATTCCGCACTGTAAATCCATGCTCCTCCCTTCAATAGAGGCGTTGTGTCTTAAGAGTGTGGAATTTAGATTTCCGGGTTGGTTGTTATTTTTGGTTTTTGGGTTTTTTTTCCCCTGCACATAATGATATATCTAACCAAGCACTTTATAATGGTTTATGTAACTAAGTAGTTTATTATTTTAAATGACTGGATCAGATTAGCTACATTTTAATTTATCTAAGTAGTGGTGAAGGCATTGCCCAACTTCACATGACTAATCTGTTGTCAGATCTTGGATTCAGACCTATGCGGTTTGCCCCAGAGAGAATCTACCCTTTTTTTTGGAGACAAGGTCTTGCTATGTGTTCCAGGCTGGCCTGAAACCTGCTGTGTAGTATGAGATGGCCTCCCAGTCTTCTTGTGTTAGGACTTTGAGTGCTAAGATTACAGATGTGTGCCCCATGTCCTGCCAGAGACCGTACTTGGTTGGTTTTATTATATTTTTACTTAGTGGTTTGTGCACATGTGTGGAGGTTGGAGAGCAGCATGTATTCATTCTTTCCTACTGTGTGAACTCAGGATTGGTGGCAAGTGTTTTTACCCACTGACCCATCTCTTGGCTCCTAAAATCCATTCCGTAATCACTTGGATGTGTTTGTTTTCTTACAGGGCTCTCACCTTTGTTTACCCATTTGGTGCCACGTTGAGCGTCATGAAACCTGCGGTAGCTGTTCTGTCCACAGGCTCTGTCTGCTTCCCACTTAACAGACCTATTCTGGCTTTCTATCACTCAAAGGTATTGACTTTCTTAGATATGTGGGGGGGGGGGGTATTATTTTATTTTTGAAGTAAAAAAGTTACATTATGATGGACATATGCCTTTAATCCCAGAACCGGGGAGACAGAGGCAGTTCAGAGCTCTGTGAGTTGAGTTCTAGGCCAGCCTGGTCTACATAGTGAGTTCCAGGCTAGCCAAGGCTACACAGTGGTGCCATGTTTTGAACAGAAAACACACACACGACAAAATAGTAATATTTTTCCTGTAAAATGTTTACTTCTTATGAGATATAGAAGCTAGTCTGTTTTCCCACTGAACAATTGGATTTATTTCTAATTGTCTGTAATTATGACTACAAATTGTGTATAGAGTCTCTGTTTTGGATTGTTGGTTGCAGGGTTTTGTTTTGTTTCCTTTAAAATTTGTGTATGTGTGTGTGTTTAGATGTTCTTATGGTGTGCATGTGTGTCGGGAGGTATGCATGTGTCTTCATTTGTGTGTATGAATATGAACACATGTATTCCATGGCACACAAATGGAGGTCAGAGGACAACCTTGGAAATTGGTCTTCATCTTTGACTTTGAGACAAAGTCTCTTGTTTTGTTTCTGTTATATATGCCAGGCTAGCTGGCTCACAAAATTCTAGGGATTTTGTTTTTTTTCTGTCTCCCATAACCACACAGGAGTGCTATGGTTATGGTATGGACATGTGTGCTACCTCAACTGGTTTTATATGGATTCTGGGGATTAACATTCAGTCCCTGTGCTCACGTAACAAGTACTTTACCCACCAAGCTATCTCTTCCGCCTTGGCTAAAGATAAAGACAATTTTAGTAGCAGTGTAGTGTAAGAACTCACTCATTAGCCAGGCAGTGGTAGTGCACACATTTAATCCCAGCACTCAGGGGGTAGAGGCAGGTGGATCTCTGTGAGTTGTGACCAGCCTGGTCACAAGAGTAGTTCCAGGACAGGCTCCAAAGCTACACAAAGAAACCCTGTCTTGAAAAACCGAAAAAAAAAAAGAAAAGAAAAGAAAAGAAAAGAACTCACTCATTGAAATCTAATAAACACTGATCATTTTTTTTATATTTATCAGAAAGGCAAAGATACTTTGTTTTTATTTGTTGAAAAATAGTAATGTAGGTGTCGGTGAGATGGTTCAGTAATTAAGAACACTTGCTGCTCTTTCAGAGACCTCACTTTGATTCCTACTTGGAGGCTCACAACTACATATAATTCTAATTCCAGGGCATCTGATACCCTTCTCTGGCCTGCACAGCTTGTTACGTGCACAGCCTGTTATGTGCACATGGTGCACATGTATTCATGTAGGTAAAGCACTCATATACATAAATGAAAAATAAATGTCTCTAAAAATGAGTAACAGTAAAGAGTAATTGTTTTCATAGTTGGTACTTTTCAAATGTTAAGTCTTGGTGGGAATTGGCATTTATTGGTGTATCAGACAGTTGCTAATGTAATAAATGAGACATGCAGTGTGTTTCCGGACCTAAGCATCTGACACTGCTTTGTCACCAACAGAACCAAGGTGGGAAGCTGGCAGTGCTTGGCTCATGTCACATGTTCAGTGACCAATATTTGGATAAAGAAGAAAACAATAAGATTATGGTAAGCTTTTTTCTTTCATCAAATTAATGCACACTATGTAAATATGACTTCCATCCCAATAGAAAATACTGATAAGTACATTTGCCACTTGTCTACATGAGTTGTACTGAACTGAGTAGATATCAGGCACTAAAAACACAAAGTTGAGTTGGGCGTAGCCCTTGCTTTACAGAAGTTTATGGTGTATCAGGAGAGTGACAGACAGTTTGGTGAATCTAGAAAAGTACTGGGGAAGCATGCTGAATAGGAGTGGTGACTGACTGTGGAAAAGTGGTGAGGAGCAAGCCTCCCTTGTAAAGCAAGTAGTGTGAGCTTACACTGAAAGCACGGGGAACAACCTTGGTGGTGTTCTGTTGTGTGATGTTTCACTCTTTTGGCTTTTTGAGGCACCCACCACCCAACTCCCAAATAAATCATACACAGAGGCTTATACTTAGTTATGAATGTCCGGCCTTAGCTTGGCTTGTTTCTTGCCAGCTTTTCTAACTTAAATATATCCTGATTACCTTTTGCCTTTGGGCTTTTTCCTTCTTACTTCTGTATATCTTACTTTACTTCTTTCTCTGTGGCTTGCTGTGTACCTGGGTGGGCTGACCCCTGACATTCTCCTTTTCTTGTTCTCTCGTTGCTTGCTCCCCCTTGTCCTCATTTCTCCTTCTATTTATACCCTCTGCCTGCCAGCCCCACCTATCCTTGCTCCTGCCTTGCTCTTGGCCATTCAGTTCTTTATTAGACCATCAGGTATTTTAGACAAGCACAGTAACACAGCTTTTTGTTTGTTTGTTTTGTTTTTTTGTTTTTGTTTTTAGAGACAGGGTTTTTCTTTAGCTTTGGAGTCTGTCCTGGAACTAGCTCAGTAGACCAGGCTGGCCTCAAACTCACAGAGATCCACCTGCTTCTGCCTCCCTAGTGCTGGGATTAAATTAAAGGCGTGCACCACTACCACCTGACAAACAGCTTTATAGAGTTAAACAAATGCAACATAAACAAACGCAACACACCTTAAAATAATATTCCTCAACAGTGCTCAGACCCCTCTAGATTGTGTGGACAGAGCCAGTTAGGAGGCTGGTGGAGTTACCAGAGCAAGGACGATGACTGAGTGAAGGTTGTGACTAGTGAGTAGCCAGGGCTGGCAGCATGAGTTAGCGAGACTTTTCTGTATAAGATGATGAGGATTGAAGTAGAAGCTTGCCTTTGTCCTGTCTATGTAATGGGAAGAGCACGTGTCTTGTGAGGATGATAATGGGGAAGCAAGCATTTTCCTAGTGCCTGCTAGAACTGAACACTGGAATTGCAGCCGCTCATCTGCCAGAGGGAGATGTGTGTTAGCGGAGTGAGCCCTTCTAGTCTTCCATGTAGTGGGAGGTGGACCAGGGACTACCTGATTCAGTGCCTCTCACTGTGCTCAGAATCCTAAATGTTTGCTTTGAAAAGCTGCTTGTTTTTTTTTTTTTGTATAATTATGATTTTGTCATATTACAGTAGCCGCAGTTAAAAAGGTATGCTTTTAAAAGTTTAGACTGTCATTTTAGTAAACAAAGGCTGCTTAGGATTGTGAATAGGTTTTTAGTAAGTTTTGACTTGCAACTTGTTAGAATACTTTGAAGCAAATGATAATAAAGGTTTGCATTAGACTGAAGAAAACCTGTTAATTTCCAAATATTTTACCAACAAAAGACTGAAAGTCCTTTTTAAAATTACTGGTTGTCTTTTTTCCCCACCTTAATTAATTTAGCTTGACCTTCAGCATTCCCAAACAGCCAGGTGTCTAACTGTATTTATCATTTTAAATACAGGATGTTGTATTCCAGTGGCTCACGACAGGAGACATCCACCTAAACCAGATTGATGCTGAGGACCCAGAGGTAGGAGATTGAATCACTGGAAGACTGAACTGGAAAATGAGGCCAGCTTCTTAGAACCTCTTCCACAGGAATAGATGTCTCTTAACTCATCCTTGAGACAGTTGGAAAGAGAGCGATGCTGCTTGGGGAAAGGAAGGGCACATTATAGAGAGTCAGGTATCAATAGACACAATAGATAGTTAATGATAGGATTAATTGAAGTCAGTGCTTCCATATAAACATCAGGATTAAAATTAGCTCTCTGGAAGATTGCTGGGCTAGAGAGATGGCTCAGTGGGAAAGGGCCTTGTTGTCAAACCTGACAGCCTGAGTTCAATCCCCGGGACCCACATGATGGAAAGAGCGAGCCAGCTCCTATACATTGTCCTTCACTGGCACAGGCATGCCTTAGTGCATGTGTCCCCAAATATTCAAATAAATAAAATACAAAGTAAAATTAAAAACACAACAAGTTAGGACAATTAGTCATCCTGGGAAGACTATGTTTATGTCTGGGTGTCTAAGCCTTGATGACTGTCTGAACTAGGATTTCATGGAAGGCCTCTGGCTGGAGATGTGGAAACAGACGGCTGGCCTGTTTCTGTCCTTTGAGTTGTGTGCTGGATGTGTCATGGCACAGTCTCCTTGCCATTGCTCTCACCCTTAGCCCATCGTCATTGGAGTTTAAAGTAGCTAAAGCTGCCACATATTCCTGCAAAGGAATCTGTTTGTTTCTTGAGTTAAACAAAAGTTTGAGGATTGGGAAAAGTCATTGGTTTCATTTTTGTTTTTATATTTGTTTAGGCTGGGTTTCACTGTGTAGTCTTGGCTACCCAGCATCTCAATTTGTAGACCAGACTGTCCTTGAACTCACAGTAGCCACCTACCTCTGCTGCCTATCAAGTACTGGGATTAAATTAAATTAAATCACAGGGCTACAGAAAAACAGTGAATGTATTCTATTATTTCTATAATGTTCAGGCAAGTCTCTTATGCTGAAGGTAAAGATTTTGTGAAACAGGACTAGCAATTTGGTTTGTTTGTTTGGTGGTTGAGGTCAAATCCAGAGTACCATACACTGAGCATTCAATGTCTGAGCCATCCCCCAGCCCTTCAGATGACCAACTTCTGTTGCTATTCTTTGTTTGAGTCAGTATCCCTGTGTAGTCCATGCTTGCCTTGAGCTTACAGCAGTCCTCCTGTCTCAGCCTCCTGAGTGCTGAGATTATAGGCTGTGCTGCCATGTCTGGTTATATATCAGGGTTTTTTGCTTGTTTATTTTATTTTTTAAGTTTAAATCAGTTTTCTATTGGATAACCAATTAGGAGGCTCATCCTTGGGACTAGCTCCTTCTACTCTCAGCAATAGCAGTCATTAGCTGCTCGCAGTTCTTTGTCTAGGGATGGAACAGTGTGAGATTTGCCCCTTCCAAATTAGCATGTCTGTTGGTCTTGTCATTGTTCAGGTCTTGCTTAGGCTGCCACTTTGTTGAGGTACCAACAAAGTGTAGCTTTTCTGTCATTACTGGGAGACAGTCTCACAGCAGACTTTCTTGTCCTCTGGTCCTCTGGTTCTTACAGTCTTCCACTCTCTCTTCCTCGGTGTTCCTTGGGCCTTAGTGCAGTTTGAAGCTATTCCAAAGTAAAGGGATTCCAGGCATAGACTAATAGGTAATGGATTGACATAGTTCTGGGTTTAAAGGTCATACACAGTGAGTAGTCTTTCTTCCGTCTTCCAGCCAGGCTGTTCTGTTTCCCTCCAGTGACAGCCGTCATAGGCTCCCATAGCTTCTTCAGAGATAGTGTCTGCTTAGGTAAGCTAGTCTGTGTGGGCTTCCTTTTTCTCATCTTATACACACACACTGTGTGTACATTATCCACCACCTTAAAAATTACCACCGGAACTGGGCATGATGCAAATACATGTAGTCCCAGCTTTGGGGAGGTGGAGACCAGAGGATCAGAACTTCAAGGTCAGCCTCAGGTTAGTAGTGAGTTCTAGGCCAGTCTGTGCTACATGTGACCCCTGGGAGGAAAATTATCAGTGAAATATTTTTCATATTTTTTTTTGCGGGGAGGGAGAGGAGTGGGGGAGGGTGGAGGGGTGTTGTAGGAAAGCCGCTTGTTCGTTTCCCAGCTGCCCAGACTCCTGAAATAATCGCACAGATACTATATTATTTAAATCACTGTTTGGCCCATCAGCTCTAGCTTCTTATTTGCTAACTCTTACATCTTAATTTAACCCATCTCCATTAATCTGTGCATCACCACAAGGTCGTGGCCTACCAGCAAAGTTTCAGCACATCTGTCTCTGGCATTGGCTCCATGACTTTTCCCTACTCCGCCCTTCTTTCTCTCAGCGTTCAGTTTAGTTTTCCCCATCTAGCTCTGTTCTACCCTATCAGGCCAAGTCAGTTTCTTTATTAACCAATGGTATTCATAGCATACAGAGGGGAATCCCACATCCAAGGAGTTCAAGATAGGGTTTCTCTGTGTAGCTTTCCTGTCCTGGAACTCGCTCTGTAGACCAGGATGCCTCTGCCTCCCGAGCGATGGGATTAAAGGTGTGTGCCACCACCACCCGGCTCCTGTTCTTTATTGAAGAACCTCCTATCTGTTCTTTATTCTTTAAGATTTACTTTATTTTCTTGGAGTGTGGGTGTGCCTGCCTCTATACATATATGTACCACATATGCAGATGCCCAAGGAGGCCAGCATGAGATCCCGTGAAGCTGCAGTTGTTGTGAGTCTCCTGAAGTGGGTACTGGGAATGAAATGCCGGTCCTCTGAAAAGCTCTTAATGCCGAGCCGTGTTTTCCCTTTGTTTAAGCATAAACATGCTGCCCCTTATTAAACAGTGTCTTGAGATGGACAGTTAGACTCTCCTGGTCTTTTCCTCTTACCAGCACAGAGCACATCATCACTGCTCTGAACAGTGCTGGGATGTCCTTGACTGAGGGAGAAAGATTAGGGTATAGGGTGCAGGGGGAGAGCCAGTCTGCATTGGTGTCACATGTGTTCATGCATCTAACAGGAGATAGCAGACATGGCCCAGATGCTGGGGCAGGGGAGGTAGGTGTGTTTTAGTGGGAGTTTATGGAATTTTTTTTATCACCTCCAATTTCTCACTGGAATAGTAAAGAAAGTTGTTCATTAAAATAACCTTAAGGAAAATTGTTTTGGATGGTTGCAGTGGTAAAAGGGATATTGCCTCAGATGGAGATGTGAGTAAATTTGAGAGAGAGTTGATTGCCTAGTGTTCAGGGCGAAAGGCCACAGTAGTAAAAAGAGAGCAGTTGAGTCACCTTGGCTCCAGCTGTGTTCAACTGCGTGTGTAATTGCAGAGTTGGACTCAGCCAGCTTTGGGTTCAGTCCAGTAGCTTTCTTCCTCTTTCTGCTTAAAGTGTCTGATGGAAGTTGTCAGTGATGATCGGCGGTGAGATCTCTTGGCAAGGAAATGGAAGTTTTGTAGATTGTGACCCGAGATGGATGCTTGACAGAGTAAACTCCATTTACTTTTGCTGAGGGGGACTCTTGTTTGATTTTCAGATTTCCGACTACACGATGGTACCAGACACAGCCACCCTCTCAGAGCAGCTCCGAGTGTGCCTCCAGGAGGGTGATGAGAACCCACGTGACTTTACCACCCTCTTTGACCTGTCCATTTACCAGCTGGACACCACCTGCCTCCCCAAGGTCATCAAGTTAGTACTGAGGCTGCCTGGGCTGCACACTGCAGTCCACGGTGGTTTGAAAACCTGAGTGTGGAGCTGTGGCAGGAAAATGTGTCTCAGCTCTGTGATGAATCAGTGGGGACACGGGTGTGGGTGCATGAATGGTGTAGAGGAACTGCTGCTGGTCACTGTCCGCCTGTGTCCCAGGATCTAAAAGGCATTTCAGGTGACCTGACTTTGCTACCTTGCCAACAGCTTTTCTGGGTTTAGCACAAGTCCTGGGTTCTAAGAACTCCTTAGTAAACAGGTATGTTTGGTCCCCCTTAGAAGCACTTAAACAGAGCAGAGAAAGCACTGAGTCTCTCAGGCTTGTCCAACACAGCCTATGAGGCCCATGCCCGTGGACTCTTCCTCCCATATCCTTTACCCCTCAGCTGCTCTTCCTAGCTCCACTGTCAACCCTCTGCAGCAAGTCTCTACTCTTCCTGACTCTAGTCATTTGGCAGGCTGCTGCAGTACTATGGGTGCTGAGTATAGCTAACGTGCAAGACTCTCAGATGCTTTTTCCCAAAAGTTGTTTTGGCTATTCCTGGAAAAACAGATTGAAACATGCACCTCTGCTAGAGGTCTTTTTAAGTTTCTCACAGATAGGATCCTGGCCCTGAGTCTCAACTGTTTCTCTGCCAGGACTTTTATAACATGTGTAAATTTCCAGGGCTTTGTTCAGATGATTATGCTTGCTGCAGACTGCCCTATCACAGTGGATTTAGTTCCTAACATCATTCTTATCTCTGACAGCACACAGCTCAGCAGACACAGGTTAAGTAAAGAGATGTTTGCTGAGTAGGGTGCACTGTTACATCAGCCTGGGATCTGCAGAGACTGAAGGAGGATGACGAGGCCAGACTCAGCCCAGGCTACACCTCGCCTGTCTCTTAAAAAGACAACTTTGGAAACTACATCAAGTCTCTGTATCTCCGCTTTCTCTTGCTTCAGTAATTATGCCATAATCTAGAGTGTTTTGAGTCTGAACGAACTTAAACGAAATGAGTTCAGTGACCCTGCACACTACAGGGTCAGAAAACACGTGTGTAGTGGGTAGACACTCACCAGGATTTACTTGTTTTCCTCCATGGGACTCTGTCCTTTTGTATGTCTGTAATTCTGCTAACTAGTGCAACTCCTTGTCCACTTTAATTCTCTCCTTAACCTGTTCATGTAGTATTTCTGAGACAGGGTCTGCCTTGTCTTGAACCTGTAATCCTCACTGCCAGGAAAGGATTCCCTCCCCCCACCCCCCCAGCCACAGACCTCACTCCTGCTGAGGCTGTATACTCACTTAATTTTGAAAGGCCACAGATGTGTATTAAATGTACATTTGAGGACAGACACAGTGGTGTCAGGCCTGTAATCTCCACCCACACTTGTGAGACTGAGGCAGGAGGATTGCATATTGAAAACAAATCAAACTCTGTCTTAAAAAACCTAAATGAGTAGAATAAAGAGAACAATTAAATTGAACGAGGAGTTGGACTAGCTTGCAAAATTACATACAGCACAGGAGGACAAAATGAATGCTAGGGACAGTGACGGCAAAGCAGAAGCTGGAGCAGCCACTTGAGCTTGGCACTCGAGTCTCTGATGCCCTCACCATTCTCGCCACTGTGCTGTGACAAAAGGACTCCAGCCCCTTCTGCCGAGTCTGCTGCCTCCTAAAAACTGTTTTCTTGAGACTAGGTTTTCCTTTGTACTTTAAGTTGGTGTGAAACTTTCAGTGTAGCCCAGGCTGGCCCTCAACCTGTGATTTTTTTTCCCCCACAACCTCCTAGGCACTGAGATAAGTATGTGTTACACATACCTGACTCAGCTTTTCAAGGGCCGGGCGGTGGTCGTGCACGCCTTTAATTGCAGCACTTGGGAGGCAGAGGCAGGCGGATCTCTGTGAATTTGAAGCCAGCCTGGTCTACAGAGCTAGTTCCAGGACAGGCTTCAAAGCTACAGAGAAACCCTGTCTCGAAAAACCAAAAACAACAACAACAAAAAACCCAACCAACCAAACAAACAAAAAACAAAAAAAGATACTTTTCAAGATAACTGTGTGACTTCTTCCCTCTCTCTTACTCAGGGCTTCTCTGACCATCCTCACTTCCTGCCCCCTTCCTGTCTCTCTGTCCTGGATTTGTTTTTCTTCTTACTACTTACTGATACCTGGCATATTACCTGGTTTTCCATGTACTGTATGTCCCTTCCCTAGCATGTAGGTTCCAGGAGAACTTCCTTTGTTTCTTCTTGCTGTGAAGCTTATGACAGGTAAAGCTACCTGGTACATAGCAGACAGTGAGTCAGTACTTGCTGAGGAAAGTGGACACATGGGAGTTCACATGGTGAAGATGTGTTCACTTACCAGAAGCAGTCCTTATGCTGGACTGTAGCATGTTTAATAAAAATAGAGACAGAAATTGGGGTTCAGGCTCAAGGTCAGAAAAGCAAAATAGCCAGCCACTGGCTCTTACCTCTCCCTGAGTCTGAAATGGCAATCTTGTCTCCAGGAGTCTCAGAATGAGAGTGTGTCTGAGAGCTGTCTCTTCCCATTTTATAATGCTCTCTAGTGCTGGGATTAAAGGCGTGCAACACTACTGCTTGGTTTCTTTGGAAAACTATTGTGGCTTTCTGGGACTAAAGTGTTACCACTGCCTGGTGTGTAAGGCTGACTAGTGGGGCTGTGTTATTCTCTGATCTTCAGGCAAGTTTATTTATTAAAATACAAATGAAATATTACCACACTGGGATGCTTTCTCTCGGTCGTGAAAACAGTCACAGTACTCACCGGGTAAAAACCAAATCTCATTAAGAGGACTGTTGAAATTTAAAAGTAAGTTTTCCTCTCAAATAATGCTTTGTGTGATTCCCGAGAGAAGTATCATAGAAGATACCCTGTTAGAGCAACATTTTAAAATTGTTTTTCCTTTGCATTGCATTGTATTCAATTTTATGTGCTGTAATTTGGTTTCTGTTTCTGTGCTAAACACCATGACCAAAAACAGCTTGGAGAAGAAAGGATTTATTTCATCTTCCACTTCCTGGTCATAGCTCATCACTGAGAGAAGTCAGGGCAGGAACTCAAGGAACTTAAAGCAGAACCACAGAGGAATGCTGTTTATTGATTTGCTCCCTCTGGCTCATGCTCAGTAAGCTTTCTTATGAAACTCAGGAGTGTCAGCTCAGAGGATGGTAGTGTTCACAGTGGACTGGGCCCTCCTATATCAATAGCAACCATGGAAATGCCCCAAAGGCCTCCTCAGTGGAGGCAGTTCTTCAGCTGAGGCTCCTCCTTCCCAGGTGTGTCAGGTTGACAACCAAGATTAGCCATCACAGTGTGTGTGTGTGTGTGTGTACATGTGTACCCATATGTGGAAGTCAAGGGTAACTTACAGGAGTCAATTCTCCTTTCTATCATGTGGGTTCTGGGGATCACACTCAGGTCATCAGCTTGATGAAGTTCTTTAGCTGCGGATTATCTCACCAACCCAGAGCAACAGATATATTTTGTTTTGCTTTTCTTTCTGGAAGGGATAAGGCTAGAACCCAGGCCCTCACTTATATTAGGCATAAGCCCTATTATGAACTCTTCCCACAGCTGTTAGAACAGCACACTCTATGTTTTCTGAATAGTGTCGATGTGAGCAGTTAGCTGTGCTTTACCACAGTGCCTTACCTTTATTCCCACATTTTTGTCTGACTAACTCAGGGCTCATGAGGAGCTAAATGTGAAACATGAACCACTCCAGCTTGTCCAACCTCAGTTTGAGATGCCGCTGCCAGCCCTTCAGCCTGCGGTGAGTTAAGTGTGTTTAGGGGCTCCTGCTGTAGAACTCCACTGCTTACCCTCGATGTGGGCACCTTCATAGACTCTAAGTGCTCTACCTCTAAGCACGTTGAGACATCACATCTGTTAGCATTCTGTAGGGACTTCTATGTGGGGAAGTGCCAAGGAGTCAGAGAATGGGCTTTCCTAGTTATTAAACTTTTCCATTTTGGGGGTCAGGAGTTAGAAGGCATGTATGAGACTGGCTGAGTGCCCTAATTACTTTTGTATTGCTGTGATGAGACACTGACCAAGACAACTTATAAAAGAAAGCATTTAATTGGGGGATTGTGTACAGTTTCAGAAGGTGAATCCATGACCATCATGATGAGGAGCATGGCAGCAGACAGGCAGGCTTGGCATAGGAGCAGTAGCTGAGAACTTACTTCTGATGCACAAGTAGGAGATGGAGAGAGCACAAGATTAGGCCTGGTGTGGGCTTTTGAAACCAACAAGGCCGCACTAATCCTTCCCAAATAGTTCCACCAGCTCAAGACCCAACATTCAGAAACATGAGCTTGTCAATGCCATTCTCATTTAAACCACCACACTGGGTAAAGAGGTAGAAAATCTTTGAGATGCCTTCGCAGGCATTGGGCACTCAGATCCTTAGTTTAGTTTTAACAGGCTGGGGTCATGTGGCCACTATTTAACGTACTCAGGAGGCATGCACAAATATGTTCACCGTAGAGGGCACTGATAATATAACACAAACATGATTCCTCCCAAGTCTGCTCATTTACCCTCCAGGTAGACTGTGAGCTTCCTGAGCTTTGTAAGTTTCCTAACTCCTGTGGGACTCTATTTTTTCTCCTTGGGGGGGGGGAATGTTTCAGTTGAGAAGCAGTAGCTACAGACAGCAGCCATATGTAAGGCATTGAGCAACTTCTGAGTACTTCATTGTCTTAGGGTTTCTATTGCTTCAGCAAAACACCTTGACCAAAAAGCAAGTTGTGGAGGGAAGGGTTTATTTAGCTTATACTTTCATATTGCTGTTCATCACTGAAGGAAGTCAGGGCAGGAACTGATGCAAAAGCTACATAGGGGTGCTGCTTACTGGCTTGCTTCTTGTGGCTTGCTTAGTCCACCTTCTTATAGAACCTAGGACCAGCAGCCCAGGGATGGCACCACCCACCATGGGCTGAGCTCTCCCCGATTGATCACTAATTGAGAAAATGCCTTAACAGCTGGATCTCATGGAGGCATTTACTCAATTGAGGGTCCTTCATTTTGATGACTCTAGTTTGTGTCAAGTTGACACACAAAACCAGCCCATAACTGAGGCCAGGCAGTGGTTTCTCACACCTTTAATTCCAGCACTTGGGAGGCAGAGGCAGGCAGATCTCAGTGAATTCAAGGCCAGCCTGGTCTACAAAGAGAGTTCCGGGACACCAAGACTGTTACACAGAGAAACCCTGTCTTGAAAAACCAAAAACCAAAACAAGAAACAACAGCATGTAGGAGGGAGGGGCCACCTGTTTGTCCCAGCCACCTGGCTAGCTTAGCCCTGAAATAACCACACAGAAACTATATTAATTAAAACACTGCTTGGCCCATTAGCTCTAACTTCTCATTGGCTGACTCTTACATCTTAGTTTAACCCATTTCTATTAATCTGTGTATTGCCACATGGCAGTGGCTTACCGGCTACGTTTTGGCAGCATTTCTTACTCCATCTGTGGATCCATGGCATCTCCCTAACTCTGCTTTCTTCTTCCCAGAATTCAGTTCTGTCTTCACCAGCTACCTAAGTTCTTCCCTATCAGGCCAAGGCAGTTTCTTTTTTCATTAACCAATATGAGCAACACATAGAAAGAAGAACCTCCCACACCATTTCCCCTTTTCTCTTTAAACAAAAAGGAAGGCTTTAACATAGTAAAATTACACATAACAAAACAGTTATTAAGCAAGAATTACAGTTACAATAATATATATCTATCTTTTATCATAACTAAGGAAAACTGTAACTATAATTATAAATTCTTCAATTTCATCAAAGACTCCAAAAGGTTCTAATATTACCTAAGTTAATGGGAAGTACATCATAAGCAACTTCCAAAACTCTAGAATTGACAGAGACATCTCACTGCCTGGGCAGTCACCCAAAGTTCTGTTATCATTGAAGCATCCATCTTTAGCCTACAGGCTCATCGTATCCAGCAGACTTTCCCATGAAGCAGAAAATTTCAAAGACAGTTCTGTCTATATTGGCAGTTTGCCAGTCACTTTCGTCTGTATCCTGCAGAGTGTCTTGCAGGTTCTTTCATGAAGCAGGAACCCCAAAGGACCATCTCATATTTAGGCAAGTTCAGCAGTCATTTCTTTGTGGGTCCTCATGTCCAGTCTAGCAGTCCAGGCAAGAGCAGTTTCTTGCTCAAATGGCTAAGGAGCATCTTCGATGCCCATCTTCCTCTTGAAGTAATTTGTGCTGTCAGGAGCAGATGTGTCTCATTGTCATGAAAAGTTCTAAGTTCTTAAAACATTTTAAATGCCATATTCTGAAGGTCTCTGAAAGATTTGAAGAATACCTATCTAACTGAAATATATCTCTATATATCTAGAAAACCTAACTAACATGACTACAAGCTTGATTGTTGTAGATGATTGATTATCTATTAACTGATATTTCTTTATTATACATTATATTTTTAAGTGAGCTACACAAACATAATACCTTACTCAAGATCAGAAATACATATACATATAACAAAATTGACCTCAAATTTGTATTAGTAAACCAAGATCCATACCAATGCAAATTATTCATATCTATATCATATCCCCATTTAAATGTAAAAAAAAATTATAGACAATATTTGGGAATATGGGCGTAGACTTGTGCATACTGCTTCCTGCTGATTGAGGGCACTATTAATCAGGTCTTCTATGCTATATCCTGTGTGCTAGGTTCATCTCAGTCAGCAGTTGGACGAAGTAATTTTTTGAGGGTGTTCGTGGCAATCTTTCAGGGGTTTGTGGTTTATCAAACCATATTGGTCTAGAAGCAGTCCACAGGCTCTCATCTTCTGTGAAAACAAGAGAAGAACTTTTCTAAAGCAATATATCCTTAGGCCCAAATTTGAAAGTCATAGCACCTTTATAATATACATGGTGGTTTAGCTTAGCATACAATGACAATGAAATGTCTCTCTATACTTAACTCCTTCCACAGTCAAATAATTCAAAGGAAACACAATGATATACATAATCTAGACACTCTGAATTTTCCATTTTTACATGGCTTATTTTTCTTTACTCATTTTAATCTATGACTTTCTGTACTGTCTCTTTAAAGACTTTACCCCCCCTTTTAAAAAAAAAAACAAGCATTTATTTTATGACTCTCTATACTCTTTTTCCTCTTTCTTCCAAGCCTACGTACATTTATCCACCACTGTGACCCATTTAGAGGTCTTTTATGTCTGAATCTGTCCTATTGTGAATCTGTAATTCTTTACTGTCCAGGAGCACTTCTTAAAATGCTAACATATTAATGTTAAGTTTACCCTGTCTGCGCTGATCTACATCTGCTTCCCCAATGACTTTTGTTCCTAAAGAAAACATAATAACTAGCTGGGTGTAAGATGTACACCTATGATTAAGGACTTATGAGACTATGGCAAGAAGACTGCAAGTTTGTGGCCACTCTGGGCTATACAGCAAGATCCTGACTCAAAACAAAAGCATAACTATATAGGAACAAGTTGTGGCCTCAAATATTCTACACAAACCTAAGCTCTGGGCTTGTGCAGAATTCATGGCATTGTTATATTGGCTTTGTCAGTTTAGTAGTGTAGTTAAATCTGGTTCTGCTTGGTTGTTTACAAGGAACTCGGTCTTGACATGGGCCTAATGGATGAGGGCAGCCAGAGGTGATGGAGTTGGGATGGACGGTTCCTCCCAGGGGAAGGGCTCAGTCAGCCTCTTATTGCTTACTCTTCTTGTTGCTGTTAAGCTCTGGGAGATTTCACTAAAAACCTTCGTTCCCTCTAGGTCTTCCCACCCAGTTTCCGGGAGTTAGCACCCCCTCCCCTGGAGCTGTTTGACCTAGATGAAACGTTCTCCTCTGAAAAGGCGCGTCTTGCTCAGATCACCAACAAATGTGAGTATTAGCCTGTTAAGACTTTTTCCCTTATGACTTTTATTTACCACGAACCACTGTGACTTGCTGTAAGAGAATGTTCAAAGATTCTTCTTGGAGAACCGAATCTGAGCACATGGACAAAGCTGAACATGTCTTCATTGCATGTGAATGTTGTCCTCTGAGTTCAGTTAATCTAGTGAATCAGAACACAATGCTAAGCAGAAACCATAAGTCTCACTTTGGATCCCCAAAGGCCCTTAGACTGAGTGACGAGAAGATGAATACTAACCCTGGCTTCTACCTTACGGAGCTGGGTCACTGGTCATAGGAGCATTTAGATTAGAAAGAGTCACAAGCTGCCAGGATGGCTCAGCAGGTAAAGGTGCATAATTACCTGAGTTTACATCCTGTAACCTACTCACAAGGAAAAGGAGTTGTCCTTCAACCTCCACATGTATGTCATGTACAAGCTCCGACATACATAGACAAATAATAGTAAAGCAATTAAATATTTTTAAAACAAAAAACAAGAGCCGGGTGGTGGCAGTGCACACCTTCAATCCCAGTACTCAGGAGGCAGAGACAGGCGGATCTCTGTGAGTTCAAGGCCAGCCTGGTCTACACAGGGAGTTCCAGGACAGGCTCCAGAGGTACAGAGAAACCCTGTCTCAAAAAAAAAAAAAAAAAAAAGAAGCCCAACAACAACAACAACACACACACACAACACCCCATAAAACCAAGAACATAAAAAGAAGTCAGTCCAAAAAGACTTATATAGACTTCAAGTTGTAGTGTCCTTCTGCCTACTGAGCCTTCTGATAAGCTCTGCTTCAAGACCTGTACCCATACAAGAGACATACAGTTAAGCACTCACTGTGAAGCAGTGACCCCACTCCTGGAATACAACTAAGAAGACGTATGAACGTACCCAGATGGCATTGTTTATTTTCAAACTGCAATGAGTTGTAAGTAGTGGCACACGCCTTTAGTCCCTGCATTCGGGAGGCAGAGACAGGCAGATCTCTGAGTTTGAGACCAGCGTAGTCTATAAATGTTCCAGGACAGCCAGAACTATTATAGAGAAACCCTGTCTCCAAAAAAATAAACAAAAAGCAATGAAATTGGGATTGTCCTTCATGTTAACTAGCAAAGGAATGGAAGGTTTTTGTTTCACATTTAATCTGTGGTATGGAGCTTGGCTCACATAATCCCACACTCAGGAGGCTGAGACTGGAGGAACACTTCAGTTCAAGGCCAGCCTAAGCTACTGTATACAACCCTGTCTTGAGAAGAGCAGTAATGGCTGTACATCTTAGATATAGTACTGCTAGGGACTGACTTCACAGAAGACTGCTGTAATTACTGGTAAATTTTTCTTTGTGTTTTCCTAATTTTGGGGGCGTGGGATGAAGTTTGAGATGGGCTCATATAGCCAGGCTGACCTTGAACTCAGTATGTAGCTGAGGCTGACCAAACTCCTGATCCCTGTGTCCACTTCTCATCAGGCCCTACTTCTTTCTGGGTTTTTTAAACTGGGCTACGCAGAGTAGTGTAAGTTGGCTCTGAAACTCATCTGGGTCACTTCAGCTGGCCCCAAGCTCAGTATCCTCCTGCCTTAGCTCTCGAGTGCTGTGAGGGCAGGGGTGATCCACCTTGTGTCATGGCCTGCTTTTCTTTTCTATAATAATCTACAGTAAATGGTGGGGTTTTATTTTTGTTTTACTATGGATTGAACCCAGGACTTTTCTATAATGTTCTTTTGGTAAATGACATTCCTTGTCTTCCAGCACTAGAGATTGAAACCCAGTGCTCTACCACTGAACTATATCCCTGACTTCTTTTATGTGACAGAGTGTTCTTGTGTCACCTAGGCTGGTCTCAAACTTGTAATCCTCTTTCACAGTCTTCCAGATGCTGGGATTCTGGGTGTGTACACCATGGTTAGCATAAATGCTACTTTAAACTTCATATATGACCTTTTTACAGTGGCCTCTATTGAGAGCCTGGTAACTTGAGTTCCTTTGGTTGCTTTTGTGCTTTGGTGTGCACCAGTGCTTGATTTGGAGAGTGGGAAAGCCAGAACAGGTGGACTTTGCTCTGATTAGGTTCATCACTTTAAGCTGGGCATAGTGGCTCACTCCTGTAATTCCAGCACTCAGGAAGCTGAAGGTAGGCAGTAAGACTGTTAAAAGTTTGAGGCCAGCCTGGCCTATAACATGACACTGTCTCACTAAAGAACAACAAAGTGAGCTACTTTTGTTCTTATTTATGAAAGCAGCACATCCAAGACCTGAGAGTTGCCAGAATGTAAGTCCAATGATCACATCATTCTAGGAAGAATTAAGTAATCTCAAGAGGAAGGGAACACCTCTAACACAGTGTTTGCACTCTGGAAAGAGTGGAACTGAAGGGTTAATCCAACTGTACTGTGTTTAGGTACTGATGAAGACCTGGAATTCTATGTCAGAAAGTGTGGTGACATTCTTGGAGTAACCAGTAAACTTCCAAAGGATCAGCAGGACGCCAAACATATTCTTGAGCACATCTTCTTCCAGGTGGTGGAGTTCAAGAAATTGAACCAGGAGACCCACTGACATGGCAGCCCTTCAGGTGATGTCACCCGCATAGACTGTTTACAATATTCCTTAGTTCTGCAAGTACTTACCAAGTGTCTACAGATGAACAGCACATGATGATCCCTTCGAGAATGGAACTTCTCTTCTAGCTGGAGGGTCCCAGCAAACAGTAGCAGAGTATATAAGCAAGCACTTAGCGGGCAAGAGGTGGTAAGTGATGTGGTGTCGAAAAAAACAGAGCTAGGCCAGAGGGATCCAGTGTGCCAGCATTTATTAAAATGAGCAGAGTTGGCCCAGTACACATGGATGCCAGAGTCTGGGGTACTGTTTGTATCAGAACCTTCAACTGTACTTGAGTGGTGCATGGTTATTGTGAAAACTTCATCCTTGGGTTAGAATCAACCATCAAGTCAACTAATTCCTACTTGTTCCAACTAATGGTGATCTGGAATGTCAAGCTGATGTTCAAAATACCAAAGAGGTTCTTATTTCAGACCCTAAACTGAAATAAAATAAAATAAAATTCTGTGTTTACTGTCTTCTCCTGCACATGCTATTGATACAAGTGGGATGACATTCCAGGACTGTGAACCGTGCCTCTCCTTAAAGCACCTTCTGACTGCCAACGCTGGGGTTCTGAATTCGCCTTCCCGAAAAAAGTGTCTACATTGTGTTTTCTCTGAGCTTTAGAAGGTTTGTGCATCCTCTGTAGTGCTCAGGTGGAAGAGATGATTCATTTACTTGAATTAAATCTGTGATGGAACTTTCATAATTCATGAAATGGTCTGTCATTAATATCTTTTTTCCCTCCACATTCCTGCTCAAGATTTGAGTCTTATTGAAGATATAACTAATGGTCGAACTTGTTACAATACTGTATGACTTCCGGGCTGGTTCAAAGTCAGATCAAAGCCTAGCAGGAAATAATTGATTAAGCTGATGTTGACCCTGTAAACTGATTTGAAAGAATACAAAACAACCTGAACATGCAGCCTACGCCTTTAATCCCAGCACTCAGGCAGAGGCAGGTGGATCTCTGTGGGTCTGAGGCCAGTCTGATCTACAGAGCTAGTTCCGTACACAATGAGACCCTATCTCAAAAAGAAAGATAAAAAAAGGAAAAAGAAGAAAGACTTAACTAGCAGATGGCTAGAATATTTTAACAGAAGCTAAGGTCTGAACTGTGCATATGATCGTTGAAGCTATTGGGATAGCTTACCAAAAGAAAAAAAAATGACCAGTGTAGGCAGAGACAGCTCGTTTGTTTCCCAGCTGCCCAGACCCAAACACAGAAACTATATTAATGGCAATATTGTTTGACCTGTTAGCTAAGACTTCTTATTAACTAACTCTTACATTTAAATTAACCCTTTTCTATTGATCTGTGTATCACCATGAAGTTGTGGCCTACTTACAGTAAGGAGAGGTTCCAAGGCATCTGTTTCCTTCAGCAGGTACATGGCATCTCTTTTACTCTGCCTACTTTCTCTATATCTCTGTTTGGATTTCCTGCCTGGCTTTACTCTATTAAGCCATTGGCTGAAACAGCTTCTTTAATGACCAATGATAATAAAGCATATTCATAGCATACAGATGGGAATCCCACATCAGTTTTAGACATGGTCCAAGCCTATAATTGCAGCAGTCAGGAGGCAGAGACAAGAGGTACTGTGGAAGTCCAGGGCCAGCCTGGTCCATATAGCGAGTTCTGGGTCAGCAAGGGGGTCATGTGAGACTCGGTCTCAAAAAGAACTGGAGGGTGGGGAGAGGAAAACATTTTTAGAAATTTTAAACTGGAAAAACTTGGGGGTGTGGCTCAGTGGTAGAGCACTGGCATATAATGTTCAAGACCCACAGCACCTCCCAAAAGTAGTTTAAAACAGATCAATGATGTGTGAACTAACTGGATCCTGGTTTGGGAAAATATCTACAAAGCACATGTGAGAGCCGCGCATGATAGCATGCACTTGTAATCCTGGCATTTGAGAGACTGAGGCAAGAGAATTGCCGGCCTGAGCTGTGGAGACCTTTTCTCAAATAAGAAAAAGTGGGGCTGGAGAGTGGTTAAGAGCACTGCCTGCTCTTACCAGGATTCCGTTCCTTGCACTCACATGGTAGCTCACAGACATCTATCATTCCAATCCCCGGTGACCTCTTCTGGTCTTCATGGATACCAAGAACCCACACAATAAATCTAACAAAAAAAAGTTAAACATCTGGGGGACAGTCTGAGTGTTCGTAAGTGGTAGATGTGATAATGGCATTATAGTATGAAGTCTAGCACTGTTTACACTGATATGTACCCCACCCTCTATTGCTTTAAACTTAGAGCAAGTGTGGCTCCTGTCTACAGTTCAGCACTTACAAGGTGAAGGATTGTTGAATCCAGCCTGACATCCAACTCAATTACAGGCCAGCCTGGGATACGTAGCACATCCTTGTCTCAAATCAAAAGAATCCACAAGCCTCCTCTAAATATCAGCTAGTGAAGTGTGCACCCCTGTAATCCTCACTAGTTGGGAGTCTGAAGCAGCAGGCCAGACTGGGTACATAGAGAAATTCTACCCCACAACAAAACACACACACCACACCTAAGCATCAGAGGACTAGTTTACTCTGTTCATACACCTTACAGAAATTTAGGGAGTGATGTTTGTTTGGCTACTCTTTTTTTTTTTAACTTTTTTTTTACTCATTTTTTTTGTCTTGTTTTTATTTTGTTTTATTTTTGAGACCGTTTCTCTCTGTAGCCCCAACTGCCTTCCAGTTCTTGACGATCACCCTATCTCTTCCATATGAGTGTTAGCATTACAGGCATGGGCCGTCATAACTAGCTTGAAGTTTAGGTTTTCTTGTTTTTTTTTTTTTAAGTAATATTTAGTTTTTATGCCAGGCATTGTGACGCACACCTTTAATCTTAGCACTCTGGAGGCAGAGGCAGGCAGATATCTGAGTTCGAGGCTGGCCTGGTCTACGTAGCTATTTCCAGGATGGGTCAGGGCTACACAGACAACCCTATCTTAGAGAAAAAAATAATAAGTTTTTTTTTTAAGTTTTATGTTATGCATGTTTTGCCTGCATGTATGTGTGTGCACCATGTCTGTTTCTGGTGCCAGTGGATCCAGAAGAGGGTACCAGGTCTCCTGAAACTGGAATTAACCATGGTTGTGAGCTGGGCACTGAACTCTGATTTAGTTTTTAATTAAAAAAAAAAAAGAATTAACAGTGTGAGTCTTGGAGCGCTGAACTAAATGGGGTAAGGGAAAGAACTCCACCTCTTCGACCATCCAGCTCCCCTCTCTGCGACTAGTATTACCATAAACAGAGATAAATGCTTTAATGCAAAGGATGACAAATCTACTGCATGTTAAAACTTGCTATGCAGGGCCTGGGACTCCCAGTGGAGAGGGGCGCAGCTTGAGGCTCGGCCGCTAGGGGCCGCTAGCTCCACCAACCCACACCGTCAGGATGGGGAGGTCCAAGCGCCCTCTAGTGACGCCATGCGGCGCGGCACCTCACTCTTGTCAGCTCAGGGAAAGAGTCATCAGGTCTTCGGACTCCACAGTTCTTCCAATGATTGTGGAAGAGTCATGCAAAAGGACAGAACTTCCTGTGTCCCGCTGTGAGTCTTTCCTCTCCTCTACCACCATCATCACAGTAGATGGGGTTGGAGTTCCTGGAGTTTTGTACAAATGGCATCAACCGTCTTGTTCTCTTTGACTTCTTTCAGTGTAATTATTTTGAAAACAGTTCCTATCTGTAATTTGTTTACCCGTTCAGTTTGGGGCTGTTGTAAATATACAGGAGAAAGCCTGTGTGCGGGTGTGTACACTTATGACGATTTGATCATACAATAGGTGTTTAGTTGTAAGGCTGCTCTTTCTGTTTAAGGGGGGCGGGGGGTTTTGTCTTGGGTGGGTTTGTTTCTTTGATTTGAGATGTTTTTTGAGATGGTTTCACTATGTAACCCAGGGTGACCTGGAATTTACCATGTAGAACAAGCAAGGCTCAAACTTCCAGTGATGCTCCTGCCTCTGGTGCTGAGTTTGCAGATCTGGGCAACCAGGCCTAGTTTACATGGTGCTTGAGATCATACCTGGGCCTTCAAGTCTGTCCAGGAAGCCCTCTACCAAGCTTCTCCCCAGCCCATCCCCCACACCCCATAAAAGTTTAAGACTGGCCCAGAGTGGTGCCGCATACATTGGCATGCATATCTCTGTGAGTTCAGGGCCAGCCTGGTGAGTTTCCAGAACAGCCAGGACTGTTACACAGAGAAGCCCTGTCTCGAAAAAAGAAAAAGACAAACAAACAAAAAGCAAACAAAAGCTTAAGGTTGGCTATAGAGTAAGTTCCAGGTCAGCTTGGGTTACATGGACAGGCCACCGCCCATCCCTTTTCTTACTTTTTTGCTTTTCAAGACAGTGTTTGTGTAGCTCTGGCTGTCCTGGAACTAGCTCTATAGACCAGGCTGGTCTAGAACTCACAGAGATCTGATTGTCTCTGCCTTCCAAACTCTGGGACTAAAGGTGTGTGCTACCACCACCCCACCATCCATCCTCCCTCCCTCCCTCCCTCCCTCCCTCCCTCCCTCCCTCCCTTCCTTCCTTCATTTCTTTTTTTCTCTCTTTTTCTTTTTTCTTTTTTTTTTTTTTTTAGACAGAATGTCATTCTTTAGCTCTGGTTGGATTCAAATTTACAATTTACCTGCCATCCCCCTCTCCCCCAGTGCTAGGATTACATGGGTGCGTATGATAGTTTGAATAAGTATGCCTCCCATAGACTCCTGTATTTGAATGCTTGACCTATAGGGAGGGAGTGGTACTGTTAGGAGGTGTGGTCATGTTGGAGTATGTGTGGCCTTGTTAGGGGAAGTGTGTCACTATGAAGGTGGGTTTAGAGGTCTTATATGCTTAAGCTGTGTCCAGTGTGGAATACAGTTCACTTCCTGCTGTCTGTGGATCAAGATGTAGAACTCTCAGCTCCCTCCCCAGCACCATGTCTCCTGCATTTTGCCTTGGTTCCTACCATGCAATATTGGAATAAACCTCTGAAACTGTAAGCCAGCCCAAATGAAATGTTTTCCTCTAAAAGAATTGCCATGGTCTTCTGTGAGTTTGAAGCCAGCCTGGTCTATAACGTAAGTTCCAGGACACCTAGAGTTGTTAGGCAGAGAAACCCTGTTTCCCAAGGGGGTGGGGGGGAAGGAATTGTGAATTGTGACTTGAAAGGAGTCAAGAATGACTTTGAAGTCTTGCCAGTCTCTAAGGAAGTTCCCCACCTACCTCTCCTTTTGGTCTTTTCTTCCCTCCCTCCTTTACCTTTTTCTTTTGATTCAGGGTCTTCCTAGCTAGTCCTTGCTAGTCTTGAATTCTCCATCCTTCTGTCTTAACCTTTCAGAATGCTGGGATTTTCAGGCATGCACCAGAACTTGCAGGGAGAATTTTCTTTATTCTTTGGTTTTGGGGACAACGTCTCTTTGTCTCTCAGTCTAGTCTGGAACTCAGTGTACAGTTCAGGCTGGTCTTGGATGCACCTGCCTTGGCCTTCCAAGTACAGGGATTTAAGACTTGTGACACCGTGGCTTGCGCGGATTTCCTAATCTTTCTCTTCCCTGAGTATTCTTTGCCATTCCCTGCATTGTCTACCTGCAGATCCCTAAAAAGCCAGCTCTGAGGAGCCTCTTGTGAACCGATGATTGGGTGAGCCCACAGCTTCCTTCCACCAGCCCAGGACCTCCTGTGCAGTCAGCCAATCTACCAGATGGCTTTGGTGTCAGTTTTCTGATCTTTCACATGTGGGTCGTGTGTGTGTAGCTTACTTACAGGTAGTGTCGTTGCCTGGCAGGCTGAAGACCCAAACATTGAAGCCCAGCACAAAGCAAAGCAAAAACAAAAGTTGCTCAGCAGATGGAAGCCATGACTCCAGACAGAAAAGCAGTGATCTATTATTATTCCTCACCAGTGTTTTTGTGTCCTACCAGTTGCTAGGCCCGGGGTGTGTAACAAGAAGAGTTGGTCTTTGTCTTCCTGACTCAAGCACCGCTTTGTGTTTGGAGTCCAGGGTGGGGCAGATAACTTGAATGGTTAAATGGGTTAAATGGCGAGAGACTTTCCACCCCTGGAGGTCATATTTAAAAAAAAAAAAAAACCAAAAACCTCCCAGCGCTGTTCAGAATGGACGTCACCTGATTATCTGTCTTGAGTCTAGAGACCACTCCCAGGTGCGAAGGCCCTGGACGCCTGGAGTCCTCTGCGCAGAGGTTGTGTGTTGATGCTGCGCTGATAACTAGAGGACACACTTGCAGAGGTCACCAGATTCCTTGAGACACTAGAGTGATTTTGCAGCTGGATTCACTACACTGACCTCCACGCTGCTCTAGTTCTGGTGTTCTGTTTACCTGGCTTTAATTCCAGGTCCCAGGTGGCCTGTGCATCTGCTCCCTGCCTCTTGCCTTGGGCACTTATCTTATGAAAGCTTCTAGGTCCTGCTTTTGCCCAAAAGGAGACTGATAATCTACGTGAGTGTGTGCCACCTGCGAAGGAGCTTCTTGGGCCTCACAGGACAACTGGGAAGGCTGCTGGAGTCAGAATAATAATCAGTACTAATAGAAGGGGTACAGGTGTTGAGAGAAAGCCATGTGGGAAGCCCTAGATCTAATCTCAGCCACAAAAACAAGCTAGCAAGAATATAATACTTACCATGTGCCTTATACATATTCATGTCTTTGATCCTATAACTATCATACAGGGTAGATATCTTTGTAGTGCCTGGTTTAAAGGCTCATACCATAGCACCCCAAAATAGAGTATAGGAGAAAATAATCTCCCACTTCCTTTTGCGCTGGCTGTTCTGCAGAAACTGTAGACCAGGGAGTAACTTTGCAAGGCAGACCTTTTGTAAAGGACGTCTACCTTAGGCGGCGTGCTGTACTAGGAACCCAGCTGCTGCCAATTACTTTAAAAAAAAAAAAAAACAGGGAGACTTATATCTGCATGACAAGAGCACTTCTGTTTGTTAGACAATTCCTTTCCTTAGCCCCAAGTAACTTTGCCATTACCACCCTGCCAGAAGCTCTAGGACCCAGAAGGCTTCCATTATCTGAGCCTTCATATGATATCCTAATTTTTTGGGACTCCCATGGATATGTAACTAATCAAATGTTTTTCCTATTTATATATTTTCGATCCATTTAATCTGTAAACAAGCCAAAGACACTAGAGTGGAAGCCATTTTTATTTTTCTCTTTCTTTTCTATAAACTCTAGAATTAGAGTTCGGCAGTCTGTGCCTCAGTTGCTCCATCTGCTAATGGGTAATGCTAGTATATAACTTATTGGATTATTAGGAAGATCAAATTAATTAAAATTTATGTGTGGAATGTTGACTAATACATAGTAAAAAAATTTAAGATCTTGATAAACTTTGTAGATGAGGAAATGAGGCACAGAGGAGTTTGCTAATTTGTCTGAGATAATGCAGCAGGGGAGTGGAAGGCTGGACTCGACCCTGGAAATCCGGCTGTGAACACACTACCAATGAAGAGCAAATGTCCGCAGTGAGTTTCTTTGTGATGAGATTGGTGGGGAAAGCCTTGAATTAAGGTGGAAACTTGTAGCTCTTAACCCTCATTCTGCTGTTGCAAATGAAGTTTGCAGAATTGGACAGTGTTCAGGTGGCCAGTAGTTTTTGGAAGAGGGAGCTGAGGCTTGAGGCCATCCTAAGTGAAAGGTGTTTGCCTGGGGCTCTCCCAGGCTCCTATACTTCCAGGAAGTCCCAGTAAGGGGACACTTAGTGTTAAGTTGGTAAATGACAACCTAAAATCAAAAGTCCTTGCCAATAGAGTTTTTTTTTTTTTTTTTTTTTTTTTTTTTTTTAAGTCAACAGACATTTACCTGAGTGTTCCTACACCTCCTTGTAGGAAAGGCTGGTAGAATTCCAGGATGCTCACAGTTCAGTTGCATGCATCAGCAAGTGCATAGGGCAAGGGACTCCAGTGGTGGGAGGTGTGGGAATTACTAGTCCAGATGATGGCCCAAGCAAAACCTAGGAGACTAAATTTCCCCTCTCTGGGGCTGGTGCGGTGATCTGGAAGACCTTTACAAACTTGAATATGGAGTAAAAGAATTAACCCCGAGCAAAGAAGTCTGGTGAGAGAAATGTTGGCATTCTTATCTTAGCTGGTTCTCCCTGAGACAGCTGAAGAAACAAGAAGGCTTGCAAAGGAAAGGGGGCAAACCCAGAAAAAAGGGGCAGTGGCTTGGACTGGAGCAGTGACATTTTGTGCGGGAAGTTTCTCCCCTCTGACTCTCCTCAGTAGGTTCTTTGCTCTGTATGCTGCTCGGTGTCTACCTAAGATCCGTACAAGGCCGGGCCTCGCGTCTCACTTAGTCTCCAGGTCTGTCAGTCTTGAGGTCCTCACAACCCCACTGTAGCACCGGCCCAACCTGGCCCGCTGGCTCTGTCCCGGGGCTGCTCTACCTAGTCTCAGCCCCTCCTATAGGCTCCTCCCAGGGCTCTGGCGCGCGGGCTCCGCCCCTCGACTGGTCCACCCCGCCCCTTCCGTACGCTCCGCCCCCGCGCTCGCGCGCCGGGTCCGGGCGGCGCCGACGCTCTTGGCGGGAGATAGGAAAGTGGTTCTGTGCACTCCTGAGGCAGCTGCAGTTCCTGAGAGCGCGCCACAAGACCTGCAGCCACGCAGACGCCTCAGAGCGCCGCCTGGGGCCGGGAGCGGCCGGACCAGCCCGAGTCCTGACCCCGGCCCGGCTCCCGCTCCGGGCTCGGCCGGCGGGCGTGAGGGCGCGGCGCGGCCCGGGTCGGGGTGGGGTGGGGGGGATGTCTCGGCGGACGCGCTGGTGAGTGTTGGGGTTCTCGCCGCTCCCCTTGGGTCTGCAAACCTGAAGTAGGGGTCCCCGCGGGAAATACACTCCGCGCGGCCGACTGCTGCAAGGGCGCCACCCGGTGCAGGGGAGCGCGCCACGCTGAGGAGCTCTAGAGACCCCTCGCCCGGCTTCCCGGGCCTTCTGGGCCCGGGAACAGGAAAGCGCGGGTTCCCCGCACCGAGACCCGGTCCCGGCCCAGGGTGAGGTCCATCATCTCCCGCCTAATTGCAGGGTGGGGAAGGAAGACTGGTGCGCGCGGTGTCAGCTGGAGGCTCAGTACTGGACAGGGAGAATGTCTCTCCTAGTCGCCGCGAGTGGGAGGCAGAAGTCTGGGAGACACTTGTCGTCCCAGAGCGGCTCGAATTTGCTGGCGTTCCTTTCTTGTTTGCATTCGGGAAAGCACAAAGCCCCTGGGCCCTCTGCCGGGTGTGAGGCCGGGGATTCATTGTCTGTCTCCGGGGGATTCGGCGGCCGGTTCGGTTTGGTTTCAGAAGCCCTCTTCCTGTCCCACGCTAGTTTGGGGCAGCTGGGGATCAGTAGAAACAGACGAAGTGTGACGAGTCTTCTCTGCCAGCGGCCGCCGGGCCCAAGGCAGGAGCCGCGTTTCCCTCTTTCTAGTTCCCCAGGGGTAAGTGACTGGGTCAAGCCTGGACCTTCGTACACCTGTGTATCTGGGGCCCGACTCCGGGGCTTTCCAGCCTCTGTCACTCTAAGGGGTGAGATCATGGGGGGGGTCTGCAGGGTTCCCCCTGGGTTTCTCCAGTTCAGAACACCCACGCCCTCAGATGGCCGAACTGGGCTTAGGGTATGGATACCTAACAGATCCCGAGCTTGCTTACTTTCAGAGTTCCTCATGGCTGGAAAGTATTCGGTCCGTGAGCTCTGGTTAGGGTGGGTTCCCCTGCCTCAGTTTCTAAGGCACTGCAGTGCCCAGGAAGAACGCGGACGGATTAACTCCGGGAGTCCGCGGGGCTCATTTGGAGGGACCCTTGTGAAAAGGGGCTGAGGCTGGTGAAGAAGCGTGGGCTCAGTGTCCCTGCATCTTCACCAGCCTCAGCCCCTTTTCTGCCACATGTTAGCTCCCTTGTACCCCAGTGCCCCACTTCCCTCTTGGCCTCTGACTGACTCACCTTTCCCTGGAGCACAGCCCAGAACCTACGAGGGCAAGAGAAAGGGATGTGGACAAAAATGGGATTTTTTTTTTTTAAAAAGCCACGCACTGGCCTCTGCTTTTCAAGCTGTGATTACTAGAGAGGTGAGGGTGTAAAGGTGTCGAGCCTGACACAGCATAACTCTAGTTGGCCTCAGTGTTCACATCTGTTAAATGGAGTCCTTGGGAATGTGAGAAAGTATCTCGTGAATGCCATCACCTCCCATCTGTTTATTATTGTCCGCCTTATACAGTATCAGAGCTTCTCTGTACAGATACCTTTTGTTCATAGACTCTGGGCCTTGTGCTGGGTACTGGGGAAGCAAGCTCAATTATTAATACTTAGTAGACTTTGCCTCCTGCTTTACAGTGGTCGGTGGTGCTTGCATTGGGTCAGAAATGACAGAACATGTTTGCCTTCCAGATCCAGTGACATGTATTGTTAGGTCTGGAGACGTCTTTTCATTTTATCTGAATTTTAAAGTTGTTTGGTAGGCAGCGTCTCTTTGAAGTACTCATTCATTCACAAATCCACTCACTTCCTGGGCAAATATTTCTTAAGGTCTTTCTGTGCCAAACCAGGTTGTGGAGGTGGAGCTGACCTTTGTGGGTGCTGTCAAGACCAGAGGTTGGAACTGAGGTCAGGGCCTGGTTTTTCAAAGTGTTTGGGGCATGTAGGAGTGACTGGGAAGCTCTGCTGCCTTTGAGAGGGGAAGAAAGGGAAGGGTGTGCAGATGCAAAGTGTGGCTTGTCTTGTTTGCAAATCCCCCTCCCCCCATGACTGACCTAGCAGTATATTTGCTAGAGGTGACCCAATGCAGGTCCTGGGGAATTGGGGGAGGATTAATGACTTTCTGTGAATAACTGGCTGTTTTCCTTCCTTCCTTAATTATACATATATGTGGTTATGCTCACTTGGGTGTGGGTCCCCACAGAGGCCAGTGCCCATGGATTCTCCTGGAGCTGGGAGGTGGTGCTAAAGGGTGCTGGACACTGAGCTTGGGTCTTCATCAAGAGCAATATGTGTTCCCTTAACCGACGAGCCAGCTCTGCAGTCCCCAACTAGCATTCTTAGAGGTTCATAATGTGCTCTCCTTTTTCTTGTTTTCTTTTTTTGGTTTTTCGAGACAGGGTTTCTCTGTAGCTTTGGAGCCTGTCCTGGTACTCATTCTGTAGACCAGGCTGGCCTTGAACTCACAGAGATCCACCTGCCTCTGCCTTCCAAGTGCTGGGATTAAAGGCATGCGCCACCACCATCTGGCTGTGGTCTCCTTTTTCAAAGCATTAAGCTAGATAGTAGGATTTGGGTAACAGTTAAATAAAAAATTCCATGTTTACTGGCCCCATCCTGGAGCAAACCTTTCATCTCAGCAGGGAGGCAGAGGCAGACTAATCTCTGAATCTATAGGCATGATTTTCAGGATAGCCAGAGCTATACAGGGAAATCTTGTCTTGAAAAGCAAAACAATAACAAAAATGTCTATGTTTTTTTTAAAAAAAGCCTTTAGACTTTAAATAATTGTATTCTGAGTTTTTCTGTCCATTGATTGTTTTCATTTGCAGGCAAGAATGAATAAAGTTAGGTTGGGTGTGGCAGAATAAGCCTTTAATCCCACATTTTAAAAAAATGGAAAAAGTTATTTCAGACATTTCCCCTAAGTAATTAGGAATTTTAAAATTTTGCATGCTTGATGGTTACATGTTATCTTGAAAATATCCAATGCCAGGGACTGGAGAGATGCCTCCGTTGTTAAGAGCACTTGTTGCACTTGCAGAGGATCTAGGTTCAGTTCCCAGCACCCACCTGGTGACTCACAATCATCTGGACCTCCAGTTCTAGAGAATCAGGCACCCTCTTCTAGCTCTTCATGGACTAGGCATAGATAGATGTGGTGCAAGAGACACGTGCAGGCAAAATACTCATACACATAAAATAAGTCTAAAGGAAATAACTAATACCAGTGTAAGTTTACTGTTGAAAAGAAAAAAAGAGGGAATTTAGTTTTGAATATCATTTTGCAGCAATTTACTATCTCAGTCTCCAGAGTGTTGGTTATAGACATTTACAACCATTCAACCATTGCCCAGCTAAATACCATAATCTTTTTTTTTTTTTTTTTTTTTAAACATTTCTCTGTTTAACTTTGGCTGTCCTGGAGTTCTGTAGTTTGTAGACCAGGCTGGCCTTGAACTCTGCCTCCCAACTGCTGGGATGAAAGGTATGCGCCACTATCACCCTCTAAATACTACAATCTTTGTGAAGGGTTTTTGTTTTGTATTTGTGGTGAGGTGGAGGGTAGAACCCAGGACTTTGTGGGTGCTGAACAATTTTATCCCGAAAATAAAGCAACAAAAGGAAAATAAACCCAGGCATGGTAAATTTGCAATCCCAGAGATGAAGGTAGGATTATCTAGAGTTGGAGGCCAGCATGGGCCATTTAACAAGACTGTCTCAGCAAATCACAAGGAACTATAAACTGAGCAGTGAGTAGCGCAGATGGCTCAGCAGGTAAAGGTGCTGATGTGTATGCATAGGCATACAGATAAATAAATGTAATTGTTAAAGCCCATAAACCTGTTTGAGAAGAAAACAGAAGGCAGAGTCTGGGCATGGTGGGGTATTAATACCAGCAGGAGGGTCTGAGTTTGGGGCTAGCCTGGTCTATGCAGCAAGTTCCAGGACAGGACTATATAGAGGGTGTCTGAAAAAAAGAAACAAGTTAAAATAAAAAAACAGAAGGCAAACATCGGCCTATATTTTTTTGGCTTTTTGAGACAAGATTTTATTTTACCCAGACTAGGGTTGAACTCTTGATCTTTCTGCCACCTAAATGCTGGGATTACCAGCATGGGCCACCACACCCAGCCTGTACCTACTACTGTAAAAGTAGAAAAGAAAAGCTTGCCACCCCAAACCTCCCATAGTTGACCTGACCCTGGCCTTGCACTACCACCCCCAGGTAAAGGTATGTAAACGTGCTATCCATGACCTTTAGCTTGCTTCCGCAGTGAGGAGCTGGATGAGTTACACTACCAGGACACGGACTCAGACCTCCTGGAGCAGAGGGACAACAAGTGCAAGGTCAAATGGACCCACGAGGAGGTGAGCCGCAGCTTCTCCAGGGAACTAGGGGAGGAGAGAGTTAAGGGCAGCTGGCGGTGTCCCCTCCTTCTTGGACAGTGAAAAGTTAATGGGCCATCTGCTTCTCTTTGCTCCTCTGAGCATTCTCAGACTTTCCAATCTAAGGATGGGGGGCGTAGTCCTTAGACCTCAGCACCTCCTCCTCTCTCAGGTGCTTCTTGCCCTTTATCTTAGTCTGCTCTCTGCTGTTATATCCAAATTCCATTTTTACTGGGGTGTGTGTGTGTGTCTCTATTCCCAGGCAGTGTAGAGCATCACGCGGCAAGAGGCTTATGTAAGAGGCAAGTGCCAAACTGGCTTTTTTAACAGATTACTTAAGATACGAACCCATTGGTCCATGTATTGGTAACCATTCTGACAGCAGAGATTATATAATTTCAACACCTAATCATCCTGATACTACCTCATCATACTGTAGAGTGGAGATTAAGTTTAAACATGAGTTTTGAGTTTTGGTGGGGATATTGGACCCTATGTACCCTTGGCTGCTAGGAAGTTAAATCTGCGGTCCTTGTTAAAAAAAAAAAAAGTCTATTACTTTTTTAAAAATTAAAAACAAAAGAATTTTATTATTTTATATGTATGGGTATTTTGCTTGCATGTGTGTAGGTGCACCACTGTGTACCTGGTACCAACAGAGGCTGGAAGAAGGTGCCAGGTCTACTGGAACTGGAGTTATAGATGGTTGTGAACCGCAATGTGGGTGCTGAGAATTGAACCCAGGTCCTATGAAAATGAACAGCCAGTGATCCTAACCACTGAACATCTCTCAGGCCGCTTTTAATTAATTTTATGTATTGTTATTTTTGTGTGTGACAGGACTGGCATATGCTACAAGTTTTCTTTTCCTTTGTTCTATTGCTTGTGCGTGTGTGTGTGTGTGTGTGTGTGTGGGTGGTGTGGTGTGGTGTGTGTATTTGGATAACTTTTGGGGGCCAAATAGGTTCTTTCCTAGTTGAGTCCTAGGAATCATGAAGTAAGGTAGTTAGACTTAGCGAGTGCCTTTATCCACTGAGCGGTCTCTCTTGCACTTGTTTTGGTTTTGAGACAGGGTTTTTAATGTGTGCTGGGCAGGCCTCCCGATTTGTCATACAGCTGAGGATGATGTTGAATTTTCACTTTTCCTGAAGTGGGTGCACAGTAGGCAAGCACTGTAGCAATTCAGCTGCATTGCCAGCACTAAGTGGGAAAGTACATTGTTGATGGTGGGATTTTGTTGTTTTTGACTTATTTATTTATTTATTTATTTATTTGGTTTTCGAGACAGGGTTTCTCTGTGGTTTTGGAGCCTGTCCTGGAACTAGCTCTTGTAGACCAGGCTGGTCTTGAACTCACAGAGATCTGCCTGCCTCTGCCTCCTGAATGCTGGGATTAAAGGCGTGCGCCACCACCGCCCGGCCTGTTTTATTTTGTTTTGTTTCTTTTTTTTTTTTTATGGTTGAAATTTTTATTTTTATTTATTTATTAAAAATTTCTGCCTCCTCCCTGCCACCGCCTCCCATTTCCCTCCCACTCCCCCAGATTTTGTTGTTTTTGATTTGAGGTAGGTCTCTTGTATTCCAGGATGCTCTGGGATGCTTGCTAGCCTATACTTTAGGATGGCCTTGAACTCCTGATCCTATTGTCTCTGTTTCAAGTGCAGAGATTAAAGTAGACTGTTTTCTGAAAATTTTCCACTTTGAGGCAGCCCACTGATAACTTGTAACTAGCACATTGGACCTTGATCATCTGCTGCCCAAGTGCCTAAGTGAATTAGTTCTCCTGGCTTGTCTCTGTTAGCCCCTCTGGTCAGATCTCTCTTCCGTCCCCCCCCCCCCCCCCCTCCTGTCTAGCTACCTTTTTTGGCTATCTTGTTTTGTTTTTAAAAGCCTGCCTGCCTTGAAGAGTCAATCACCCTAACTCCCAGCATGCCCTTTTGCAGAGTGGCTACACTTGTGCTAGCCTGAGGCTTTGTTTGCCCCTTTCTCCTCGTCAGGCAGATTTGTTGCTGACTGCTACTGGGACTAATACTTGGCATTTAGTAGGCACACAGTTCCTCAGTGAATGCATGAATATGGCTGTATCATGGCATCTGTAAAACTTTCCACACACATGAACTAAATTCTGTGTCTTCATTGGCAGGATGAGCAACTGAGGGCCCTGGTGAGGCAGTTTGGACAGCAAGACTGGAAGTTCCTGGCCAGCCACTTCCCTGTGAGTACTGGCCCTCCCGCAGGGCAAGGGCTCTGGGTGGCCTCCTTCAAGAGGTACTTAGAAAGCAGTGTGAAAGCCTGGGAGGCTGGGCTGAGGTGCTGCACACCTTTAATCCCAGCATGCGGGTGGGGGCGGGGCACAGGGCAGAGTCAGACAGATCTCTGAGGTCAGCCAGGTTTACTGAGCAAGTTCTTAGCTCAGGGCCATGAACTTGAAACTGAGGGGAGACATCCTTTGAGCAGACTTCAAGCTGAGGCTCCCACGCAGGTGACTAGTACCACTACGCGGGATGATTCAGAGCGCTCTGGGGAAGAGTGCTTCCCTTTTATGTCCTCCCCAGGACTGCAGCCATCTAGACAGGATCGTGTACAAGGCTGCCACTTGACTGCTGGCCTTCCATAGGCATCTCAGGCTAGATCATCATACTTATCTGTGCCCTCTTTGTCTCTTTCTTCCTTGTAGTCTGAACTCTTTAAAAATGTGGGACTAGAGAAACGGCTCATTGGTTAAGAGCACAGACAACTCTTCCAATGGACCCTGGTTTGATTCCCAGCACCCACATGGCAGCTCACAACTGTCTGTAACTCAGTTCCAGGGGATCCAACACCTTCACACAGATATGCATATAGGCAAAATACCAAATACATAATAATAAAAATATATCATTAAAAATAATAAGCCAGATGGTGATGGTATATGCCTTTAATCCCAGCACTCTAGAGGCAGAGGCAGGCGGATCTCTGTGAATTTGAAGCCAGCCTGGTCTACAGAGCAAATTCTGGGACTGGCTCCATAGCTACTGAGAAACCCTGTCCCAAAAAACTTAAATAAGTAAGTGAGAAGATAGCAGGAGACAATAAGTCCCACAAAGCTTTTATAGACTTTGAGGTAGTACATCCCACACACATGCTAGGTTCAGAGGTTGGGAACTTACTTTCCACAGGGCCTCAGTTTATCCTTTGAATCAAAATTAATGCACCGCTGTTCTGGTAGGTCAGCCTCTGGTGTGTGGTGGGTGCATGGCACAAGACATAGCTATCTGATGTGTGCTTGCATCCTGGCCCCTGAGCTCAGGGCTCAACCAGAGTTCAATCTTATAGTCCCATAATTATTTCTCTTCCTGTCCCAGAACCGCACAGACCAGCAATGCCAGTACCGTTGGCTGAGGGTTTTGAATCCAGACCTTGTTAAGGGACCATGGACCAAAGAGGAAGATCAGAAGGTAAGTGCTGGCAAAGGGCTGCATACACTGGGTTTTCACCATTGCCAGGCACTGAGATGTCTAAACATCCCTGTACCACTCCGCTTTAGTCCTAAGTGTCTTCAGGTGTGTGTGTGTGTGTGTGTGTGTGTGTGTGTGTGTGTGTGTGTGTGTGTTAAACGTCCCTGTACCACTCCGCTTTAGTCCTAAGTGTTTTCAGGTGTGTGTGTGTGTGTGTTAAACATCCCTGTACCACTCCGCTTTAGTTCTAAGTGTGCGTACGCGCATGTGTGCGCACATGTGTGTGTGTTTTGATACAGGCCAGCTTTGTAGCCCTGGCTGGTCTCATATTTGCTGTGTAGCCTAAGCAGGCCTTGAACTCACAACCTCTTGAGTGTTGGGCTTATACTGGCCACTTTACCCCATGAATGACCCGGCTTTTAACCTTAGCTGTCACAAAGAACATGGAAAGGTTATGTGTGGTGCACAGAAGGGGCTTGCTCAGCCGGTGGCAGCTGCCAGTGATGTTATGATAATGGTTATATCACACAGTCACAAAACTTGGAGACCTTGTTTTATGGTGCTTCAGGTGAAACCTATTGCTTGTTGTGCAAGCTCTCTACCACTGAGCTTACCTCCACTCCTAACACCTTCTAGGTTTTTTTTTTCTTTCTGTTTTTGAGACAGGGTCTCGGATAGCCTGGACTGGTCTTTAACTTGCTGTGTAACCAAGGCTGGCCTTGAACTCCTGATGCTCTTGTCTCTGTCTCCCATGAGCTGGGATTACAGGTGTTTATCACATCTGGCTTTTTTCTTTTTTTTTTTTTTAAAGATTTATTTATTATGTTTACAATGTTCTGCCTGCATGTGTCCCTGCAGGCCAGACGTTAGCAACAGATCTTATTAGAGATGGTTGTGAGCCACCATGTGGTTGCTGGGAATTGAACTCAGGACCTCTGGTAGAACTATCAGTGCTCTTAACCGCTGAGCCATCTCTCCAGCCCCCACATTTGGCTTTTCAATGCTTTATTTCTGTAGTGTCTGTAGTCCCGTGAGGTGGGTGATTTTCATGTTAAAGGGGAGTAAACCAAGGCACAGAAAGGATTTGTTGTTCTCCAGACTATGCTCACCCTGGGCTGCTCTCCTGCAGTTATGGTACATCTTCCTGATGTTGGCCCACAAGCTGCCTTTGCGCCTAAGTCACAGCAGACTGGGTATGGTGGCACACGCCTGTAACCCCAGCCCTGGGAAGGTGGAAACTGAAGGATCAGCGTTTAAAGCCAGCCTGGTCTACATAGTGAAACCCTGTAATTTTTAATTACACAGATGAAATAGAATATTTTCATGCAAAAGTTGCTTTTTCTATAAGTATCTACTCTTCCCTGGTTGTGGCTGTGTGTCTCAAGAATTGAGGGAACCAGACAGTAGTGGTGCAGGCCTCTAATTCCAGCATTCAGGAGGCAGAGGCATACTGAGTTTGAGGTCACCCTTGTCCACAGAGCAAGATCCAGGTCAGCCAGGGCCACACAGAGAAACCCTGTTTTGGGCGGAAAAGGGAATTCAAGAGGGCCTGACTGGGTGACTGTGGCTGTTAGGGTTTGTATTATGAGCAAAAGAGCCTTTCAGAGAGGTGACTGAAGATCAAAGTCTAGCTGTAGGTGCCATGGCTTGGGGTTCTACCCTCCTGATGTCCATAGAAGTGCCAAGAGGACGTGAAATAACTACAGTGAAATTGGGGCTGACCTCTCAGGCTTGTAGCTCTCTAAAGCCCCACAAAGTGAGACCCACCTGGATCTGGTGATGCTTGAGTGGAGGTGATTGAGGGGCAGGTCCTTCACTGATGTTTTCTTCAAGGTCATTGAGCTGGTCAAGAAGTATGGCACCAAACAGTGGACGCTGATTGCCAAACACCTGAAGGGCCGGCTGGGGAAGCAGTGCCGTGAGCGCTGGCACAATCACCTCAACCCTGAGGTAAAGAAGTCCTGCTGGACCGAGGAGGAAGATCGCATAATCTGCGAGGCCCATAAAGTGCTGGGCAACCGCTGGGCTGAGATCGCCAAGATGCTGCCAGGGAGGTGAGCTGTCTTCCGATCCAGGAAGTGAGGCCCATCCTGGATAGAGTGACCCAGAGTACTGTTAGCCGTTCCATGTTCTTCAGTATTCAACCCGCCTTGTCTCCAGAGTCACACATCAGCAGGGCAGGGCTAAAAAGGCAGCAACTCAGGTTATATCCTGTTACAAGGAGTATGGTTCTGTCCCCATTTCCCACTTTGTGCTAAACCAGACTCATCTTGTTTGTACTTGGAGACAGGGACTAGGACTTCACCTTGTGGCCTTGGCCTCCTGAGTGCTGAATGTGGGTATACACCACCCTGCCTAGCCAGTCTCCATATTAATGAATGATACGCTGTTCTTAAGACTATTACACCTCTGGGTTCTTTTTTTATTATTTTATTTTATTTTATTTTTTTATGTGTGTGAGTGTTTTGCCTGCTTGTGTGTCTGTACCATGTCTGGCTGGTGCCTGAGGAGGCCAGAAGAGGGCGTTGGATGTCCTAGGACTAGAGTTGCAGTTGTGAGCTACCCGGTGGGTGCTGGGAATCAAATCTGGATCCTCTGGAAGAGTGAGTGACTTATGCTGTTAGCTGCTGAACCATCTGTTTCCTCAGCCCCTGTGATGTTGTTCATCTTGGTTTTCAGCCACAAACTTAGCTTCCTGGGACTCTGACCCTCTTTACCTCCCTGATGTCCCATTCTATCCAGCTGTTCTGGTTCTCCTGTCGCTGTGATAAAACACTGACCTAAATCAAGTTGGGGAGGGAAGGGTTTATTTGGCTTACACTTCAGGTCACAGTTGAGGGGAGTAAGAACTTGAAGCCAGAACCAGGGAGGAACATTGCTTACTGGCTTGCTTTAGCTCACTTGCAGGCTTATACTTAGCAGACTTTAGTCCCCCTGCCCCTCCACCTTTTTTGAGACAAGGTCCTTATATAGCCCTAGCTATCCTGGAACCCTCTGTAGACCAGACTGGCCTTGATCTCACAGAGATTGTCCTTCCTTTGCCTCCCAGGTGCTGGGATCAAAGGCATGCGCCACCATCGCCCTGCTGACAAGTAGTTAAAACTAACTAGGTGTAGACAGCCTGATGTGATGGTGCACGCCTTTAATCCTAGCAGTTTGGAGGCAGAGGCAGGTGGATCTATTGAGTTCGAGGCCAGCCTGGTTTGCAAAGAGAGACCCTGTCTCAGGTGGGAAAAAAAGGTAACTAGGATACCGGTTATATCCCGTGACCCCAATTTTTAGTTAGGACAACAGAGCTTATACCACTGCCTTGAATATAGAATTCAAGCACTAGTACTGTATATGAATATATTTCCTTCTTCTCTGGCTATTTCTATGTGGCCCTCCTTTCACAGGTGTTTTTGTTTTTTTAATCTCAAAGACAATTTTATTATTAGAGTTTAAGACAAACATGGTACAGGTAGTGGAAGTCCCATCAGCCACCAGGAGATAGAGAGTGTTGACAGAGGTTTCTGTCCCACCCAGTCCTGCAGTCATTCAGTCCCAAAGAAACACACAGAGGTCTACATTATAAACTGGTCGGCCTAGTTGGGCTCCTTATTAACTTTTATAACTTATATTAGTCCATAATTCTTGTCTGTGTTAGCCATGTGGCTTGGTACCTTTATTGGTGAGACAGTCACATCTTGCTTTGCTCTGTGTCTGGGTGACAACTGCAGGCTGAGTCTTTTTTTCTTCCCAGAATTCTCCTGTTCTTGTTGTCCTGCCTGCCTCTACTTCCTGCCTGGTCACCCTGCCTATATTTCCTGCGTGGCTACTGACCAATCAGCATTTATTTAAAATACAATTTAATTTAATTTAATTTATTTTTTAAAAATATTTATTTATTTATTATGTATACAATATTCTTTCTGCGTGTATGCCTGAAGGCCAGAAGAGGGCACCAGACCTCATTACAGATGGTTGTGAGCCACCATGTGGTTGCTGGGAATTGAACTCAGGACCTTTGGAAGAGCAGGCAACGCTCTTAACCGCTGAGCCATCTCTCCAGCCCCTATTTTTTTATTTTTATTTATTATAAAATGCAATTTAAAATACTGACCATCGTCCCACAGCAAGAGAGAAAGTCATGCCTCTTATTTTTTTTTCCTCCCCTGAGACAGGGTTTCTCTGTTGTTAGATTAAATGTCTTTTGTCGCTCATACTGTTAGACCCCTTCTGTTTTGTTTATGTCCTTATTTTAGTGGAACACATCCTTCATTAGCATCCAAAGCTCAGTCCTCACTTTTATCCCGTATGTATTAGATGATTTGAATATATGTAGAGTTTGAAAGTCATTTTTGTTCAGAGTGTTGGGAGCATCCCGTGATCTTTTCACCTTTCTCTGTTTTCTTTTTGATTTCACTTTCTCAGAAGTTTCTTGGCTTTTACCCTCCAATCCTTTGGAAATTATTTTAACTAAGAAGTTTTGTTTTCTGGCTAGGAGGTGGTGGTGCACACCTTTCGTCTCAGCAATCGAGAGGCAGAGGCAGGCGTATCGCTGTGAGTTTGAGGCCAGCCTCAACAGGCACGGTCTACAGAGTGAGTTCCAGGACAGCCAGCACTGTTACACAGAGAAACCCTATTTGAAAAAAAAAAAGAACAAAAAAAAGTTTTGCTTCCTAAATTCTAATCCCTTTTCTGGCCCAGATCCTTAATGTATGTTTGCAGCCATTTATTTCACCGTCGATACTGTGTTTAAAGATCAAAAGATTAAAAAAACAACAACAAACCTCCTTCCCTGCACTGTGTGCTTGCCTATGAAGTAGCAATGAAAATAATTTCATGGTTGGGGATTATTATAACATGAACTGTGCTAAAGGCTCGGAGCATTAGGGCGGTTGAGAACCATGGCCTAGTGTTTTTCTCTTTGTTTTGCCCATCCATATTAGTTAATACAGGAGGTTTGCTTTGAAGGATTGCCGATCTGTGGTTGGCTCTTCGCTGTTAGGAAGCAGTTGGCAACTACTGTTGTGAAGCCCATTGCACACTGCTGCTGCTTACCTGTTGGGTTTGTTGTTCGCTGGCCCTTTGGGATGCTCCAAGAATTAATGCTTTTCTCTGGACTTATTTATTTCTCGAGGTAGCTTATTCCTTTAAGGAGCTGTTGCCTGGGATGCCTGGCGTTGGGCATCTCACCTCCGGGGTGCAGATTTCCGTGAGGCCCCAGTTTCTGTCCTGTTTTTGCCCATTGTGGCCATGGTTGCTGGTTATGTCTGCAGTCAAATGCTCTTGCACTGAGCTATACCCAACACACAAACTGGGTTATTTTTTAAAGAGGAAACATCTCTTCCTGCCTGGAGGTCAGGGTCAGGAGCTAGAGGTCAGACAGCTGTTCTGCTTAACCTGTGCCTGTCTGTGCTCCTCATTCAATCCTGTTGCTACAATCTTGGGGCTCCTCAAGTTCTGGGAAGCCCTGGGAGGAGCCTCGAGGTGAACCGATTCTAGTTAGTCTTCCTGTAAGGTCAGTTTGGTTTGGACTCCTAGATTCCTGGGCTGTCTGTTACTCATCTGACCTCTTAACACTTTCCAATAACTTCTAAAATCTGATCTGCTGCTACTTCCCTCCCTGTTTTCTTGTCCCTACTTTGCTTTTGTTTTCTGTGTTTTGTTTTGAGTCCTTCCATTGCATGGAAGTGTGATCCTGAAAAGAAGAATAAAGAGAAGACCAGGTGATAAAGTGTCTTTTGAGTCTGAACTGCCTGTTAATATAACTTCAGCCCCTTGTGTTACTTTTGAGGGCCTGCCTTATTGCTTGGTTGGGCAAGAAACATTGGCCTTGAACATGCCAGTAGCCTCACCTCCATCTGCAGTCACCTTGGTTGCTTGGCCCTGAGCCACTCTGACAACCTTGCCTGCATTGCTGCCCTGCCCTGTTGTGAGGCCTACCCACGTGCTATCAGTTCTCCCTGCTCTTTCTTCAGAGATGCTTTCTGGGTCAGTCCAGCTTGCACTCAGTCCTTTTTGCTTATTCCATGGAGATATGTGGATGTTTGCTAAGCCATTGGAGGGCTACAAACAGTGAGCAGAACAATGCTCACAGCGCATTCGGCCGAACCTTCACTTAGAGATGGGGGATACGCTGCAGCAGGGTGGGGGTGTTGGACTCTAGCGTCCAAACACCAAGAAGGAGTCACCCCCAGAGACCATCTCACACACCACAGCCGATGCAAAAGCATGAGGATTTTATTAATTCTGTCATGACAGGGTCCCCCAGCATTTGGGAAGCCAAGAGACCTCAAATAGCGGGTACAGTCTACTTTTAAAGGGGCCACAGAAGCAAGGGGGGTTGTTCTTTGACTATTCTGATTGGCTTATTCGAAAGGGCTATTACCAATAATTGACTGGAGAGCTGGTGCCAGATCAGATGAGATAAGAGGTCATTTTGACCCCGTTTCCCAGGGGACCGAACCAAAACATACGTATACGGGTAATTGTTGAGGAACTGAGTACGTGCGGGTGTAGCTGTTAGGTCCTTGGTTCCCAGGGGAGGAGGAGAAGCACTATGGCACAGAGGCTGAGAGGATTCAGAATTGTCAAAAAAGGCTTCAGGATTGTCTTAAAGTCTTACAGGGAAAGCCTCCAAGCGCCTCCGAGAGCCACATGTCAGGGGCCCCTGGTTTTCCCCACAGGACGGACAATGCTGTGAAGAATCACTGGAACTCCACCATCAAGAGGAAAGTAGACACACGAGGCTTCCCAAATGAGTCCAGAGACTGCAAACCTGTCTACCTGCTTTTGGAACTTGAGGACAAGGACCGTCACCAGAGTGCCCAGCCCGTGGAAGGCCAGGTGAGTGGCCCCCTGTGGCTTAGGCTCTGGGTTTCATTCCAGGCTGGTTGTTATTTTTACTCCCTGGTTTTCTTACCCTGTCCTCTCAATACCTTCCTCAGAGCCACTCACTCATTTCTGCTCTGGGGTCTGAGTGCTGCCTTCATGTTTCTAGAGCTTTCCTCGTGACAGTCTAGTCCTAGTTTGCTGCAGGACAGGACAGCGGTCAGATAACATTTTGAGAAGTGGGTTAGGGAGGAGAGTTCTTAGCCTCCTACCCCTTTCAACAACTTTTTTCTTAAAGGTCTTTCCTATCTACAAACTGAAAGTGTTCTTGCTATTTTTAAAAATCCTTGTTATAAAGCTGGGCGGTGGTGGCGTATGCCTTTAATCCCAGCACTCAGGAGTCTGAGGCAAGAGGATCTCTGTGCGTTCGAGGCAAGCCTGGTCTACAAGAACTAGTTCAATGGCAGGCAACAAAGTGACACAGAGAAACCCTGTCTTGAAAAACCAAAAAAGAAAAAAAAATCATTTTTATAGCCAGGTGGTGGTGACACATTCCTTTAACCCTAGCACTCGGGATGCAGAGGCAGGCAGATCTATGAGAATTCTAGGCCAGCCTGGTCTACAGAGGGTGTTCCAGGACAGTTAGGGCTACACAGAGAAAACCTGTCTCGAAAATCCAAAAGAAGGTGTGTTTGTGTACACGTGTCCCATGTCTAGAGCCCATGTAGAAGAGGTAAGAAAGAGGACAGCTTGTTCATGGTGCCTTCTTTTTTTTTTTTATTTTTCTTTCTTTCTTTTTTGTCTTTGAGACAGGTGTAGTAGGAAGCTGCTTCTTTGTTTCCTGGCCACCCAGATTCCCGAAATAACCACACGGAAACTGTATTAATTAAATCACTGCTTGGCCCATTAGCTCTAGTTTCTTATTGGCTAACTCATATTTTCTAGTGGGTCACTAAGGGTGATAGTGAGTAGAACCATTCCCTTTTCCACCTGCTGATTCAAAGCCTTCTGGAGAACCCTAGCTCTCCAGGCTGCTGCCATCTAATTGGTGCTGTTTGCAAAAGGCCATTCCATGCGTCTGTCAGGCCAGATGCTTCAGGATGGTGGGGAATGTGGTAGGTGACATCAGCGGATTCCATGATATTGGACACACTGTCACACTTCTCTGGCTGTGACATGAGTTCCTTGTTCAGAAGCAATACTGTGTGGAATACCATGAGGGTAGATAAGGAGTTCTGTAAGTCCACAGATGATGGTTTTGTTAGAAGCCTAGCATGCAGGAACAGTGAGGACAGAGCATTGTTCTTTCTGTGGAGGGAAGTGGAGCTATCAGGCTGCTGACTGGTCACCCCAGGAAAAAAACAGTCAGTGCCCTTAACCCTTGAACCACCCTTTTAGCCCCTTATTTTCAGTTTTTTATTACATTTGTTTATCTTGTGCATGTGTGTGTGTTGGGGACAGGGTGTGCATACCACTGTGCAGGTAGAGGTGAAGAACAACTTGCAATTCTCTCCTACCATGGATCCCAACGATCGAACACTGATCAAGTGCCAGCCCAGCATTTGCTTTGTGAGCAGGTCTCATGTAGCCTAGCCTAGCCTTGAATTTGTGGGAATTGTGAGCAGGGCTCATTTACTAGGTTCTGTTTTGAGAATTATTCCTGTGAAGGATTTTCCTCAATTTTTTTTTTTGTCACAGTGTTGAGATAAACATCCAGAAGCGTTTCTGGGCTAGCACTAGGAGTTACCATGTGTGCTTGGGATTGGTTCCACTCCTGTCCCATTCCCAAAGAGCCTTGCCCATGCCAGATAAGCACCCTCCCACAGACCTGCAGCTCCAAGGCTTAGCTCATTTTTCCCATTTGCCAGACTTGCATTAACTTACTGTATTACTCAGTGTGTCCATTAGGGTATACTTTATCTAGGGCTAGCCCACACCTGTAGTCTCAGCACCCTGGAGACTGAGACTGGTTGGTCTAGTTAGAGACTTACAAGCCAATTGGGACTGCATAGAAATCCTGCCTCGAAAAAGAAAGAAAAACCGGGAGTTACTACATTTTTATCCCCCGAATATTCTGTGCTTCAGCTTGTATTTTCCAAAATAAGGGAATTCACTTACGCTCGGTATATCTGTTTCTTTCTCTTTCTTCTTCCTTTTTTTGTATTTTAAGGTATGTCTGTTTCTAATTCAGGGACTTCCACATTGATTCTGAGCCTTGTGGTGGTAATGATTTGTTTTTGTTTGCTTGCTTTAAAAAATAACTTTAACAAACAAGTGAGTATGTGTGGCCGGGCATGGTGGTCCACACTTTTAATCCCAGCACTCAGGAAGCAGAGTCAGGCAGTCTCCATGTGGGCTGTTACACAGACCCCGGAAACCTGGTTTTGGACAAATGTGTGTCCATAATGGATTGCTTTCTTTGCTTGCTTTAAAGACATTTTTGTTGCTTTAAAAACTGTGTGTCTGTGTGTTCGTGTGTGCAAGTACCATGATGTGTGTGTGTGTGTAAGTCAGGATAGCATCTGTTTTCTCTACCATGTGGCTCTTATGCATCAAACTCATGTTGTCTGCCCAGCTGCAGGCACCTTTATCTGCTGAACCACCTCTGTAGCCCACACTGTTGTGGAATTCACTGTGTAACTTGTGGTCATTTCACCTTGGCCTTTCAAGTTCTGGAATGACAAGTGCTCCCATGCCCAGCATTGTTTCAGGACCTCTCTCTTCTGTGTAGTCCGTGTTCCGCTTTTCCTGTGAATAGTCCAGGATTAGTTATTTTTCCGTAAGTCTCATTAGCCTATGTCATACTGATATTTTTCAAATATGCAGTACAATCGGAATGTCTTGCAATTTCTGGTCATCTGAGCTTCCTTTGTCTTTGATTTGGGTTATGTGTTTTTAGTTAGAAACTTACAGCATTGTCTATTTCAACGAAAATGTATTGTGTGCCCTTGGATCTGACAGGGAAGTCTTATGGCTGGCTGGCCGCTGGCGCCCTCTGCTGTGAAGGAAGAGGAGAGCAGTGAGGAGGAGGCTGCAGCAGCTGCTGCTTGTGCTAAACAGGAACATGAACCTGTGCCTGCTGATCTGGGCGAAGTGCATACCCCAGAGCCCCTGGAGCCCCTCAAGCGTGAATATCAAGAGGACTCCCCCTCATCAGAAACAAGCCTGCCCTACAAATGGGTGGTGGAGGCGGCAAACCTCCTCATCCCTGCTGTGGGGTCCAGCCTCTCGGAAGCCCTGGACTTGATTGAGTCGGTATGTTGGCCCCAACACTTCTCTTGTGAACTTGCCTTTTTCCCCTCCACCACTCTCCTTGCATTTATTGATTGATGGAGGTTGCACAGCCCTGACCAGGCTGGGGACACTAGTGAGGTCATTGCAGTCCTTGCCCTACAGCATGGAATGGGTTGAAAAGTATTCTTAGAGAGGGTGCCGAATTGGTCTCACTGGAGAGGGGCCTGGAAGTGCCAGGAGTTACACTGCTCAGCCAGTGGGTTTGGCTGCTCACCCCTAGGCCACGCTATGATTACTGCCCTAGGTGTCATAGGTTGTGTTCCTTGTGTGGAGACAAGCAAATACCTGTTTACCAACCAGGTATGGCACCAAGGACAGACCAATCCCACACAGCTCTAGCAGGTGATGCCTAGAGGATTGTGGGTATCCTGTAACTTCACAAGACGGCTGCATCACTAGTAAGCTGACCAGCATGAGCAGCAGACTCACAGGCAGTATATCCCTGCGGCGCCCAGATAGTATGCAGCCCTCGGGCAGAGTCTCTTCACCAGCAGTTATTTACAGCTCTGTAACTGTGGGGAGGGGCCTTGCGGCTCTTGTAACTTTCCTCTAGGAGGGAGTGTGTCATTTCTGAGAAAATAGCTAAACAGTGACATTGCTTGAGAGCTTGTGGCTGGGGCCATCCTTTTGATGTGATAGCCAGCTTCAGGCTATATCAGCTAGGAGTTAAGTCCTGACTGACTCAGACCTCAGACTCTCTACCGGGAGTGGTGAAGGTCAGGGAAAGGATCTTATAAAACCACTGTCCATCCCATCCAGCATCCTCCCCAGGCATTCCTGCAGGATATGCTTCCTAGATGCTCCAAGATGCCATCAGTTTCCTGGACCTCTGATCTCTGAGAGATCAGGATCTGAGGTCAACCTAGCTGCAAGCTAGTTTCTACTCTCAGGAATAAGCTGCCTCTGGCTCCAGCAAGTCCCAAGAACCACAGCGTGCAAGTGGGCTCTATCTCAGGGCCATACTTCCAGGATCAAAGTGGAACCTTCTGTTTCTAGACGCCTTTGGGTAAAGATGAGGACTGGTGATTCTCATATACTCTTTTGAGCTTTGCATGGGTTCTTTAATGTGATAGCAAGAAAGGGAGCCAGTGAGATGGCTCAGCAGATAGAGGCACTTGCCGCCAAGCCCAACCATCTGAGTTCAATCCAGAGGACCCACGTGGCAGAAAGAGAGGACTAACTCCTTCAAGTTGTCCTTGACACTCACGTAAAAATAAATGCAATGAATTAATAAGAAAAAAAGTCATGCTTTCTAGCAGGTTGCTAAGGGATTGTAAAGCTGTTGATTGGCAAGCATTCTGTTCAAGCTTTTCAGGATAATTCATAGAGCATTGAGGAAATGAATGTAAGTGGTAATGACTGATCCCAGGGATAAGGATCCCATTTTGACGTTGCTATATTTTCATGCAATGAATGAAGTTCTCCTGTATTAGGACTTTCTACCCTCCCTTTCTGGCAGGACCCTGATGCTTGGTGTGACTTGAGTAAATTTGATCTTCCTGAAGAACCATCTGCTGAGGGCAGTGTCAACAGCAGTCCAGTGCGACCCCAGACATCACAGCAGCAAGAACAGGCACTGTCATCCCATGAGACTGCCACACCGGGGCCCAGCATGACTGAGTATCGGCTCGATGGCCACACTATTTCAGACCTGAGCCGGAGCAGCCGGGGGGAGCTGATCCCCATTTCCCCGAGCACTGAGGTTGGAGGCTCAGGCATTGGCACACCACCTTCAGTGCTCAAGCGACAGAAGAAACGGCGCGTGGCCCTGTCACCTGTCACAGAAAACAGTGCCAGCCTGTCCTTCCTGGACTCTTGTAACAGTCTTACCCCGAAGAGCACGCCTGTCAAAACCCTTCCGTTCTCTCCTTCCCAGGTGCGTGGGTCCCTCCGACTGCCTTGATTGCATAGATAAAACACCTAGTGCCCAGTGGGGTCTGGCACAGTACACATTGGATAATCAGTTTTCACTGAGTATCACCCTGTGCTCAGTGCTAGGGACTCAGTGCTAGGTGAGCAAAACCAGACCTGGCCCTGCCCTAATGAAGCTTCCACTCTGCATTATAAAAGATCCAGACAGGGGATAAAGTGAAGTGCTGCTGGGAATGAAGCTAGTAAGGATTTAGTCACTTGTCCTGTTGCTGCATTTCATCAAAATACTTGGTGAAGCAACCGAGGAAAGGACAGCTTTATCTTGGCTATAGTGGCAAGGATGCCATGGCAGCAGGAGCTGTAGCCTGGAGGGAGGCGGAATGATGACGTTCTACTCCCTTTTTCCTTGCTATTCAGTCCAAGTTCCCAGCCTGTGGACTGGCACTGCCCGCGGTAGGGTGTGTTGTCCCCATTTCATTTAACCTAGTCTAGAAGAATCCCTTGCAGACGTGCCCAGAGGTTTGTTCCCATGGTGATTGCAAGCACCATCAAGTTGATAACTGTGGATCCAGGGGGACTTTCAGGGATAGAGGAATTTCTTGCATTGAGAATGCTATAGGACCTGGCTGGGTAATACAGGAAAGACAGAAAGGCTGAGTCATACTTGTTGAAAGAAGTCTTTGCTGGTGTCCTACAGGTCAGAACAAGACCTCAACCTCACAGAACAGACATGGGGAGTGCTGTCTAAGGGTCTATTCCTGTCCGTCAAAAGCTTCTTCTTGTCACATGTTCTAACTCTTCCCTGACAGTTTCTGAACTTCTGGAACAAGCAGGATACCCTGGAGCTAGAGAGCCCTTCACTGACGTCCACTCCAGTGTGCAGCCAGAAGGTGGTGGTCACCACACCCTTGCACAGGGATAAGACACCCCTGCATCAGAAGTATCCATCGTGAGTACCGCACTGCCACCTGTCCACCTGGACAACAGGGAGGCCCTCTCATCCTGGGGCGTAGCTGTCAACCTCTTGGTCCTTGTCTGAATAGCCTGTTCTTTTTCCTTCTTTTCCCCTTTTATTTTTTTTTTTTTAACTTGATAGTCCTGGATCTCAGAAACAGTGTTCACACACACACACACACACAAAACAAAAAAACAACCTAATATTTTTCCTCCTTTGATAAGCATCAAGTATGGATCAGAGGTGTTTGAACCAAAAGTGCCCCTGGGCTCTGTATGCCTCAGGAGCCAAGAGCTCTGCAATTGTGTCTGTCCTCAGCCTGCTGTGAGGGAGGGCTTTTATGGTATGCCCACTCCCTCTTGTGGCATGATGGAATTCCAGGTGGATAGGGTTGCTTTCTTGCTCCTCTATTCATTAGTTTGGCTGCAGAGGCATTACAGTCTGTTCAAGGAACTGGTTCAGGAATTTTGCACAAGGTAATGATGACTTTTCAAAAGCAATTTATTAAAATCCATTGGTTAGAAATCACTCAATCTAATAATGATAGTCTTGTGAGAAGTAATTCTTGCATTCAAATGAGAACCTGGACTTTCCATCTGAGCCCTTTAACAGGGATGCTGAACTATGGCAGGCCTGGCCTTTTCCTTCTGTGGTTAGAGACTTGTGTTGTAGAATTTACTGCTGTATAATTTTGTATTTCTGTATTTTACATTTTGTTTTATGGTACAGCTGAGTGGGTCTTTTTGCTGGGTGGTGGTGGGGCTCTGGTGCCGCCTTTAATCCCAGCACTTGGGTGGCCTCCCGGTGGAACTCCGAGTTCAAGACCAGCCTGGTCTACAGAGCAAGTTCCAGACCTACCAAGCTAGTAATGAGACTGCATCTCAATAAAAAAGGCTGATGATAATGAGTGACATTCTTAGGCGTGTACGTCACTGTACTCAGCTCATGTGACTGCTAGGCTCTGCCTGGGTGTCCTCTTCCTGTTTTGGGCTTAAGAGATAGATAGCTAACTGGAATAGCCATGGACTCAGGGATTACTTTCCCCAATTTCCCAACGTCACAAGTCCCCCTCACACAACTGTTTATCTGCCTTCTGTTGGTGAGAGGGTGTATCTGATTCTTGCTGTTCCGTTTTGACCAGAAGTGGAAACACGCTTTATCTTTAAATGCAGATACTAACACAAATTCTTTTGATATTCTTATCTCTTTCAAAGATTCTTTGCAAGACGCACTAGACTTAAATTTCCAAATTGGAGTTTTGTTGCCAAAAGCTTTATTTCATGCATCCTGTGTTTGGGGGTGTGCTGTTGTTTGAGAAAGGCCCTCGTATGTCTTACACTGGCCTCAGACTTAGTGTGTAGCTGAGACTGACCTTGATTTACTATCTTCCTGCTTCTGCCTCCCCAAGAGCTGGTGTCACAGGTACGGTCACCACTGTGCCCAGAACTTTTTCCGTCATGTCACAGAGGTTGTGGCTTAGTAGAAGGAATGGTTTACTAACAACGGATATTGGTGTTCTCAGCTTACAGTGGAATAGACCCAACACTAGTTTAAAATGCCCTACATGGAGGCTGTGATAGAGCCAGTGATGAAGTAGGTGCTTACCGTGCAGCAGGGGGAGGAGAAAAGTGGAAAATGCCTTGAGTGTTACAGGACTAGAGATGAGTCACTGGTTAAGAGCACTGGCTGCTCTTGCAAAGGGTTCGGATTCAATTTCCAGTACATACATGGTGACTCACAGCCATTTGTAAGTCCAGTTGTAGGAGATCTAATGCCCTTCTCTGAGTTCCTCATGCTTCTACACTCAAATGGTGTACATAATTAAACTCAAACACGCATGCATGTGCATGCACACACATACAAAATTTAAAAAAAGAAAAAATCCATTTAGTAGATAACTTCCAGAAAATAGTTTAGCCTCTCCTGCCTTAAATGTATTCGATTGCTAACCCTGCAGTTGAGAAACTCCAGTGCAAAGCCTAGTACAAGAGACTGCTTTGCTAATTTATACTGTACAGAAAGCGAGAAGCATGATGTTGTTGGTGTGTGCTGTGCTGTAATTGTAAATTAGGGACTGTCTAAACAGCACACATCAAAGTATGGTCCTTATTGATAGTAGACACTGGTCTCTGAAGGGAAAGTTACCCTGGCCTGAGGGGTGGCACACTGGTTCCACTATAGCCAGAGATCAGGGACGGCCCCTTGGAAACACAGCTGAACTGAGAAGAGAACTGCCGGAGCTAGAAGGTGGAGGCATGCCTTTGTGTAAGGAGCAGCAGATGGAGAACATGGAAGAACTGTAATTGTGTTCTTTCCGCATTTCTGCCCTCACCATGATGATCTGAGAGAACCAGTGGAGATTGTGGCTGTCTTGTACCTAGTACCACATGCTTTCTATAGAGAGGACACATAGGGTTGTGGGCTTGCTTCCCAGGCCTGAAATATGACTGCAGGTCCACCTTGTATCTGGGAAGTCCCCAGACTGTACTTCGATGGGCAGCACTCTCCATCATTGTCATGGTCTCCTCCCCCCTCTTTCCTTCCTCTAGGTCCCTGACCTAGACTTGTGCAGGAAGTCAGGCAGGCACCGTTGAACCAATGTGATAGGAAAGAGTGTCGGGGGGGGGGGGGGGGGGGGGGGGGGGGGAGGGCGGGGGGGGGGGGGGGGGGGGGGGGGGGGTGGGGGGGGGGGGGGGGGGGGGGGGGAATTGGGGATCCTGGTCATGACTGGGAAAGCGGGAGTTCACTCTTTCCTTTGGCTGAGCCTCCTCTGGCCCCTGGCAGGTTTGTAACCCCAGATCAGAAGTACTCCATGGACAACACTCCCCACACGCCAACCCCGTTCAAGAATGCCCTGGAGAAGTATGGACCACTGAAGCCCCTGGTATGTGCCATGGTTGCTGTGACTCTGTGTGGGGTGGATTCATCTGACAGGGGCTGATGAGCCCCTTTCTCTCTGAGGGCTCCATAGTCTTCTCACAAGGTACAGTTTCTACTTATTTGCATTTCCTGAGTACCTTCAGTGTGCCAGACAGGCAGAAACTGGCTGACGGTAGAGTTGGTGGTATCTTGGTGAAATTGTGTAGAACAGGGGACGTGGACATTAAAACACATGCCACCTAAATATCTACAGATTTTCTTACTGTAAAGAAAAGGGCCAAAACATGCATAGTGACACTCACCTGTAACACCTGTTCTTGGCAGGTGGGGGAGACAGACAGATCAGAAGTTCAGCTGCCTAGAAAGTTTGAGGCTAGCCTGAGCAACATGAGACCTTATTTAAAAGGTGGGGGTGGAAGCCAGGTATGGTGGTCCCTGCCTTTAATCTAGCACTCAGGATGCTGAGGCAAGGCTGTTGTGAGCCAGTCTGCACTACATGGGGAGGAGAGAAGGAAAGCCTCAGCAAAGATGAAGGTTATCTCATTGATTCTAGGTCAAGTGGGGCTTCTAGAAACTGGTACTAGTCATGAGTACTAGTTAATACTGTCCCTACTGGGTGTCTGTTGAACTAGGTCGCCCTTCAGGCTTATTCTTGGCGGCTGTAGATGAGTAGACAATGCTGGCTCTTTGTATGACATTTGAAGTGTCACTATGAGTGTTCACTGTCTCTCCAAGTCTTTGCTACCTGAGGGTAGAGAAGTTACTTGGAGCTTCTGCACCTGAGCAATGGAAACAAGACACATAATGTCCCAGTTAGTGCGGAACAAGGACAGAAGGAACCTGGGCTTTTGGTGTATGTAGGTTCTTTATTTTTAAGATAGCTTTTGTCTACGAAGCCCAGTGTCTTGGGTTTCTATTGCTGTGGTAAAATGCTGACCAAAAGCAACCTCAGGGAGATAGGGCTTATTTCAGCCTACAGTGGGAAGTCAGGGCAGGAGCTGGTGCAGTTGCTGAGGGGGGAGTGCTCTGTATTTGCTTGCTTCTCATGACTTGCTCAATTACTTTCTGATACACCCCAGGACTACAATGGGGCCCTCCCACGTCAATTAAGAATATACCCTCAGAGGTTTGCCTCCAGCCCATTCTGGTTGGAAACCTTTTTTTCTCAGGTCTCCTCCTCTCAGATGACTCCAGTTTGTATCAAGTTAATGGAAAACTAACACTATCAGGACTGTTCTTGAACTTGTCCAGGCTGATTTCGCCTGTCTTGGCCACCCTCACAGTGCTGAGGTTATAGGTGCTATCTGAAATCCCAGGGTTCTAGTGGTGCTTCTGCATCGACCCTTGAGGACCTGGGACTTCAAAGAAGACCGGGCCCAAGCATCTGGATTATAATAACTGCTGTGGCCCAAGTCAGGTTCTTGATACATATGAGCCTGAGCTTCTGCTCTGTAGACATGAAAATTGCTGCACAGGGCTACGTGGAGCTGTAAAGCTGCTCTTCTAGACATGTAGGTCATCAGGGTCAAGGTCTTCGTCCAGCTGTCTAAGGCAGGACCACTAGGTTATGAACAATTCATGTGAGGTCAGTGTCCTGGTGTAGGCTTCCTTTGCGTGCCTAGAACCGTCCACCTCTCTTAGACCTGCACAGCCTGAATGGGCCTCATGTGGGTCACCCTTGCATCTGTCCACAGCCGCAGACTCCACACCTGGAAGAGGACTTGAAGGAAGTGCTACGTTCTGAGGCTGGCATTGAGCTCATTATTGAGGATGATGTGAGGCCTGAGAAGCAGAAAAGAAAGCCTGGGGTGAGTGACTTGAGGGCACTTACTGCCTGGGCAGCTGGCCTAGAAAGTCAGCCCCGTGGGCAGGGGACCTGTGAAGTTCCTTACCGAGGGAGTGCACTTTTCAGAGAGCCCTGGCCTCTTCCCTGGGTCCTCCTGAATTTTGACTGATACACCCTTCTGAAGTGGGTTGGACCATGGGGTGCCGAGTGCAGTAGTGGTCAAGTGAGACTTACAGAGACAGGCGAGCAGCACACAGCCTCACGGCCATGTGAATTCATGTGGGATGAGGGAATAGAGGGGGATAGATTCCAACTGTTTCTTTCAGATGGTAGAGTGAGTTAGGAAGAGGGTCAGAATGGGTACCTCAGCCACGAAGGCAGTGTGTGGGGGATTCACAGGGCCACGTGATGAGATACCAGTCGTGGTCTGCTTCCTTCCCATTACACTGGCTGGCTACTCTTGTTGCCACAGATCTCTTTGCTTTTGTGTTCTTCCCTAGACTGCTCTTCCTAGGGGGAGATGATGGAGCTAGGCAGTGAGGCTGGGAAGGACCCACAGTGTCTGGCAGGGTAAGGACCACCTGGGTCAGAGTCTAGTGTGGCCAAGGTCTCCTGGTCTTCCCATATCCCTAGAGCAAGAACTGCTCGCTGTCTATGCCTTGATTACACACACTCTCAAGTCCTGATTCAATGACTGTGGTCACTGAGGCATTGACCATGGGAAACGTGACTACTCACGCCATCCATCCTCTTCTTCCCTAACCCTCAGCTGCGGCGAAGCCCTATCAAGAAAGTTCGAAAGTCTCTGGCTCTTGACATTGTGGATGAAGATGGGAAGCTGATGTCTACACTTCCCAAAACTCTGTCCTTGGTAAGGGGGTGACTCTTATTCCTAAATATATGGGGGGTTCCCCCGGCCTGGCAGGCTCACAGAGCAGCAGCAAACTCCAGCGGGTCCCCAGTGGTGCCGGGCACCGGCTCCAGAGTCCGGCACCCTAGCAAGTGGCTACAGTTTCCCACCAGCGGGAGGCTCCGCGCTCAGCGGGTAACAGACACATAGACACAAAAGATAGGCATAAAGGTAACATATTTATTACAGGAGAGAGAGAGAGAGAGAGAGAGAGAGAGAGAGAGAGAGAGAGAGAGAGAGAGAGAGAGAGAGAGAGCGAGCCGTGTGTACACCGGGAGAGAAAACAGGGAGAGAGAGCAATGGCGGGCGGAGGTCAGAGGTTAAAAAGGAGTGGGCGTGGCTAGGGCAGGGACGGAAAGAATAACAGTGCCAGTAACCACCTGCTTCACGGGTCCTCGGGAACCTCTGCCTTTGGAGCTGTCTGGTCATGGAGAGGACTCTCTAGATGGGGTGGGTTTCTGGTTCTCCGGTTGGGCCCGGTGTTGGGAAGATTGGCAGGAGATTGCAGGTCTGGGCACCCAGCCTGAACTTCACTGAGAGTCCTGATGTGTCTTTCCTAGGTTTGACTTGGCAAGAGTTATATTGCTAGAACATTCTAGGCCCCCAGCACCACCCTGCCCACTGAGTGCCAACCACATGGGCCCCAAGCCCAGCTGAGTGGTTGAGGCACTTTAACCCTGAGCAACTGCTATCTGGCCTACAGGCCAGCCTTGCTCTTCTGGGCATAGAAGTCACTGCCTTTAAGAGCCCAGGTGTTGTGCTACTGCTGGTCCCTCGGAGCTGATGAGATGTGGCCTGGTGTATAAATTGATGGTATGGCAGTTCTGCTGTATGGTTAAGGAGGAGATTTTTTATTTTGGATATGAGAGAGAGAACAGCCAGAAACATCTGGAAGAGTCCAGAGCAGAGAAAGAATAGACTGAACATAAACAGCAGACTAGAGGTGACCAGGGCTATCTGCAAGAGAGAGGAGGTTAGCGCGGGATAGAGAACAGAGAAAACAGCACGAGTGACAGGGTTATAAGGAAAACTAGTGGCTGCCAGGAGGGAGCTGGGATTCTGGGGTAACGGAGGAGATGAGAAGGGCGAGGATGCTGGCCTGGGCTTTGAAATGAGTAACAGGTACTTGTGATAGGGAGGGAGCCTGGAGACCAGATAAGCTTTGATATGTGATAGGCCCCACAAGTAACCATATGTTCCCATGGAAGGGAACTGGCTTCACAGGTTCCTGAGAAATGCTGGCTTTTATCTAACTGCCAGAAATCCTTCTATCTAGGTCTAGGTTGAGCTCATTTCTGATGATTGGACAGCCTTTTGGAGTTGGGGGGATTGGAGTTTTCCTTTGGGCCTGACATCCGGCACCAGTAGAGAGGCAGTGATGGGTGGGAGCATGAATGAAGGAGATGAATTGCTAAACAGATCTTATAGGTAGGGCTGTTGTCCTTCTAGAAAAACCTTTTTCCAGGGAGCCCTGCCCAGTGGGGGACTTGCTCCCTTCAGTCAGACCTTTGGCTGCCTCCAGAGGCATCTACTTTGTTTGGTTTTAAGCAATGCTGGGGGTTGAACCCACTCTGCTGTAGGGAATAATAAACCTGTGGTCTGGTCTTGACTCCTGGGCCCCTCACCCCAAGTGGAACATAAGGACAGCAAGCCAGTGAGCAGAGCAGGGCTGCTTTATGGGTCCATGGCACATTCCACTTGATGCTTAGGGTTTTTTTTTCTGAACCAGGAAGCCTGAAGTACTGTGTCGGACCTCATGTGACAGGAGCTGGCATTGCTGGGCTCCGAAATGATCAGTTCATAGATACTCCTTTAAGTAAAAAGATGAAGGGAATGCGTTTGAACTCCTTATCTGAAAGGGAACAGAGGCTTAGAGGGTGGACACCCTGCTCCAGATCTTAGCAGGGTGGGGATGCTGGGATACCGGGTTGTGTTTCTGTTTTGTTTTCCCCTGGCAAAGATCTTGTGGCAAAGTGGTGACTAACTTGGTTTTGATTTCAGCCAACAAGTATCCCATCCAGCTCCTCTAGCTTCACCCTGCCAGGTATCAAAGAGGATAACAACCTGCTCAACCAGGGGTTCCTGCAGGCCAAACCTGAGAAAGTGGTGGCCACCCAGAAGCCCCGGAGCCATATTCCAGCCCCTGCCCCTGTGAGTGCTTGCTGTAAACAGGTCCTGCCCCGGGGCCTGATTGTTTTACTGCATTCCTGTGACTCTTTGCCTGACTAACTGCTACTTCCTATGGGAAGCCATTCCTGTCCTCACCTGAAGAGATGCATCTAGCTCCATTTCCTTCCTGAGGCTTGGACTTAACCTGCCACTGGGTCATTATCTGTATTTGGCTTGCTTAGTGCTGACCTGGGTCATTGTATCCCAGTGTCCTCATCTGTTCTGCTGTGGCTTCTCCTGAGGCCAGCAGGTGCTGCACACTTTTTCCTGTCTCAGCCTCCTGCTTTACTATTAAGCCTACAGATGAGGCGTGACTTCCCCAGGACCACCAAAGAAAATGGAGGGAGCATAAACTGGCTTCCAATATCCAGAGAGAGGGCCCTAGAAATGTCCCCACCCTTACTACCCAGGACTACCAGGGTTTGTTATTGAGCTAACTCTCTTACCTACCAGATGACCAGCGCCTGGAAGATGGTGGCCTGTGGGGGCACCAAAGACCAGCTCTTCATGCAAGAGAAAGCCCGGCAGCTCCTGGGCCGCCTGAAGCCCAGCCACACATCTCGGACCCTCATCCTGTCCTGAAGGGCTTGGAGGGCACAGACCTGTTCTCATGTTTACAGGGGCTGGGGGGGGGGGGGGTAAGGCTTGCTTTGAAATCACATTCAGGTGATCAGCTTCAGGAAGTCGCCAGCTGCCCTCAGACTACTCAGGTGGCAGCAGAAGTAACACACACTATATCCTGTCCCCAGGTCTATCTTTGGGAAGTTAGTTCCTGGTGCTAAAAGAACAAAATCCCACTCCTGGGCCTATCTGTTCTGTCCCCAAAGCCACTACTAGGAACCCCGTTAGCTTCTCCCGAGCTCTCATCAGGACTGGCTTCATCTCAGACCCCTGCTTAGGATCGGGGACGTGGCTAGGAGTGTTCCGTTTTTCATCCCCTTTTGGTCTATTCTCTCCACAATAAAGTACCCTTCTCCCTGTGTAGCCCTGACTCTGCCTTCTGGGCCTTGCTTGAAGTGCCTTAGTGGCTTTCTTCTGACATGTAGGTATGTGGACCTCTGTCCTCAGAACTTGGCCTGTGGAAAGCTCTGCAGATCTCCTAGGAACTCTTAGCGGGGTTAAAGTTGGGCATGGGTGAGAGGCTCTTGGAAGGTGGAAAGGACTGGGAGAACCATCCAACTCTGGTGGCCAGTGTGCAGAAAGAGGGCTACCTAGCTCTGGAGCTCTATGTCTGAGGTTGTGGGAACAATTGCTCATGCTGTTGCCTCCCTTGGTTAGGGTCAGTGGATGGAGTATGGCCTATAGCTGGTGAGCTTGAAGAGAGAGATGCCGAGCCTTATGTTTAGATCAGGAAGTTCAGTAGTTTGCATGAGTGTCTTTGGATTGGAGGTTGGATGAACCTCTGAGAAGCCTATACCGAGTCCAGGTTGCAGAGAAGACTAGAGGCAGATCCTTTCTGATAAGGCAAGAGATACCATCTCAAGACACACCTGAGCCAGTGCTCCAGAATTCAGACACTTCCCTGCTCTTATGCAAGGAATGATGGGGGCCGGCTCTGCTCTTCCCATACTGCCTCCTACAGCCTGTGCCTGAGCCCCATGCTCAGGTAGCTTCTGTCTGCTTCACCCCTGTGCTTGTTCGTGCTTTTCTCACTACTAGGACCAAAAAGGGACTTATGGGGGGGGGGCTACATTGGCTCCTGGTCAGTGCTAGCGAAGGTGTGATGGCAGAAACGAGGCTACTGTGAAGCAGAGGACGAAGGTTGCTAGTGCTTACCAGACTTCTCAGTCTGGGCTCTTCAATGGGTGCTGCCACCTGCATGTAGGGTGGGTCTTTCCCTTTAAATCCCTGGAATTTCCTCAGACACACCCAAGCCAACAATGAAGAGTAGCCACCAGAGCGTCTCTGCCTTTCTCTTTTCCTCTGCCATTGGGGAAGAGGCCTGCACTGCCTTGTTTCCAGAGGTTCCCACCAAGATCAAGAGTATTGTGGCTGTCTGCTGCTGGCTGGAGATGCAAGTTCTTGGGTCCAAAGACCTTAGAGAGGAGCCCAGGCCCCTGGAAGTCCTTGGTTATGCTGATGAGCTGGTTGGTCTAAGAGACCCCACCCAATGTCCTTTCCTACCTCTGGCTTTTTTTTTTTTTTTACTAAAATGTAATGAGAAAAAAATTTTATTAAATGAGAAAAAATTAAATTATTTTGTGTTCCAACCAGTTTCCCCTCCCTCCTTCCTTTCCCTCCCCCCTTTCCCTTCTCCCCCTCCCTCATCCGCTCCTGTTTCCATTCACAAAGGGGCAGGCCTCCCATAGGAGTCAACAAAGCATAGCACATCAAGTTCAGGCAGGACCAACCAGGCTCTCTTCCCCATGCCATCAAGGTTGGGTGAGGCAACCCAGCATGGGGAGAAGGGTCTCAAAAATAAGCACCAAAGACAGGTCCTGATCCCACTATTAGGAACCCCACAAACAGACCAAGCTACACAACTCACACACATGCAAATCCTACCTCTGGTCTTATTTTCAGGAATTATACAAAGGGAGAGCCCACAGGGGATGGGAGTACCTAGTTCTGCTTGTTGCAGGGAGCCAGCTGTAGGCGAGGCCTTTCGCCCTTCATCAATTGGATCCACCCCCCAGGTTTGTGTTTCCTAATGTGATGAGCTTGGTGCTGGGAGCAAAATGTGAACATTAAGTAGGGAAAGTCTCAAAGTTGGGCAGGGGTCAACCAACAAGATCCAAATGGTGGCATGTATATAACATGGCCCCAAGGTAAAGATGACTGAGGCATCCTGGGAAGCAAGGGCCACTTGGAACTCTGGGAAAATCTAAAGGAGACAATATTCCTGCTATCACAGAGACTCAAGGGAATGTGCTAAACTACACAAACCAGCTGGGTATAGACTTTGAGGAAGCAAGCAATTCATATACTACTTGGAGGTAGTTTGTCATGTAGCAGGTGCAGTCGCCCAGTTCTTTGGAGATAGGGCAAGGACTGAAGTAGGCCTAGGCAACAGCAGATGGCTGGGATCTGGATTTGGGCCAGCCTGCAATGAGGGAGAGGGTCTGTCGGTGAGGCTTGACTTGGAAGACTGGCATGGATGCAGAGCTTCCCTGATCTCAGTTGCTGAACCACTCAGTCCTTTATAGTCAGGACTATAGATCCTCTGCTGCCCTGCTGACAACAGCTGATGGGAACTTCCCATCTAGTGACAGAACAGATTTAGCCCAAACGACCCTACGGAGGCCTTTCTCACACCCTTCCGGGTTCACTTTGCATTTTGAAGTTTTTACTTTGACATTTTAAGTGCACAGAAGACCTACCGAGATCATGTGATGAGTTCCAGCACTCCACTTCGCCAACATTCACATCTGGCCAGATAGTGGTACATTTCACAAAGCCCAAAGAATGGCTGGTGTAAAACCATCCGCAAACACCAGGCTTCCTAGGATTTCACCTGTCTCTCTATTCAACCCAGGGTGTCACTTTGCATTTGGCATATTCATTTAAACTTCCTTATGGAAGGCTTCAAGTTTATATAAAAGTAGGCTAAAGGTGTAGCAAGTGGTAGTGTGTGTGCTTAGTAGGCACAAAGCCCTGGGTCCCTAGTAACAAACATACACAAAAGATTAAGACACTAGAATCACCTTATGATAGTAAGGTCTTTTATGACTAATTTGCTCTTAACACACACCAGATGTTTTTCCTGGCCTTATACAACTATCCCTCCAAGGCTTCCCCTGACTTCCCATTGGCTGTTCTCTATTTAGTACACTTAAATTCTTGTTAAATTTTATTTATTATTTGGGGCTGGTGAACACGTTCCAGAGGACCCAAGTTCAGGTCCCAGTATTCCTGTCAGTTTATATGCCCCTGTAACTCCAGCTCCAGGGGCACCTGCTGAGACCCGGCAAACATTCACATACACACAAGAATAAAAATCTAAAATTGTTATTGGGTATGTTTTTTTGGGGGGGGGTGTTATTCACAGTGTGCATATGGACAGAGTTCATGTGGAGTTGATTCTCTTTGTCTTTATGTGGGTTCTGGAGATTGAACTCGGGTCAGGTTAAGTGTGCAGCAAATTGTCTTTACCCTTTGAGTAATCTCATCCAACACACTGAGAAACGCTGTCTCCAGGGTCAGGGGCACACAACATGGAAACAGTTGAGGCAAGGGTGGTATGGCGTGTGCCCAAGTTATGCTTCAAAAAAAAATTAGATTTCCTCCTAAACTAGATGTGTGGATCACCTGTGGACTCAAGCCTCAGCTCACTTCACAGTTCAAGGTCAACTAGACTATTTGGTTAGTTCTAGGCTGGCTACACTATGTCTTAAAAAAATAAAGATTTCTGAAGAACTTACAAAAACCTAATTATGGCTTCTGGCTGCTGGCTTTTAAAAAAATATATGTAAGCCAGGTAACACATACACAGGTATGCAGAGGCGAAGAACGGGGAGATGCCTTTCTTACTCCTTGGTTGTCCTTCCTCGAAGCAGCCAGTGTTTAGAGTCTAGGAAGAAGCTCTTATCAGGTGCTGAGCATTTAAACCTCTGGACACGCTGCTATTTTATCCTGTGTGTATGCCATACAAGCACACATATCATGCTTCCTCTCTGGCCCTGTACAAATGGCATATTATAATGTAGATTTTTCTAGGCTTGTTTTCTATCAGTTAAACTCAGTGGTTGGCAATCTACATCCCATCGGCCAAATCCAGGCTGCCTCTTGTTTGTGTAGACAGTTTTATTGGAACATGGGGTCACTGACTTAGCTGTTATCTCTGGCTCTTTTCATCCTATAGACACAAGCAGCTGCCAGAGAGTCTGCAAGGTGAAGCAAGCCTAACTATACACCTTTCTGAACAAGCAATGTCCAATTTCCAACATCTGTACAGTTTCTACAAATGGCTCATCATGGTCCCTTCTCTTGTTAGTAAAGCTACAACCTAATTCCCTCAGGTAGGCTCTATTTATGGGCAAGTCAGTGCTGCTATAAATAATACCTTACGAAGTAACTGTACTCAACCTCATTTTCTACATGTGGCTGGCTGTGCAGGGTGAAGTCTTAGATGTGGAATTACTTGATCAAAGCCTGTGTGTCATGATCATTTTCATACTTCCTGTCAAAGTGTTCCCCGTGGAAGTTGGGTCAACTTACATCCATCTCACCTTTGTTATAAACCCCACCTCTCCTGCAGGCTTCCTAAGCCCTTTTGGAACAATCGGCAGCAGGGCCAGTTACTTTGCAGGTTTTTTTATTTTGAGATTCGCGTCTTGAGATTCGCGTCTATCCATGCATTTGAGAGCCCTCTTCTTCCTGCTAGACGTTTGCCCTCCTGGTCCTGGCTCGAGGATCTTCTGGGGTTTGGTCTCCTCTCTGTGACTCTTGTGTGTCACTTTCACAAACAAGTTTTTGGGGAATAAAACTCTTAAGCACGAACATTGGGTGAGAGTTGGCACCATCAACATTCCATGTGTCAGGGTTGGAAAGCCAACGGACTGGTAGTGTGTCCTCGGTCTGCGGCTCTGGGAGACTAACGTGAAGAGGGCTCAGCGTGTCCTCTTCTTCCAGGGAGCTTCGGTTGACACAAGTAGCTTCATGTTCAGCCAACTTTCTGATGGGAACCACGTGGCAAGCATTGTATTTACAGCTGGCCATCTTTTTGGCTTTCTTGGGGTTCTTCTTCCTGCATGATGCCAGGTGGTACTGGAGTCTGCTGAGTGGGATTCGGTGGTGAGGGTTATAAGGACAAATTTCTATGGATTCTGGCTCCATGGGGACTTGACTTGAAGCCAGGTTGTTTTGCACAGTGGCACACCTCTCAAGGAAAAGCCTTTTCGTAAGAAAGATTGTACCGTCTTCCGCCAAGCTTTGGCTCTTGGGACTCTGGAGTGAAATTCTTCCTCTTCAAGTTCTGTCAGCAACAGCTATGCAGAGAAAGCCAGCAAACGGCTGTGAGAGAAGGTAGCTCAAGCAGATACAAGAGCCCAAACAGTAGCTTCCAAGGAGGTGAAGTTAGAGGCTGTACAACCCTTTAACTCGAAGGGCTGTTACCCTGTGTTGTCAAGGGACAGAATGGGTGGTCACAATGGGTAGCTTATGACATCAGGAAAAGACTGTCCATCGCTTGGGGGAGTGGCCTCGAGGAAAGTTGCTATTCAAATTTATTTATGGCAGGAACAATTGCATCTTCTGACTTCATTAGTATAATTAAATTCAGAATACATGTTGGTTTACATCAACTAACTTTGTGTTATCTTTCAAAAAATATTTTTTACATGTATTTATTTGTATGCAGTGGCACATAGTGACATAATTGTGGAGGTGGAAGAACTACTTTCAGAAAGGACTTGGTTTTCTTCCTCCACGTGAGTTCTGGGCTCGAACTCAGGTTATCAGGCTTAGCAACAAGCACTTTTACCTAATGAGCCTTCTTGCCAATCCTCCTGCCTGCCTCCTTTCCTTCCTTGTCTCTCCCAGCCCCCACTCGCTTCCTCCCCTCTTTTGAGACCAGGTTTCATGTAGCTGAGGTTGGCCTGGCTCTTGATATGTAGGTGAGGATGACCTCTACCTTGTGTGCTGGGATTATAGACGTGTGCTGCTATTGCCAGTTTACATGGTGCTGGGGACCAAACCTGGGGCCTTATGCGTTTGTGGCAAACAGACTACTGTACCCTCAGTCTTTATTTTCTGCTCTCTTTGGTTCATTTTTTTTTCTTCTCCTCCCACCCCTTAATCTATCTCTACTAGGTCATTTCTTTGTGTAGGCAGTCTCTAATTTAAAATCCTCCTGCCTCAGCCTCCCAAGTGCTACAATCTCCGGGGTGTGCAACACACCTGACGCCAGCTCTTATTTTAAGTACAGAGTGTTGAGGAAATAGTTCCACCCTTCCTCACTTTGTACACGTTCTAATTGTTTAATAATTACAAATTGAAATGTCCAGTTTTTTAAATAGATTTTTATTTTGTGTGTGTTTCCCCTGCATGTGTGTAAGTGCACTGCGTGCCCTTGATAGCTCACAATCATCTCTAACGCCAGTTCTAAGGGATCTGATGCCCTCTTCTGGTCTCCGTGGATTCCTGCATGCTTGTGTGCTTCTCAAAGGAGCCAGAGAAGCAAAGACATACCCAAGGAAGGGAAAGCACTCCTGAAGGGGTAATCCTGATTTAACGGCCTCCTTGGCCTTTGCTGCTGTTGTCATTTGGTATCTGTGAGGTTTCTCTCCCCCCGCCCCCGTGCCTCTCCTTCTCAAATCTGTGCCTTTTTTTGCTATTCTGGCTCCCCTTGCATCTTACACCGCTTGGGGAACTGTCCTTCTGATTCAAGTTCAACTTCCTGACTTCTGTTAACATACTGTTCTGTTTCTGTTGGCTCGACAACACCCTTGTTTCACCTTTTCTTCCCTTAAGGATTTATTTTGGGGGGCTGGAGAGATGGCTCAGAGGGTAAGAGCACTGGCTGCTTTTCCAAAGAGGTCCCGAATTCAATTCCCAGCAACCACATGGGTCTCTCACTGAGTCTGGTAGTCTCTGGGTTTTTTTTTTTTTTTTTTTTTTAAAAAAAAAAGGTTTTTTAAAAAGATTTTTTAACCTTTTAAAAAATTACATATGTATGGGTGTACTGCCTGCATGTATGTCTATATACAATGTTCATGGAGGCTAGACAAGAGCTTTGGATACCTAGGATTGGAGTTACAGGTGGTGATGAGCCATCATGTTGGTGCTAGGAATTGAACCAGGGTCCCCTGGAAAGAACAATCAGTGTTCTTAACCACTGAGAATGCCCCTCACTCTATCATAGGCTCAGATATCTAAACAATTGGTTCCCACTGGTGACAGTGGGGTGTGTACTGGCTGGTGTCATGTCCACTTGTCACAAGCTAGAGTCACAAGAGAGGAAGGAGCCTCAACTGAGGGAATGCCTCCATGAGATCCAGCTGGAAGGCATTTTCTCATTTAGTGATCAATGAGGAGGGCGCGGCTCCTTATGGGTAGTGTCATCCCTGGGCTGCTGATCCTGGGTTCTATAAGAAAGCAGATTGAGCAAGTCATGGGAAGCAAGCCAGTAAGCAGCACCCCTCTGTGGCTTCTGTGTCAGCTCCTGCCTCCAAGATCCTCCTCCAAGATCCTGCCCTGACTTCCCTCAGTGATGAATGGTGCCATGGAAGTGTAACGTGAATAAACCCTGTCCTCCCCAACTTGCTTTTTGGTCAAGGTGCTTCATTGCAGTAATAGAAATCCTAACTGAGACAGGGTATGTGGTTATTTAAATGAGAATGTTCCCCCAATATGATCAGATGTTTGAATACTTAGTTCCCAGTTGGTGGCACTGTTTGGGTAGGTTTAGAAGGGGTGGCTTTGCTTCTGGCCATGGTGTTTTTTTTTTTTTAATTTATTTATGTATTTTTTTATGTGTATAAGTGCTCCATCTGCACATATGCCTGCGTGCCAGAAGAGGGCATCAGATCCCGTTATAGACGATTGTCAGCCACCGTGTGGTTGGTTGCTGGGAATTGAACTCAGGGCCTCTGGAAGAGCAGCCAGCGCTTTTCACTGCTGAGCCATCTCTCCAGCCTTGGTCATGGTGTTCTATCACTGCAACACCAAAGTAGTTAATACACAGTTGTCCCCTCCACCCTAGCACTGGTATTAGAGGAGCCAACCCCCAACTTTTTCTCTGGGTGCTGGGACCCAAACTCACGACTCACGCTTGTGCAGCAAGCCCCTTTACCCACTGGGCCATCTCCCTAGCCCCTCCCCACTGGTTCATAATTGTGGTGTTTAGAGTTTGTGCTTCTAGGGTTCTGGTTGTTTTTCAGTCTGCAACACTGCCTTGAGTAGTTTCTTGTTCTATGCAGACAGATATGTTGAGGTTTGCCATTTTATTTTTTAAAGCTTGAAAAGCCGAGTTGATCAAAAACCATGTTTGAAGCCCGTGTGGACCTGTTTTTGCAAGTTCGGGGGAGGGAGGGTCCTATTATGTAGCTCAAGCTAGCCTTGAACTGGCAGTTCTGCCTCAGCCTCCTGAGCATTGGGAGGATAGATGTGTGCCACCATTTGCAGCTAACTAGTTATTTAGTAGCTTAGCATTCATTGTCTTTGGAGAATTCTTTGTAGGGAAGAGTCTATCGCTCTAAAGACAGATGTGTCTTCCTTTGAAGACCCTTGCCACGTAGAGATCCAGAGCCATGGACCACCTCCACCCAAGTCACAGCCTCCTTAGCTGAGCAGGCCTCCGTGCCTCGCAGATACGGGCCTAAGGGCTGGCCTACCAAACATGGCTCTTGGCCTTGCCTTCCTTTGTCCTGCAGCTCTGCTGCTACCCTGGGGAACCTTTAAAAGTCTCCTTGGGTGGAATAGAAGGATTCAGATGCATCTCTATGTACATGGAGCTGGAGCTCTTGTTACCCCGGCTCAACGTGGGAAACATTCCCCATGCTGGGGGTCCCTACTACTGTTCCTCTTGCCTCACACAGGACTGAACCAAAGTCTAAATACTTATAAGTGTTTTTTTTTTTTTTTTTGCGTCAGTGCCTCATGTATCTCAGGTTAGCCTCAAACTCACAGTGTAACTAAGAACAGTCTTTAAGTTTTAGCTCTCCTGCCTTCTGTTCCCAGGTGCCAGGAAGATGATAATATTGTTGTTGTTACTGTGTGCGTGTGTGTGCGTGTGCGTGTGCGTGTGCGTGTGTGTGTGTGTGCGTGTGCGTGTGCGTGTGTGTGTGTGTGTGTGTGTGAGAGAGAGAGAGAGAGAGAGAGAGAGAGAGAGAGAGAGAGAGAGAATGACCATGCCCGACTTATGCAGTGCTGGGTTGGAGCCCACGGTCTCACGCATGCTAGGCAGGTGCTCTACCACTAAGCTACTTCTTCCCAGTCCCTGTAAGGGGTTTGGATCATCTGACATTCTGCTCACCTCTCTGATTTTAGGTTTGTACCTAAAAAGGAGTCTTGAGACTGGAGACATGATGCACTGGTTAAGGGCACTTAGTAGTCTTGCAGAGGATGCAAGTTTGGTTCCCAGCACTCATATCAGGCAGTTCACAACGGCCTGTGATTCCAGTTTCAGGAGATCTGATGCCTTCACATAAGCCTTGACCTTCTACAGGATCCGAGTGTCAGTAGAAAGACCATATTCTTAAGGGGTCATATTCCAGATCATAGATAAGTAAAGTAAATTACAGTTGCTCTATATTAATGTGTTCATATACCACAATTCTAACTAATAACTACAGGAGCTTCACTTTATGGGCTTGGTCTTATTTTAGACCAAATCTCTGCTTGTTACTTTTTCCCCAGAAGGGGGTGGGACATGGCTATCTTCTAGGATCTGTATTTTCAGGTCAGGCCTCAACAAACTCTGACCTGTGGCCTGAGTCCAGATGTGCTCTTGTAAATAAAGTATGAAACCTCACCATTCCTACTTCTTTATATACTGTCTGCTGGTCGCTGTGACTTTATTTGAGTAGTTTTAAGAGTCCAGGCGTTTGCCAGCTGACCCATTCTAGAGCTTGCCACCCCAGTTCTTGCTGGTTGGGAAAGAACTCACTTTCCTTATCAGTAATGGACTAGAAACCAGACTAATTGCTCAGGTTTAAATCCTCCTGGCTGCTAACTTTTGTGACTTGGGCAGGAGGCAAGTACGCATGTGTGGATATGATCTATTCAGGGTACCTTGAATTTTTTAACCTTTGTCAATATTTTTTTTTTTCAGTAAATTTAGTAGTTTTCTTTGTGTTGGATTTTGTGATGGTTAATAATATTGTCAACTTGACAGG